GACAATTTATCATTAATTATTATGATAATATAATGACAGATTTCACAATGTTTTGCAATTTTGAAAAAATGAGTAAATTGTTATTACCATTATCACTTGATAATATATGTTAATAATTTTAATTATGCAAATTTCAAGATTGCTTATAATTATGATAATTAGAGAGAAGTGTAGAAGATATTAAATTTTGCAAATTTTACAAAGTTATTTATTTCATTTGTATCAGTTAACTGTAGAATGTGACATTGTTTAATATGTCACACAAAGTATTGAATTAGACCAACCTTTATTGTATTTTAACGGTTAGTACTTTTACATATATTACCGATTGACAGAACCACATGGCGTAAAGAGTACCTTTCTCGTAGCTTAGTAAAGTGATGATATTGTCAGAAATGTATCAGAAATTATATCGGAATTGATCAATTTTTTGCAAGTATCTGCTAAATACTAGCCGTTATTAAAATTCAGTGTAAATTTTGCAGTGTAATTAGCAGTATGTACTGAAAATTGTATTCTGAAGTTAGTTTGAGTAATCTAATCGGAAGAAAATGCTTGAATTCTGTTCTCTTTTTTGAATATTTGAAAGCAATTAGTTTAGAGGTAAGCGCATTCAAGCTATGCAAATTTGCTTTATTTTTGACTTTTGTTTCATTTAAATGTCCATCTATCATGCCTGCTCTATTTATTCATACTTGTTGTGATGTAAAAGTGCTGAGAATTCATTTGCAGCTTTCAGATATTTGTGTTTTAAAGTTATGTTTTTTTGTGAATTCCTGCTTTTCCACATCGTAAGTATTATTTTTGCACTGAATTATTTTTTCGCCATCTCTTAGTTCTTAATGCTTAGAGCAGACTATAAAAGCATGATCAGGTTGCCTGGATATTGTCGGACAGCTCTGATGGAGTCAGGTGCTATTCACTTGCTTTCTTGAATTATTATCTGCTGTGTAATTTATGAGCATTTTTATGAGTTATTGAGTGTAGAATAAATTAAATATTCTTGCCTTACTAAAACTGAAGTCTTTTTTTGCTTATTTGTCGCGATTTTCCGTTCTTAGTTTTGATTCCTTCCGTGATTTTTGAGTGCGTGTGTATAAATTGTTTCGACCTACCTCTCAGTGACTGTTATATATAAGCTTTGACCCTTGAATGATTAATTGTAGATGGAGTGTTTTGACTCTTCACTGATCATAAATGGGTTGTTTTTCTGCCACAGTTATCTTTTTTTCCTTATCGATACAAATGGTTAAAAATACTGCTGAAAAAGTTCCAAATTTGCTAACTATGTAAACTAGATTTGTATGGAAAATAGGTAAAATAAAGTAGTGCTTTAGATTAGATGTAGTAAGTGAGAATGTCTATGATTCCTCATAATATTTCGGCTTATAATCCTCTTCAGAAGCTTATATCTACTTTATTCCTTGATTAAGAGCCTTTTTATTTTTACAAATATATTTATGTGCAGATTTGTCTTAGTAAATAAGCAAGTATGAATAGATATATACCTTTTTTCTTCCATTTTATCTTTGCATTGTATGCATCGAAAGACTTCAAATAATGTGAATCGTTGTTGATATTATGAGCATTACATTCTTCGATATCAGTAACTTATCAATAAATGCAATTAGTATGCATAATCTGGTCTCACACAAACAAAATTGAGTGATGTGCTAATTAAGGTTATAACCAGTTACTTGTTGTACTGCGCGGAATTAAAACGAAACTAAATGCCCACAAACGATAGTGCCATTATGTCTTCACTTTTTGGCCGCATAAGCGCTCGAGCTAGTCTGTTATCAACAAGAGATTACAAAACTACGATTCAGTTACTGGATGATAACGACACGATATTTCAGGAATTCAAGGTTTTTTTCTGGCTATTGTTGATGTATTTATTAGTGCTGTTATTAAATAAATAAGCTTTGTTATTCGTTATCGTTCCTTTAAAACTGAATACGTAATACTTTAATCCTTCTTAAAGATCAGACGTTTTTTTATCATCATAATATTTATATTTAATTATGTTTACATGTGTAAAAAATTGCACTAGATCAATAACAGATGTATAATACGAAAATGCAAGTATGGAATAAAATGTATGATTTTTTCAATTTTGTAGTTTTGAGGCTTTGTTACTAATTTTAGAAATCATCAAACGCTCAGGTTGTGTTAGATTATGTGTGTGAATTTTTGAATATCATTGAAAAGGATTATTTTGGGCTGCGTTATCAAGACCTTAGTAAACACAGGGTATGTGTTAGAGTTATTTCCTTGTTAGATCAAATTTTCAAAGTTGATATTAGCTAAGAAATAAAATTGAAATTTCAAATTCTATGAAGTTTCAATAAGTTTTTAAAAATTTATTTGTTTTAGATAATTAACAGCAATATTTTTCAGTACTGGATGGATCTCAACAAACCAATATGTAAGCAAGTACGAGGTAATCCGATTTTTTTTGATGGAAAGTAATTTTTCAGAACAAATTTAGAAAATTTGTAGCGAAATAGATTAGAATTTGTATAACAGTTTTAACTTTTTAAGGGCCCATTGCGACATTACGATTTCGTGTGAGATTTTACCCGTCTGATATAGGCGTTTTAAAGGAAGAAATAACTCGGTTAGCTATTTAAATTTATGATTGTCTTTTACTGTAAAATTAAACTTAAACTTCAAAATAATTTATTGTTAAAATGTATAGTTCCGTACTTATACTTTGCAGTTGGAAATATCAGCTATTCTTGAAGTAGTTTTTTTTTCAAAACGCTAAAAAATAAAAGCACGTCGTAATCTTTTTTTTTTTAAAAATAAGTTTGGATTGAATGGTTTTATTTTACATTTTTAAAATGTTTCTTAGCGTTTTTATATCGCTTTTTTTTCATATATTTTCTAGTAAAATAGTTTTATGTTGTTGTTGCTACAGGAAGATTCTGTGGTAGAAAATGAAGACGAATTTACAGAATTTCATGCGAAATAGATTCAAATTTACCCGAAATTAGATAAATATTAAAAGTAACCGAAATTAATTTTTACATAAATGTTTTAGGTACATGCTGTTTGCGCAACTGCAACGAGATTTACTGCATGGACGATTATACTGTCCACAGAATGAAGCAGCTGTACTGGGGGCACTAGCTTTGCAATGTTTGTTTTTTTCCATTTGAAATGTTTTTCGCACCACTGGAATCATAAATATTGCTTGTGTACATAAATAACTGTTTCTTATTTGCACCAAAATTCTTGTATGTTTTATTTCATTTTTCCACAATTCCAGCTGTAATTGGTGATTACGATGCAGAAGATAGGCCAAAGGATTATGTTTCGAAGTATAAATTGCTTTTGAAGCAAACGGAAAAGCATGAAGAAAAGATTGCTGAAGCTCACAAACAATTCAAGTTAGTTTTTTACAGAACTTTTTCCATTTCGTCCTCGGTATAATTCAACATTGTTTTCCTAATATGTTCAGGTAATAATCAGAAGACAAAAAAAATTCTAAATTATTTAGAGTAACAACAGTTGTATTCGCATATTAGATTTCTTGGTTTAAATTTAATTGTTTTTTTTTGCGTACAGGGGGCTGACACCAGCGGAAGCAGAAATGGAGTTCTTGAAACGAGCATCAAAACTAGACACTTATGGATTTGATCCGTTTACTGTTACGGTTCATATTAGCGGATATTTTCAGAATTTAAAAAATTTTTTCTTTCTATTTGAAATTTCATTTTCATGATACGATAAAAAATAAAATTTTGTTTCAGAATAAACAAAAACAGGTTATGTATATCGGTGTAACCCATCGTGGTATCTTCATTTATCACGTTAGTCGAATGGTCCATCATATTACGTGGTAGTGAAAAAAATTTTGATTACTTCCATACTGACATTTGAAAAAATTTCTTGTAACTTGGATAGTGTTGATGAATAATTATTATCTTTTAGATAAAGAACTGCATGTCAGTGACTTCTTTTTATAGTACTAAAATGCAGTTATAGGTACTTAAAAAATGAATTTTGTAACATTAATTTAATTTTGGGAATGAATTGGAAAAGGTGGACTATATTGGCAAAGAAATTATCATAACACCGGTGCAATCATACGTATCACCTTATTCGTCATCTCCTGAGGATGTAGAAGTGAGTCTGTGGAGTAAATGAAAATTTTCGATGTTAGAAGAAAACTAAACTAAAAATATAAATTAATTATGGCAAAAAAAGTATCGTTCCTTTTTTACGTACTTGGCGCATTTTTGGCATTTAAAGGTGTGTTCATGAAACTAGTCTCTTAAGTTTTTGGATCGAACTTAAAAAAAGGAACGATACTTTTTCGATCCAAAAACGGTTTATGGAAGCATAAATAAATGTTAACTAACTGTATGGCTTTGTTGACAAAAAAGGCTCTATTTTTGTAGTCTTTTCAGCACGCGAATGATACTATGCGATCTAATTTGAGTATGAAAAATGTAAGCTTTTAATTTTAAAACTTTGTTTTAAATCTTTTAGTTGAAAGCAATTAACAGTGAATTAGATGCTTCTATGATTGCTTCAGTTTAGTGATTTTTGCATTCATTTTACTCTTTAAAAATGTTACTTCAAAGCATACAACATTATTTACGTTTTGTTCGCGCATAGTTTTATTTTAATCATTTCTTTCTAGGGACTTACTAAGCAGCAAAAAAAGAAGAATGCTCTGAAATTTCAATGTCCATCAGCTATGTTTGCGAAGCATCTTTGGCGCCATATTTTATCACAGCAAGCTTTTTTCACAGAAAAGGATGCCAAACATATTAAACCAAAGTTTTCAAAGTTAGCTTGCTACATATCATTCAACTTTTTGCAGTAATATATGCAAAATAATAATTATAATAAGTAAAAAAATAAGTCCTCCTGCCTGGAAAGTATGTTAAAATGGTGCTTATAGGCCGCGTATACCTTTGTTAACTCGTGGTTCAACGTTTCACTTCCCAACTTTGAGAGTGCTCCATGAAATTGAGGCAGGAGGTGGTAACAAACGTGAAGGACCTCAGCCAAGGTTTACAAGATATCCGTTGCAGCATCAAGCACCACGACTGCAAAGTTATACCACTGACATTAAGTATAATTCACTTCCCAATGCTCGAGTGATTAACAGAGTTGTTGAAGATAAGGAATCAGGTTGTGATTTTTATACTTAATCGGTGTAATTGTGGAGTTTCACTGAATTAACTCTGATTTGGCTATATTAGGTCAAGTGAAGATTGAAATTCATTTTATTTTACAAATTTAGTAATAGCAGAGAATTTGGAAGAGGAAAAAAATGTGGAAGATAGCATTGCGTTGGACAAAGTGAATCAAATATCGTCAGTGAAAGATCCACCGTCAAGTCCTGAGAATGTGGTAAGCTAACTTTAATGCTTTTTACTGTTTGAAATTGAACCCGTGATATGCTGCTAAGAAACTAATATTTGTTATTCTTGTTGTTTGAGTATAATCGAGTTTTATTGATATCTAGTCTGTTTTAGCTTCATTCATTCCCTTTGTGCTTGTGTTAAAAGTATTTTTGAAATTTCGTTGAATTTTTTAAACTATGTTTCATTTATTACTGTAAATATTGACAATCTTTGGACTGTTTTACTAGTAAAGCATTGGATTTTTCTAATGTTTAAAAACTTTGTTTCCCTCGATGCCGATCAGCATAACTAAATTAGTAATCAAATTACTACAGGTTAAATTATGGCAATCTTTCTTAATTTGATAACTGAAATAAAAATAAAAGATATTTTTGTGTCTAAAAATCAGGTATTGCAAGATGTCGAAGTGAGTGTGATAAAATTAAATTATTTTACAATAATTAACTTTAATAAGCATATGATTCTTTATGCATTATAAGTTTGCGTTAATGAATGATTTTTTATTGGAAATGGTTAGTTCCGTTCTAATATGTAAGCTTCTAAAGTTCCTTATGCAAACTTTCTTGACAAAATTCAGAATTTTCGCGCCACAATTTCAGACAACGTTTACTATACGTCTTGTGCGAAAGGAACCGTTATCTCCACATTCGGTATGCTAAAATTAAGATCACTGCGCATACGTATTTGTTTTTTAAGTGCCTATTCATAAGCTTTATCCAATGATGGTGGAATTATTGTCCTAAATCTAGTAGCCTGTATTTTTTTTTTTGAAAAAATTGCTTAATTGCTTTTTGTTACCTAATTGGTACCACTCGCTACACGCAATAATTAGCTAGTCATATATGTGACAGAACCTATTTTCTTCCTTTTTTGTGTTCTATGAATACGTTTGCAGCGAAGAATACCAAAGAAGAATAAAATAAATATGCATTGACGTAACTAGTAAATTGGGAGGGTTTATTTGTTTTCGTCTTTTGCTTCAAAAAAACTTGCTCTAAATTTAAATTTCATTTCTGCTGTTAGTGAAGCTAAAGAATTCTCAATTTTATGGACAAAGCAATTTTGAAGAAAAACTTTTTCATTAATTTTTGTGAAAAATCTGAGTAAGACTGTAATGTTGATAGCATTCAAATAATTTTTCTGAATTTAAATTGTAGCATTCAAATGATAACAAGTTTAGCATAAATCTTTACTGCATACTTCTGAAAAGAAATTAACTCTCCTTTGTGGTCACATTCGATGAATTACTGTCCGAAGTAATCATTTTGTAGTAAACAGTGCTTGATGCTTGTAAACAAGCATCTTTGCTTGTTGTTATTAGTTGCACTGATTTTATGTGAAGTATATTTTTATTTCAGTACGAATGCTGCAGCGAATGTACAATGGAATCAACAGATAAAGATTGTTTCGATAAAATGTTAGATGCTGTGAGACCTTTGAGAGCCAGTGCAAATGAAGGGGGAAATTCTAAACATGACACAATATTGATAGGGACCAGTACTTCAAGCCCAATCACAATCGCTACCACAACCTCAACAACGAAGACGATGAATACTGATGGATTCAGGCACGGAGATCAGGTTCAGGCCTCTAGTACTACGAGTACTAGCTCCCATAGATCAGATTTTGGAGTAGTTTTCCCAACTCGTTCAACTGCATCTACCGTTGCGAGTGCCGTCAGAATTTTCTTCTCACTACTCTTATTTTGGTTTCTATTAATCGCTATTGCTATTGCACTATTTGAGGTTAGTCATTATACAAGTATGTGTTTGAAGTAATACTTTTCTATTTAATATTACATCTCAAGTAAGTAAACGAGAATACAAGTAAAAGATGCATATGCCTTCAGTAAGCAAGTATTCATTAGTACAGAATTGTATTTAAGTGTGTCAGTTTTCCAACTTTTTGTTTGGTTACGATGAGATTAGTCCTACGCTAATTACATTTGCAGCGTGATTCACCTTGGTCAAATTCAGTACCAGCTTTGGATACAGTAAGACATGTTTTGTACGAACCGATACGACATCATATTCTGGCCTTGTATGTTCGTTTCATAAATCACTGAAAATATCGCTCTAAGCATTGCTATATTTTTGTGATATTATATTTCGGACAATCTTTTTTTGATTGTTCACAATGGCCATTATATAATTAGCTTAGTTTTTTTTACAAAAAAAAAACTTAAAAAGCTAAATACGTGTAACACTTTCAGACAGTAAGTAGTAGTACTGAGCATAAATTTTGAACAGTGCGTGGACATTTATCATTGGTAAGTGCGATGCAGAAAGTGAGTACTGTTCATGTATGTCGACTGTAGAATTAAAGTTATGAGTGAAAATTTGCATATTCAACAATTTTCGATTTGAAAAAATATTTTGTATCACATGCTATTTGTCATTGCCACTACATACATTGATTGTATTATTGGGTTTCTCTTTTCCTCTAGTCTCTTGCTGTTTCTGCGGGATTAACTTTTCATGTTATTACTGGGTAGATAGAGCGAATTTGGTGTGAAGGTGTACTTATTTTTAGTAATTATCTCAATGGTACTGTTGACTAATTTGATCCTTACACGGGTTTCTCTGCACTGCTATTTTTGACAGTTATTATGAATACTTGTAGAAGTACCTGCTAATAGCAGTAGAAATATTTAATTGCTGGTTCATACGGTGTTTTGCTAGTTATTTATAACATATTCAATGTAGTTTTTGTAAGATTATATGCATGAGTGCGTTCATTTGGATTACAGAGTATGAACATTGCTGCTAAAGTTTTTTATTTACTTAAATGTATTTTGGTACCCAAAATAATGACTTCATTTTTGTATTAATATAAAAGGGTTAATTCGGAAGTTAACTTGGATAAAAGTTATCTTGCTACTCAGTCGTATTTTGCTCTACATTATATATAGCCAAGGTTGCATAAATAACATGTGGATGACCCGTCCGTAGTGTTTGATATTTTAGGATGAATAGTGCTGAATCATGAGATTAAGTTGATGAACTCAGTTTGTCTGCTTTCGTAGAGGCATTTTGTCTTCGGTAGTGTGAAGCATTCAAGTGCTGAAGTAGATTGCTGTAAAATAAATTAGCATCACGGAGTAGCAGTCAGAGGTGGTAGTTGGGTTCAAAAATAAAGTCATAGAAACAACAAAGTGTTTCATATTGAATATTAAAATAGTACGAGCAAAATTTTGAAAACAATATTTATGACTGCAAGACTCATTTTTTGTCGCTATTGAAGTCATAAATCAGTTCTTCTTTGCGTAGCTTTATGGATTTACGGCGATTTTCCACGTAAATTTCGAAGTTTGACGTGTAAGAATAAGTACAATAGTACTGCAAGAAGTGATATATTATTATGATTGATAATAATATGTGGTATGTGTAGTATTGGATGTTGTCACTGATATTAATTCGCTTTTTAAAAGATGAAAACTGCACTCATTACCATGACGACAAGCTGATAAAAATATAACTAAATAGAAAAATGTAAAGTATGTTAAAGTAAAGTAAGCTAATGTAAACTTCCTTCTCGAAGCTACACTTTGCGAATGCATCTTTGATCTCATATGACGTGGAGGATTGAGCTCAGAAACTCTCATATTCACATCAGATTAGCATTCTCCGTTTTGTTTATAACTTTTATGATTAATGCGAGTTTTGTTGTTGTGCGTGAAAATGCATTAATAATTAATTAATAAGAATTCCTTTCAAAATGTAGCTATCTAATGAATAACAATTTTTTTTCCAAGTGAAAAATCATTAAGTAATTGTGCTGTTATTCATTACTATTACAGTTTCAAAGTTTTCCAATTAATCCTAAACAAACCTATGGCAAAAGTTGAAGCTATAGTTTATGATTTTCTTGAAATAAAATTAAGATTGTCCGAGTCTAGCCATTGAGTAGGCTTGCATGTACAATAGAATTTTATGCTTCAAAGCATATCTACAAAATTTGAACTTGATTTTTAGGACCAACTTTCATCTTTTCTTTTTTTCATTATAATTATTTGTAGAAATAATTTGTATCAAAATTTGAAGAAATTTTATTGTAAGAGCAAGTTGTTGCTGATGAAAAGTATTCACTTACCTTTCACTAAGACGGAGTCTACGTTCACGTGGAGGTGGACACGTAATAGTGACTTACGTCGACGTCGGAATGGCTGGAGTTGGCCCCCTTCTGCATTACAATTGCTTTGTTGGCTAGCGATACCTGTGATAGCTCCGTCTACTGCCTTCTTACTTTTACCTTTGCATCAACTTTACGCTCCATTAGCTGTATTAATTGCTACTCTGTATCTTTTGCTACAAATCATCATACTGACAAGCATTGACCCCGCTGTGAGCAACTTGCACAAAGGTCAGGGACCTGCACTTTTTGATGCAACAAAACATAATCATGTTATCGAGAATCTCTACTGCAATATTTGTCTCATTCACGTGTAAGCAAATATTTTTGAAATTAGTTTTACGTAAAGACTTACTTATAATAAAATATGCTATAGTATGATCAAATAAGTTAACAGCATTTTAAATTTGAATTTTTAAATTTTTGCTTACTAAATATTTAAAAGATTTTTTTGAAGTAATAAAATATTAAGTTAGTAATTTCAGTAATTTACTGTGCATCTTAATCCATACTTATCATATCAATTTCTATTTATCATTCAATAAAAAGATCAGATATGAACTGATCGCACTATGTAATTACAAGAAACATAAGTCGTAGCATGACATAACTGAAATTAACATGAAAAAGTGAGTGTGAAGACAATTGTTGTTTGTTACTTTGCAGGGATCCAACTTGCAAACATTGTCGTCAGTGTAATAAGTGTATATCTGGCTTTGATCATCACTGCAAATGGCTCAATAATTGTGTGGGTGCTGTGAATTACAGGTTAATTAACTGCACATCTTCTAAGACTAATTCAGCTTTCAATTCATAATTTTAAGATTCATTGCTTTTGAGGGAAATTTTGCATATTTAAACTTATTACAGAAGATATTGTGTGGCGTTGTATTCAGCTTATTACGATAATTTATTTAAATAACTACTACAATATAAGGTTAACTTATATTTCGTTTACTTTTTGCATATTTCAAAGATTAAAGCAATTTTATAGGTTATTCTTACTATTAGTGATGTCAGTATGCTTCATATCAGCGATCATATCAACATGCCTTATTGTTCTTCCAGTTATTTCATTCATTAACTCAAAATTACTGCTTGATATAAGTAAATTAACAATTTTACTTATTGTTTGCTTAATTACGACGATTAAAAGTCAGACATGCTTGCTTTGTCAGTCAATTACTCAGTGCTCTGATGAAAACATTTTGATCATTTTTTGCATCTATCGAAAACTGCAAAAAAGAAAACAATGTAATGGTCTGGAAGGAAATATTAATGGAAGCCAAAGGTTGAAATATCAATAAATACGCTTTCAGATAAGTTACCGATGGAAGTAATTATGTGGCAAGCACTCTGCCTGGGAGCTTGCGTTCCATACACAATTGTAGCATTCCTCTGCGCACATCTAATTTATTTCCATTACAAATTATGTCAGTTAGTCTGTAATTTCAGTATTTTTTCAAGCACATAACTGATAATTCTTTAGTTCTCACTTGTTAGAGAAAAGAGAAATTGTTCATACAGAAAAGTAATTTTCGCAGCTCATTATCAGTCTATTTTAGACTTTTAACTTTCCTGAAACTTTTAAATTATTTCATTGGCATAAACAAATTGGACAGCAGGCTTTTCAGGGGAGCATGGCATGACAACCTATAGCTTCATCAGAGTTAATCCACAGTCTCAAGTATGTTTCTTCTTATTTGTCTCAATAAACACTTTTATTCTCTTTCTTCTCCAAAAAAAGAGCGAAATTTGCATTAACCTTTGACATCAATTAATTACAGTTCCAAGTTACAATAAAATAAACAAATTATGTATTTGGTTTTATATTTTGTTTTTTTTCATTCATTGAAGCAATCGTTTATCCACTCTGTTTTAACTTGTTTTTCTATCCTGTTCATCGCGCGCTTTTCATTATAAAAGTTTCAATCTCTTCTAGATGTTTGTGGATATTATTTTCTATGCATAATAATATCTATAAAACTATTTCTTTACTTTTATTCAGGAAGCTGAAGATATTATTTCTGTACATTTAAAAATTTCTGTACATATAAAATACGCAATGATTTAAAAAGTAAAGCTTTTCTGAACAGTTTTCATTTTTAGTGTTTTTCTAAAAAATTTACTACTAACAATTGCAAGTACTTTTAAATTATTCTTATTTGCTTAATTTTAAAAAAGTTTAAAATTACTAAAACTCTGAAATAGAAATAATAAAGTAAAATTAGATATGGGGTATATTTATTTGTTTATTCTGGTGCTTGCTTACTAATTTACATACATCTCATTCGCAGCCATGTTTACTTATTACTTTTGCGTTTAATATCTGTAATAATTCAATTATAGCTTCAAAAGAATGATGAGCAAAATATTGCAACAACTACTCCAAATAGAGTACCTGATACTGTTACTGTAGAGAAAAGTTGTTCCAAACGAAGTACGATAAGGTCGAGAGCCATTCACGATTCTTCGCAATCAATTCCATATCCTTATTCTGTATCTCAAACAAGTATTACGAGTAAAAATGATTTGAAATGACCTCAAGCTTAATTCTTTTGTGATTTTAATCGAAAACTAATTTAAATTTTGTTGTTTTATAGTTGATATTTATTAAAATAGCAAGTAAATTAAGTTCATATAACAGTATTGAAAGATACGATAAAATGTTAAGTATTTTAAAACTTTGCAAAAAGAATAGTCGTTTGACTGTTAAATTATTAATAGTAAGTTCAAATTTTATTCTCTTTATGAAATTAAGCCTTTCACACTTAATTTATAATTCGTTTATACAAATAAAATTTTAACTCAAAAATTGATCAATTTTTTGAATTATGAAAATGCAGTTATGAACACGCATTCATTGTTACTGATGTATTAAATATGTAATAAGTATTAGTTGCTGTGAAGATAATGCAAAAGAGATCTAAATCATACTGTAATGTAATTAATTCTTACTCACTATTTTTCCCTTATTTTATTTTGCTTACAAATTAATTTTTGAATATTGATCTGTGGATAATTTTTTAGCAATATAAAATAGTGTCAATGACAACAATAATGGTAATAACAATAATTAATGGCACTGAGATTGAAAAATGCAAATGCTGATAATTAAGTGCTGTAATATATGATAATGACTTAAAGTATGCGAATAAATCCTTTAAAAAAGTATTTAATCTCAGTTTATTCGATAACTGTGCATTGCATCAAAAAAAAGGCGAAGAAGCGGTTGGGGGATTAAATATGGCTGTGATTGGAGTTGTGCTCGCTGTTGCTATCGTGGTTTTTCTGTGGCGTTACTGTGGGTTAAGTGTTACTTATCCACGGTTAACTGTCGAAGTAAGCAAACATTCGAAAACTCAACAAGAAGTGCTCAATATTAACAGCAAAAAGATTTGCTGTTAATGTAAGGCTTGCTAGGCGATGTGTACAAGGGACAAAGGCGCAATCGGCGTGAAATCACGGTGGATTTATCGAGGGATTACCATAGCTTTCTAGCATTGTTGCAGCACACTAATATTTCCTACTTTAAATCTGGCAAATTCATTACAAATTGTGGCCTGAGTCTTTCTGACTAATGAGTATTTGTTTGCTAATATGTTCCAAGTTTTTAGACTTTAAACAAGTTAAAATATGTGGTTATGTCTTAGAAGAAAAATTTTTCGAAGTTTAAATCTCTGCTAATTTTAGCAAGTAGATTTATTACGGATGCGAAGCAAGCAAAGATTAGCAGCCGTATGCAATCAAAAAAATGCTGCTGCACCTAAAGACATCGGAGTAGACAATAATAAAGGTCAGACTTTGTTACATCAGATGGATATTTCTTACGGAGTAATGTCAAATAAAATAGATAAAAATTTAGTTTCAACTCAAAGTTTGCTGTCTGTTCTAAGCATTGATTCTCTAATACTCTCTGAAAAAACGGGACTGAATATGCAAGACCAGTCATGCTTTACAACAGCAAAGGAGAAACGTAACTCAGCACAAGAATATGAAGCACATACTTTCCGACCTTTCGACCCATATCTTCCGCATTCCGATGTCTCGTACTCAATCCATTTGACATCAGTAGAAGAAAATGCAAATTTCATGTTGGGAATAGCATTAAAGGAAAATTCTTTAGAAGCAACAAGCGAGGAAACTGGAATTACGGCAACAGACAATACAGCAGAAGCTCCAAGTGGCATAAGTTCAGAATCAATAATTCAGAAATGTATCAAAGCACCACATCAGACTCTTGAAGAACAGTGGATTCAGCATGAACTTCGAACTAATAATGAACTGATTGCCATTCCTACCACAACTGCTAAAGATAATGATTTGGAACAAACTTCTAGCAGTGAATACTCGTCGACGGAGCTCACAACAAGTGAAACTGAATCTTATGTGTTGACGGTTGCTGACAAGGAAAATGATTCTGCATTTGAAAATTTGGAAACAAATCTTCAAACCGCTACAGCAAAGGCAGCACAGAAATCAGATTCGGATCAACAGCTCACAGTTGCTAATGTAAATATTTTAATTATAAATTTCATTTCAAAAAGTTTTGCATGCAAATTCTAATTCAAATTCATAAGTTGTACCTATTTCGATAAGATAACACAAGTCGTAACTTTGAACTATAGATTTATTGATACTATTTCCATTTCAGGAGATCAGCAACTGGTCAACAACATTTAACACTATTGATTATGATTTAATCACTACTGAAGCTGAACGTTCCGAACTCAACTAATATATCAGAAACTAGCCCCAACCTAGCCTCATTTTACCAAAGCCCCAACCTTATCTCACCTTCTTTGTAATATCTTCTCGTATATATATAGATTTAAAAAACATGTAATTAGCTTAAATATGTAATATATAATCTTGACATGTAATGTAAAATGAAAACATTTTGTTACTGGTGTGTTGAATTTTTCGTACAAAACTCTTTGAATATACATGTGTTGTGACAGAAGTATAATCCTAAATGGAGCGCACAAGAAACGGAAATTGAATTTCATCAACTAAGCAATGACGCCTGACCACTTTTAGCAATAAAGACTCTATTTGCAAAAATAAAATACCAACGTTACTTCACGTCGGATTCCTTGACATCATAAAAGGTGAATTCGCAAATTGCTATCAAAAACACAATTCGGTAAGGAGCATTCCTGAGTATTCTTCTCAAAGATCTTTTTCCAGAAAAAAATTCTGCTTTAACCAGATTCATATGCTAATATGTTAAAAACATAAAACAAAGATTTTGAGTGCTAGAAATGATAAAGATGCAAAAAATGACACTTTCAAATCAAAATTTTTTGCATACTATTTTGTAACAATTTTCAAATTTTCTGTTATGCAACATATCCAATTATGCAAAATTTGTAAAGGCTATATAATGCAAAATGTTAGGATGGCTAATCACTCATTCGAGAACTCTCGGTGCTTCCCCCAGCATGGGAGGGGTATGGTTTAGCATTGCTTTGGTTTCCATTTTCAGTCCTCCACAAAAATCTTCGAGGAAAAGATGAATTGAGTAAAGTGTATTGAATAGTCTCAATCCAAAGGGCTTAGCAGAATACAGGATAGGGGGCCCATTGCAATGTGTAAAGAAATAAAAAAGATTTCAGGAATCTGGCAACGTAGAATGAATCTGAACTAGTCTTAAGCCATAGCCTTGTGCATCATTTTTGATTCTAACTATGATGATTGTATGGAGAATAATTACAATAGTAAAAGAGCGCTAAATGCTTTTTCACAGTTCTTAGTTAGATAGATTAATTTTAAACACTGGACATTGGACTTCATGAAAAATAAAAAGTGCTGAAAGCAATTTCAGGCACAGTCGAAACCAAAGCAAAAAGAAAGCGAAATAACTGCTTCTGTAAGTTACTCCTAACTTATCACTCTGTCCCTATAACAGAAACTACCAGAAAAGAGAATAAAATTAAAAGCTAAATTTGTTGAATTATAGAAAAACCAATTAGAGCCGAAAACAGATCAGAAGCAGCCCGGATTGGATCACAAAGACATAGCACCATCAGACCAGAAGCAGCCCGTATTAGATCACAAAGAAGTAGCTTCATTAGATCAGAAACAGCCGGAATCAGATCACAAAGACGTAGCACCATCAGATCAAAAGTTCGAGTCGGACCACAAACACAAAGATTCATCAGATAAACACCAACCACTCCCTGAAACAATCGCTCAGTCAGCATCTGGAACTGAATTAGCTTGTGAGGTATATATCCCGAAATTTAGAGCTGGATTTGTACCTCAAGTTATCATAGGAAACACGCCAACTGAAAACGTTCACACCGCAATTGAAGCCTCTCCAACTTTAATAAAGGAAATCGCCCAACAGGTTCAAAGTTTTATTAAAAATTATAATGAGGTTTGAACTTTCATCAAGCAAAATTTCATTGACTATCTTTTTACGCTAATTTATCTTGAAAAATTCATGCACGCTGCAAGCTAATTTTTCAAAAATATTATAAGCCAACATTACGAACTAAATCTCATACATAATACCACCGGACTACTGCTCCCTCAGACATAATAATATTTATGAGCTAAATTTTAGCTTAAACACATAATTTTTCACGATAGACTCATCTGACCTGTTTGTGCTTACTCAGACTTTTAATTTTAGTGTAAGTTACAGCCAAGCATTTGTTTCATTCAAATTTCAGAGGAAAAAGAACATAACATAAGAGAAGTTGGAAGGAAGGCAGTAGTCGTGGCCAAGTGTTGCAATGAATAACGAATATTGTCTAAATGAATAATTTCTGACAATTTTTCAAACTTATTCTCACTTGCGCCATTACTCAAAACAATTGCAATTGAACATTTTCAAATAAAATTTTTATTAACTATGGACAGTTCAAGTCGCTATGGAAAAATTCATCTGGTAGCCCAGACTAAAAAGTGTCTAACACTAATCGCTAGAGTTCAAAGGTTCTCAATGTTCAGCACCTCAAAAATAACATTCTATATTATTGCGATTGTAAGTAAAAACTACTTATATACTATGGTCTGGGCCGATGTTAAATTCAAAGAGATTAAACTTCTTCTGTCCCACAAAACTCCAGAACTTCATCAAACATGAACTGATGCTAGAATTACACTGTTACATTTGCCTTGCAATGAATTTAAAAAATGCTTCAGACTCAAATTCTATGCAGTCAGAATTATCACTGCTAGGTTCGGGCTTTAATTTCATATAAATGCATACTGATATTACGTTGTTATTAATCGTAATAACTCTTATACATACTCAAAAACTACTTTACGGCAAATAGTAGCTTTGCAACTATTATTGAAAAATGAACAAAGTGGTGTAAATCTCCAAGGTAATGAACAAATTACTTAACCATTCTATCTGATTCATATTTATTGGAGTGAGTTCACGAGTAAGATTTTTTCCTTCAATAACACTAATAATCGCATTATCTTAATCAAAAACTGATATTATTTTATTATGGACTCACTCGAATTGGGATATATACATCGATCGAATCGGTTATTCTTATTTAGAATAAGTAACTGTATTAAAATAACTGACTGTACTAGAATAGCGAGGAATCATATTAGTTGGTGAACATGGTTACAATTCGATAACAAACGAAACTATTACAGAAACCAAAATTAGTCAGAATTACATCATGTATCTCCAATCGAAATAATAATGACTAATTACAGTCAACAGCTATATAATGTAAGGGGGTCAAAATTTAAAAGTGTGTGTTTATTTTTTGATCGAGGAGTTTCGATATGAGACATCTTCATCTTGCTGTTCTGATGATATAGATGCCATCACTGAACGCGATAAATCACTTTCATCTGATAAATTCCTCAAAAACATCACTTCATAACTTTTTCTATGATATATATATCATGCAGATAAAACGAACAAGAACTAATGATAAGTCAGTCATTATAGCTCTCTCATATTTTGCAACAAAATCTGCCAGAAGTTTATAGCTAAAATTATATCTTAAAAAACTAACTCAGCCCTTAACCTTGAATATGCGCAAACTGACCAGATCAAAATTACTTAAATACGATTAAAGGCCACTGAAAAGAGTGAAGATAAAAAAAATAGATACATACTTGAGAGGTTTCATTTCATCAGCGCTACTTTCAGTATCGAAATTTGACCTGCTCGATATTCGTGAGTCTTTCTCACGCAAACTGTTCGACTGATCAAATTTTAATGGCATTAACCTGCATTTTTAAAATCACATACAAACTGCTATCAGTAAACTTTCAAACAAGTCTAAAACTCATCCAAATATATTTCAGTGTTCTAAATTTGCTTCAAATTTATCCTATTTTTCTTGATTTAACTTCATTACGAAATAAACTGATACCACTTCCTAGAACAACTTTAAATACAACTGATCAATCCCATTATTAGTCTAGAAAGTAACTTGTAAATATATATGTAAACTCAAGACATCATGTACTTCCTCGAAATATGAACAAAATACAGTTGTTATTTGAAATTTGACAAAAGAATCAAACTAATAAAGTTTGCAAAATGAATCAAAGTAGGACTTCCGAGATGAGTAAGATTCTAGCAAGGTAACATGATGATCTTCTTGTCGTCTACAGATGTGAATCAGAAATAAAACAAATATCGTCACAATGATAATAAATGGGATCGAAGTTATCTGCAAATGTGTTGCAAAAATAAGGCAATAGCTAAACAGTAAACAAATCAGACTACAATCTTTGTTTATTCCAAGACAACTAGATTATTTACTGATTTCACCGCTTATCAAGCATATTTCAAGAATCCTTACGTCACAATCACTAATATCTATGTAGAGTCTAACGCAACAAATTAAAGATATCTTTGATAAGAATTTGAAACATTCAATACTAAACTTTATCGCATTAAATATACTTGTTAAAAAACGAAATACTGACTTAAATATAAGCGTTAGACTGTCAACAGAAAGTTTAATTCTTTTTACTGAAATGCCAACTGCAAGATAAGAAGTACACAATCTCTATGATAAGTTTCGCTAAAAATGCAGACTTGTTTGGAAATGTGAATTACTCACAAGGAAGTGCCAAAGGCATTACTGCTCTGTTAGTAAAGTATGCTAAGATATGAGCAGAATAAATTAGCACTGACAAAATGTTTGACAACAATTAATGTATTTGAATGGATTAAAAATTAAACCAACAAGAATTAGAATCACAAGTGGAATACACAGTCGTCCAATGCAGAAATGATGCATTTTGCCATTATTCGTTGAAGTAATCTGTGTTTTGCCCATTTTGAATATTACAACGAGCTGCAAGCTTTTCTCGTGCTTGCAAAGAAAACTTCACCCTACGACCTACCCTTGACTTCTTGACCTCCTTTGACTACAACTATTCTGACCTCCTTTGACTATTACTTTCTGAGCTTTTTTGTCTACAACTATTCTTCTCTCTTACAGTCTCTTCTGATCCCTACTCCTTATATTACGGTAGAATATTATAAGCACTAATTTAAAAGTAATAAGCTTTACTTCATCAACTTCTAGCAAAAGTTATAATGTTTCCAAGTTTATCTAAAACTTTTCCTAGCAGAAAAAATCCCTTTTGTTTGAAAGTCTACATAACTGTGCACAAACTGTTATCGCTTCAAATGTAAATTGTAGTCAGGTGTTTTTGAATTCCCAACAAAAGTTTAAAAAAATAAATACTCATAAAAAAACTATCAAAGTCAGTAGTGCAATTACCATGCTATTCAACCTACTACTCGTCTCATTAACTGTTTCATTTGAAAAATGCACAGTAAATTTCTTTGTTCTCAATTCTTCTGCTGGATTTTTCCCTCGCGACATGTTTTCTTCTCCGTTAACTACAGTACGTGTAATGGCCATACAAAGAATACAAAATTTAAAAAAAAACACCAAAATTAATAATAATTGTTTGTAAATGCTTGCAGTTTCAATTTTCTACACAGAATTCTAGTAAATTAAACGAACTATCACACGCATGAAATTTTGAAAAAAATCAACAAAAATGTGAGCAGTGAAAAGAATGAGAAAAAAATTACCTGACAATAATAAATTATACCATGCAGACATTAATGAAAGAAAATATACATATAACAATGCTTTTCCAATTTTCAGATGATATTTGTCAACCATTTACTTGCAAAACACGACCACAAAATATCAAAGATTATAACAAACATTATAAACTACTTAATAATTGAATTGATAAATAAGCTACAGAAATATGAATATTCAAATAAATATTACGTTTAAAAAAATTTCAGGGATATATGATACACTTTGCTATTAGAGTAAATATTTTACGGACCGCGAAAAAATACCTCATTCATTTAATAGATAGGCTTTTAAGCGGATAAATTGGCTTTTTGGATTTGTATAGAGATATGAGGTGTGGTTTATTATCAGTGGATTTGACGTCTCCATAATAAGTGTGCTAAAACAGTGCTACATTTAAAAGTGTGATCCCTAAATCTGGTTTTAGCGAGCACTCTCTATTGACAGTGATCAGAGCTGAACAAACCACTCGTTTTTGTTACTGTGCGCCTTATTAGAAGCGATAGATTGTTGCAGGTGGTTTTTTCTCTGATGACAGTAGGAAGAATACCTCTCTTTACATGTATGTACTCTTGGCAGTTTCTTTAATTCAATCAGAGTACAGATTGAACTTATTAAAACTTGTAAAAAGTTTGGAATTTAACATAGTTTACGTTTTCAGAAGTCTAATAAGTGTGATGTCTATAAATAAATAAATTTTAAATGTACATTGAGTGATCAAATTAATTGCAGCACATCAATGTCGAGATTGGCGATAGAAGATGAAGCAGCTTGTTCTGCTGCCAAGAAGTTCACGGACTTATATTACGATGCTGTTGATAGGAAAAGAAACAAAATGAATTTTTTGTACATGGACGAAGCTACTCTTGTATGGAACGGCAATGCTGTACGTGGAGTAGATGTCATTGCCAAGTTTTTTGACGATTTACCGAATTCCACTCATACGTTAGTATTTTAAAACATTTTCTGAAAAGATAGTTCATAGAGTGAAGCTAATCTTTGCATAATCTTACAGTAAGTAGTCGTCGCTCTACTTGAGCTCCATTCTATACAAACTAATCCCGTTGGCTTGAGTCGGCGCATTTTTTATCATCACTCATTGTTCATCTTGTTACCCGAATGATAGCTTTATTGCTTCAGGATTGAGTCATTAGATTGTCAATATATCGACAGTTCCGACCCAGTACGGCCTATAGTGGTTCTAGCTGTTGGTAAAGTCGTTCTTGGTCAAATTACACACGCCTTCACACAGACACTTGTTTTAATGCTGGATGATGAAAAGTACAAAATACTAAGTGATCGATTTCGATTTGTTGATTGAATCACGGGTTTTCTTGTTTTATGCCCTCATTGTCCAATAATATACCGCAATTAAGAGTTTTCCATTTCTTTGCAGTCGATGTCGATATTGATAGTTTTTTTGTCACACATGTGGAAAACTCGATATAATTCGTAAAGTTTCAATGAATTTTGTTCGCACTGTCACTGTTGTTATATAAAATGAGTTCTACGTTTATGCACTCAGTGAAAAATAAAATACCCACCATACAAATTTTATGCAAAGCAGAGAAATGCATCACTGTAATGAGATTAACAAATTGAAAAGTAGCAGTGTGTGTTTTACCACGTTTAAAAATCAACAAGGTAGAACGCAATTACCGTCCTGACGAATAGTATCTGTTGACTTGTAGAAGGGAATGCCGAAGTTGGCAATTAGTAACGATAATGATCGGGCTTATATGGCCCTTCAGTAGGTACTCCAAGATATTCAGCTTGTTCCTGCGTCAGCTTTGTAAGCTTAACACCAAGCTTATCAAGATGAAGTCGGGCAACTTCCTCGTCTAATATTTTTGGCAGTACATGTACACCGACTTGGTATTCCTGAGGAGTTCCATGTTTTGTATATAATTCAACTTGTGCTAACACCTGCAATTAGGTAAATTAAGAAAACCGAAATTCTTCAAAAAGTCAGTTTAAGCACCTGAGAAGATTTCGAAACTCCATTCACTTTAATTTAGGCAGAATGCAATTTTTATAAATGTATGTGATGGTGACGATTATCGAGATAAAATTTAAAAGCAGATATTTCTAACTTGATTGGTGAACGAAGTGCTCATAACAAATGATGGATGTCCCGTAGCACAACCTAAATTGCAAAGTCTACCTTCCGCTAACAAAATAATATGTCGTCCATTTTTCAACAAATATCTATCAACCTGCAGCAATAGTGGTGTTGCAAAAAGAATTAACTAAAAAATTATGATCAAATACATTTAGTTGAAACGGGAGTAAAGCAAAACCTTATCGTTTGTGGTGTTACAATTTGTAAGATTGAGATAAGCAGAGATCACGGAAAAGTACCTGAGGTTTGACTGTATTTCGGTTGACTGCGTTGTTATTTAGCCAGCTGACATCGATTTCCACATCAAAATGTCCAATATTGCATACGATAGCGTCTTCAGGCATTTCCATCATATGTTCACTTCGAACAACATCTCTGCAGCCAGTTGTAGTAACCACAATATTTGCTATCGGTACTACCTCCTCAAGTGTTCTAACTTCATATCCTGCACAGAAAATATTTCAACGATTTTCAGAAACTCCTTGTGAATTTGTTCATGGAAAAAGCATGGGTACATTTTCTTCAAACTTGGTTTATGAAGCATTTTATTACAGGACAATATGCAGTTATAAGAAAGAATTTATGCAAACCTTATAAAAATATTACATAAACTGAAGCTACTGAAACCAAAGAATTTATGTTACCTTCCATGGCAGCTTGCAAAGCATTAATAGGATCGATTTCTGTAACAATTACTCTAGCACCAAATCCTCTGAGAGAAGCAGCTGCTCCTTTTCCAACATCACCATAACCTGCTACGACTGCAACTTTTCCTGCAACCATTACATCCGTAGCTCGTTTAATACCATCTGGTAATGATTCTCGAATACCATACAGATTGTCGAACTTTGATTTTGTAACACTATCATTTACATTAATAGCCGGTACCTAAATAGCAGAAATCAACATAAGTATGTAACAAATAATAAGGAGAATTTAACGTGATTTATAATACATTCTTCTTTATATTTCACTGAGCATTCACTGGAACACTCTGAATATATATATAAATATAACTTTTGCTTTCAGACAAAAGTGGACCTTTAATTTTCCAGCAGCAAACATCTTGGTAAGATTATGCACACCAGTAGTAGTTTCTTCACTAAGACCATAAATGCCTGGCAAATACTGAGGGAATTTCTTGTGAACAATATTAGTCAAATCACCACCATCATCCAGAATCATGTTTAGCTGCTGACCATTTTTGAATACTAGAGTCTGAAACAAAATTTTAAATCGTGCAAAAAAAAACATTTTAAATTACATCATCTGAACTGATTCCAACTCATACCAATAATCACCTCTTTTTATATATAAAATGCTTTTTAAGTTCCAGAAAAATAATGAACATATAGCACTGCAATGAGTTAAGTGAAACTACAATGAGAGATACTACTCATGGTACGTTTATTTACAGTGTAGCTTGACTTTAACAATAAGGTGAAGTCAAGAGTCAAGAAGTATATATATAAGGAATGAATTCAAAGAAAAAACCAAATGAACTACTACTTCAATAAAAACTACTGGAAGTATATACCTGTAAAATACACCACTCATATTCTTCTTCAGTTTGTCCTTTCCATGCATAAACAGGAACACCCACTTTTGCAATAGCAGCAGCTGCATGATCCTGAGTTGAAAATATATTGCAAGAGGACCATTGTACCTAAAAATACTGGCAGAATATACAAGCCTGATGGAAAAGCACTCATAATTTGAACTATTTAAAGATCTACTGAAACAACCATAGATACTGTTTGAAGCTGACTAATATATTCTAACAAAATCATTATTTGAGCAATTTATTTTCAACTTATGATCTATAGTTGCTGAAAATGTTGTATGAATAATTGAAAAAGAATTGTTCTGCAGCTTAATATATGTAATGACATACCAGAGATTTACTAGAGAGAAAAAATAAGAAAAGGATATCTTTCTTAGAGCAAAAATTTTAACCTCAGCACCAAGTTCTAATAAAGTTTCGATGAGCACTGCTGTTTGAATAGTCATATGTAAACAACCAGCAATACGAGCACCTTTCAATGGTTTTTGAGACCCATATTTTGCACGCATTGCCATTAAACCAGGCATTTCATTTTCTGCCATTATTATTTCCTGTCGTCCAAATTCAGCTAAGTTTATATCAGCTGAAGAAATAAATAAGCAAAAAGTGTAAGGAATTCATTACTGATATCTTGCAATGGTCAGAATTTCAATTCCATTGATTGCTTTTTTATCATTTCAATATTGAAAAAAGAACGACAATACACATGACTAAAATATTATATACAAAATAATGGATTTCGAATCCCAAATTACACCCAATTAATGACAGAATAACCATGAAACCTACCAACTTTATACGAAGGTTTCGTAGACATTGTAGATAAGTCCATAAAATAATGTGAAGAATCCTAAAAATTTTTTCCTAAGAATACAATCCCTTTTAAAAACAATCACACTAATATAACCAATCCTTCTACAAAACTGTTTACGACAGCATATGAACCAGGCACCAGCTGGTCAAACTTCACTCACTTATGGCTATTAGCGTCCCAAAAACTCACACAAAACAAAAAGGTCTGAAATAGGTGAATATTAAGACCCTCAAAAAAAGTCTTAAATCTATAAAAACGTCTTTTTAGTCTGAAACAAGAGTTACATAACGAATGAAATATCAAAATAACATAACTAGATACTAGTCTCAAACATGCTTTATGGGCGGATAAGCGTGAAACTAAGACTACGGAAAAGCACGTAGAATATGTATATCATAATCGACGAAGTAATTAATCAAGCCAATTGTAAATAAATGACAGTTTTTTTTCGGAACTTTTATAACACAACAACGGTGATAAGGAAATGAAGCAAATATATGACAAATGCCTCATTAGCTGAAATAGTTTTGCGTACCATATATTCTTAAATTACATTTAGCCACTGCAGGTGAGAAAAATGCCACTACCAACAATGAATAAGTTTTATTGCAAAAAAAAAAACCAATGTTACAACAGACATTACACTCCTGTCACAAGACAATGACTTCCATTCAGCCAAAAATACTGTGAAATAATAGTTTTCACAACTTTTCATTTAAAAAATAATAATGTTAAAGAAATCAACAATTATTTGGTGGGCTATCTTTTAATAGCATTAAGTAATATCCAATGACAAAAAATTTTAATGGTGAAAAAACGTTCGCTATAGCTAAGTAAAAAAATCATTCTTCATCCAGTTCACCATCTAGCTTAGGCGGCCTAGCTGCTGGTCCTCCTTTCACTTGCTTTGACATGATAATCTGAAAGTACTGCATTAATGAACTAAGAATCTTGTGGATAGGTTTTCCGTAACTTCAGTTTCAGTCATTAAAAGTTAGGCTTATCTTGACAAAATTTTTTTGACTTGTACTCTTAATTAATGCTTATGTAGGCCATATTTCCAAATAACATGAGCACTTCGATAAAAGAGTTCGTTATAGCATAAATCAAACAGCTCACTGAATACATAAAACTATTATTTTAATTTGTAAAACTGATTACAGATACCTGATCGACTTTAAGAATAGTAACTGCAGCATTTGCAGCTAATTTTATTGCAGACTTTTTGCCGTTGTACAAATCATAAATACCGGTTTCATCAGTGTTCTCTATAGCTCCAGTAAAAGCATTGATTCCTCCATTTTTCTGACCTTCTTCATGAACAGCATAAAGTTTGGAAATTATTTCAACAGGCTGAAATGTTATGAAAAATAATACCTTATCAATAAGCGATTTAGTAATTCAAAACAATAATAATAATAATAATAATGAGCTATAGCCGAATATTTCTTAACAATGAGTAAAGATTATTGCCATTTTATCATTCTAAACTGTCAACTATAAAAACTTACATCCAGCCCAGAATTTTCAGCAATCTGTTTCGGTAAAGCTTCCAAGGAAGTAGCAAATTTTTTAATAGGATACTGTTCCAGTCCAGAACATTTTTCACCAAAACATTCGATCAGTCGTGCCAACTCTATTTCGACAGCTCCAGCACCAGGAAGTAACTAAAAATTGGTTTACTCGGAAATATACAAACAAAGCTTTAAAAATTCTGATATGTCTAATTTGCCACTAGAATAAAAGTTGATAATTATAAAACATCACAGATTTGTGGGACTATTATAGATTATAACAAATTATTTCTCGTATTTTTCATGACAAAACTTGCTTGACCTGCTGGCGCAGAATAATTAGATCTCTTAAAGTATCTAATGGAAAAAAATTGTTAATAATAACCTCAATGACTTTCAGGAAGATGAACCCTCAAAATATATCTATTTGTTTTGAGAAAAAAATGCTCTAACCTTGCAATCTCTTGTGAGAGCTTTAAAGGTATTTATGCCATCATCGATGGCTCTTTCAATGTCATCCATGCGTGATTGACTCGAAGCTCTAATAATGATTGTTGCAATATGTCCTCGCTCACTCAATTTATCAAATATTGTTACTTCTGTTCCACCTATCTCATCTGTATAAACTCGATCACATTCTCCATAGGCAGAACGCTGGGGAACACACTGCAAGAATTATAATAAAAATGATGGATATTGCAGCACCTGATAGAAAGTTCGGATCAAAGAATGCTTTGAAACCAATACTGCAATTTGATATAGTGCTTAAAAAATAAGAGTGTTCTTCGTTGAAAAGTATTTTGTAGAAAGACATGATATATGACATTTACTTAGTCTTCAGTTTTACACATCAAATTTCAAAAAAATCATTGAACGGCAACTAAACTCTGAAAATTGAAAATTATTTCCATTATAAGTTCATCGTTCTCTTCATAACTAATTTCTGGGTTTTATATTCACTGACATAAAATGACATAGCAATTGTATATTTCACTAAAGGTGCTAAACTTCACAATTCAAATTTCATTACTGATACCAGCTACTAATGACTAGTGAAACATTATCTCCCTTCATAAAAGGTAAAACCTTTGTAAGTAATAAAAAAATGTTATATAAACTTACCAAACGCGCCTGAGCTTGAGCTCCAGTACTTCGACATAATCTTCTGAGATCAAACTTAGAATTCAATCGTACACCCATGACCTTATACTTGTTCAAGAAGTGAACATATAAATCACCAAATTTTCCTGCTGCGACCACTACATTGACACCGTTATCTGCCAAACCTTTTACAATCGTTTCTACTTCATTTTCCTCCCCTGCACTAAATTTCAGCAACTCATCAGCACTTTCCAACAAAACCGTACCCTTCAAAAACATATTTCACCATTTTTAAACGTTGAAAAAACTAAAATTCATATGTCAATTTTCAATATCAAAACGCATTAGCAGCATAGGTAGAAAAATCCAAATATGAGCTGCGATTTAATTCATAACGTTCATGAACTGAATGTGAAAAAAGAGCTAATCCTCTATGGTTATCTGATAACATATGCCACAAACGACAAAAAGCCTTTACTAAATTACGATAGTTCCTAAAAACAAGCCCTTATTAACCTTGGTTTCCGTCTGAGTTAAATCGAAAGGACACGAGAAAATGGCAACTCGAGCTCTATCGACTTTTTTAATTTCACCCTCAGCTCCACGCAAGAAAACCATTCCATTCATAACTTGCGAGGACTGCACAGAAGAACCAAGGATTTTACAAACACGAATATTATCTACGTTGAAGTTATAAGTATTCATTGGTAGAATTTGAACTGAAATTGACTTTAATAGTATGAAAGAAAGCTTTATTTTAATAGTATAAAAAGGATGACTACTGTAACTGTAACTTGTTATCATGGAAAAAACTTGGAATGCAAATTGTGAAAGCACAGATTTGACTACTTTTTTATTTTCAACCACTAAACTATTAAAATAAAGCTTTAACTGGACATCTAACAGCAAAACATTCCTACTAAAGATCAAGAATTTTTATGAAAGAATTTGACGCCACAACTTGAGCTTAATCCACATAAATCTGCAAGTAAATAAAATTATAGCAATTACCACAAGCTTTGGCAACTAAAGATGTGATCAAATCAACATTGTCATATTGCTTCGACATAATTGCGGACTTCAAAAATTTTTGCACTGAAGTAACATCCCGCAAATCATTAGCTTCTCTGATGACCAGTGATGGCAAAATTTCCAGCACCTCATCTGTCGCTTTTTCATATCCATCCGCAATTTCAGAAGGACTCAAACCCTAAAAGACAGCTTAAAGAGCAAAATTTTGCATACTTAAAGATCTAAGAAAAATGATGCTAATGTTATGGCCTGCTGCGTTAAAGTAAGTTGTATTTGAATGTACAGACCATAAATAAAACCTACCATATTCAACAGTTCAGCTGCATGCTTTAACAATGAAGCAGCAAGAATGACTACCGTATTCGTTCCATCACCAATTTGTTTTTCTTGCATTTCGCTAGCCATAACAATAAGTTTGGCTGCTGGATGTTGAACATCAAGTTCTTTCAGAATTGTTGCAGCATCATTTGTCACAAATAATTTTTCGATATGATTAATTATCATTTTATTCATACCTGAGAATTTGTAATAATTTAATCAATCGATATTACAAAATCATATTCTTGCTTTTACATTATAACATGAATATGCTAAGCATTTATTAATACCATTAGGTCCGAATGCCGACTGCAACTGAGATGACAATTCACAGCATGCTTCAATATTCCGTTGGACAGCTTCTTCCGTACCTTTGAAGTGCTGTAAATATATACAAGGTTACTATTACAATAAGTTTTCCTAGCCAATGATAAGTAAATACAGAAGTGATTCTCGCCCAACAAACAATTTAATTTGTTTAAACGTAAATTTTGTGAAGTCTTTTTTCCTTTTAAAAGATTACTGCTTTTCAAGCTATAAATGAATGAAGAATGAAAAGGTACTTTTTAGATTGCTAATGAATAAAGAACAAGTAAATAACGAAGGATAAACAAGTACCTGTGTGCCTTCTTTTAAAAAACGAGCATAACCTGACTTCGGCACTATCATAGCCATCTCGACACTTCTAAAACTGTTATACAATAATCTCTGTAAGCAATATCACGATAAATAAAAATAAACAATCCCTTCTTTGCCAAACTCACCACCCCTCACTCTTTTCTCTTCAACATCACGCATAACTTCAATTTACAATATGTTACTAAGACTTAATTTTGGGACAGAAGTCAACCGCGAAATACAATAGAGCAAAGTCAATTAGTTTACTCTGGTAAAATATGAATTTTTTGAATATGAATGAATATCGTACGTGCCTTAACTTTGTCGTTTCGAATCATTATTACCTTAATTGTTTTTAAAGTTGTTTCATTTAAACTAAAATTCAGTAGTATAAGTTGCATTTTTGTTGCCTGCTACCTGCTATCTAGACATTTGGTATGCTTAATAAAGTGTTTACATAAGCACTTGCTGTATTTGCTGCTAATAATTTAATGGTATTAGAATAATTTTAGGTGATTATTATTTTGAACTATTCCTTCTAAACTGTTGCCCAGTGAGCAGTATTTGTTTTAGTTGCTAGCTTGAATTTTTTAGAAGATACTACAATTTTGGTTGCATGTTAAGTGTTATCTCTCGTGAAATTGACTTCGGTTGTGATGGTTGAATTTCGTTCTGTTTCATAGTTCTTTGAATTTAGTAAAGAAGAAATTATGTCGTATAAAGCAGTCTACTGCAATATTGTGCATTTTCAATTGAATTTAGCGATGCTTATCGCTTTATAACTGTGTATTATAGGAGGATTCATAAATATGACAATCTTTAATATTTTGATAGCTCAGTTGACTTTTTGTTGAATGATAATTAGCATTTTAGTTCTAGAAAATGGAACGGAAATAAATAAGTGCAGGATGACGGACTAGTTTGGCGTGAGTTATCTTAATAAATTTTTGAATTTAAAAATTTATTGACTTTTGCTATTCTATTTAGATTAGATCACTGTTTAAAAAACCATTAAATTATTCATGTTTAAAATTTTGCAATTTTACAAAAAAAATTGGAAGGAAATTTTAATTAGGCTAAAAAACTGTTCATTTGCTTTGATCTTTCGATAATTCGCTTATGTAATCTGGCATGAAAAACCTTAATAATATGTTTCATTTGAGATTTGAATTTTTAGTACACATCATGGAAAAGTATGTTAAGTCGATGAAGGCTATTGTTTGCTTTAAATGCTCTGTCAAGCCTGAAATTTTCTATATTATTAGAGGAACATGAAGTGTACATCATCTGTGATTTTCAAATACTGAAAATCACGAATGTAATTTAAAGTTCGAGAACAAAACTCCAGATGGGAGCTCCATTACTCGATTATCAGGCAGTTTTCTTACATTACAAATTGTTTGTGAAGATTCAGTTGCTTTCCCAGAAAGAAGCTTAGGTATTTTTTGTTTTTGATAAAGCTAATAACCAGCAAATCATTTATTTACTCATACATTTGTAGATAAATAATCTGTTGGTTATTAACTTTATTGCAAATAGATTTTTTGTGATTATACCATAAATGTACTATATTCAACGATAATCAAGCAAATTACTGCAAGTAATTCAAGTAAATAACTGCTATTTGGGGTAGATTCTATGCTTAGTTCTTGAATCTTGAAAAGCTTTAATCTTATTGAAAAGTAGCGAAGAAAAAATGTTATTGTCAGTTATTTGAATTAATTCGGAAATTGAGCTGAGAAATATCATATTTTTCTAAGGTACTAATAAGTGATGTAAAACCATGAAGTAGATTTAAAATTGTTATTAGCTTTCAGGAATTATAAAAAATGTTAGAAAGAATATAATCGCGAAGAAACAAAAACGCAGTAAGACATAGCCCTGAAGAGTTCAAAATATTGATGTCAAAACAGTATAATCTGTTGAGGAGGATCAGTGACGGTGATTCTGTTCGTGAGATTTATTTATTTTTAGCTTGCATAATGTATTTGCAAAGATTCAATTGGTCAGTTTTTTCGCTCCACTGATAGAACGCAATTATGAGTGTAGATCCGGACTGTTGGTTTCGCTGAAGTCATTTGCCAATATCAGAGCGAAAATTGAAGCTGCATTTAACTGTCTTCCGAGTATAATATAACCGGCGAAGAATTGGACAGTCAGGAGTATTATTTGATCTGAATATTTATTATTGTATTCTTAATTTTAAATTTGAAATCTAATGTACCACAAATGAAATAAAATTCATGAAAGCATTTGTTTCGAAATTATTGCAATTGTTGGGTTTTAGTGTGAGAAATATTTAATTTAATATATGGTTGTTTTCAAGTCTTTCAATAAAATTATGCAGTGCATTCCACTTCCTAAACATTCATGAATCTATGTATTTCAACCTTCAACAAAAATGTTTTTAGTGATAAAAAATCAATGATAAAAATAAAAGAATTTTGATGAAAAAAATTATTAACTCTTATTGATGGATCTCGCTGAATTTTCTACTAATGCCGATTTGATGCTTTGTATCACGTCGTATTTGGAAGTAGTCGGTATAGTTGTTTGTTTTGATTCAGAAGTCGTATTATATGTAAAGGTTTCAGTGACATTCTCTTCTACAAATTAGAGTATATATTAATACTGCTTGTTAGGCTGTTTGCATAATGTCTTTAAAAATTGTTGAGAGCATTCACAGAGTATTGAGTACTGCCAGAAATGTGGGATTTGCAGAGAATTATGAGTTTGATGTGAGCCGAAGATCAGATAAACTTGAGTATATTACCTGCGCTGCAAGTCAAAACTAGAGAGAGCAAAATGAAGTTTGTTAAAAATGCCATGGTACTGAAACTAAACAATGATTACATTCAGGAAATCAATTAGTTTTATATGTAACATACTAGATCGACCATTTTATTTACATATGCCTTTCTTAATTAGCCTAATGTGTTAACTCATAATAACTCTCGAACATTTAGTTTAAGCTTTTGGTGGAATTGAGCCTGACGAAATTCGCATACGCACAGAAAAGTTTCCACAAACATATATGTATAATATATATTGACGATGGCCGATCAATGTGACTATAATATGAAACAATGCCTCAAAATATGAAGCTAGATACTGTTACCTCCAAGATACATGATTGGAAGGAATATGTTTGGATTGGATCTGAGAAAGGTGTGTGCAAACATTGTGAGGAACGTGTGAAGACGGCGGACCATCCGGCAACGCAGTGCGAAAAGTGTTATATCACTACTACAATAAAAGACACAATGAAGTCATTTAGGACTCTGCAAAAAGTATGGTCTGAGAGCATCCCTACGCATGCAGAGCCATTCTGATCAGAAGATCGTCAGAACGTAGAGACAAGAGTCGATAAACGCGCTAGAACAGCTTTAAAGATAAGTGCAGATCGACCGGATATTATGATACACAATAAAAAGCTACGTGAAGTAATCCTGATATAGGTTAGCATCACTGGTCAGGACAGGTTGAGACAGGGAAGAAGCGAAAACATGATGCGTGAGAGATGAAATGCAGGACGAAAATAATTACTATGTGATACTTGGGATGGGATTATAGTGAACTTCCACAAACGCTACCTGAAGGAAATCAGTGTATCTAATCACGCTGAAGCATACATCCAATTGATATTACTCAAGAAAACGTTCGAAAGCATTTCATTCGATCAGCGCATGGATTCGACGAGGCTAAAGCAAAAGAGACCAGCACAACAAATCTGGGCGCGGTCAGAGTGCCGGAATACAATCAAGCGTCAGTAAGACTGATGCAGAAAATAAGATTAATTCCTTATGATACTAATTTGATTCAATATATATGGGATTCACGAATTTTTACTCAGTGTAAATTCTGCTGTAGCAGCGGTCGGACAGGCTGAAGAAGCAGTTGTAATGGCAGAGCTTGAAGGGTTGGTAAATTTTTGTGTTCTCTTCAATAAGTTAAATATTGCCAGACAACACTTGGCATATTTCGTTTTTTGGTAGCAGAAAAGTGATAGAAAGTTATGCGTTGTGAATTTTATTGCACCAACATAGATGATAATGGAGAAATTCTGCGAAAAGTATGCACAAAAAGAATCTGAACAAATATCGGGCGACTTCAGTGTTGCTAAAATCTTATCCACCAGTCATGTAATGAGTCAATTTTTAAAAATTATTCATTACGAGTTCAGTTGGCATATCATACTAGCCTTATCACTGCTCTGCATAGTGATATTAAGCTTGATCTCATTTCTCGTTGGGATTTGTATTGGACGTAAGAAAGGCAGCAATCGGATTAAAAACAAGAATCCTATTCAAGGCACTGAGGTATTCGTTTTAGCCCGAAAACACTTAAAAATTAGTACAATTTCAATTTTTTATTGAAAATAAATGAATTACTTAGCAATACACAGAATTAACACATAATATAAATATATTACAGTTCTATTCACTTACAATTGACATTCACTTCTCAAAATTCATTTAAAAATAGCCAAAAAAAGAGCAAAACATTAGAAGTACTACTTTTCTCTTTTAAATGTTTACTTAATAAATTGCAAACGTTTTTCGACTGTTGTGGCACGTCTTACAAACGCTGATCGTGAAGTGAACAGCGGAGAGTGTGGTACGACCGCTCGAGCCAACCAGTCATCCACAAGTGAGGAAATTAAAAGGACACAAAGCCAAATTGGTATTAAAATTTAGTTATTTTTCTATTAATACTTCTAATCTTCACATATTTAAAATGAAGAATTAATCCACTCCATTAGCCTTAATTTTATCCCAACTGCAATAAAAAATTTGAATTTAATAACCGATTAACTACTTCGAAAAATAGAACAAAGGATGTTGCTGTTAAATTCGTTACAGTACGAAAAAAAATGTCTCAGTCGGAAAAAGTATTTTTTTAAATACGGAAAAATCTGAATTAGACGGAAGTGCAAAAAAGTGATTTGCAAGAGTAATACGCAATTCAATAATAAAAAGTGCGTGATGAATAGAAAAAATTTATGCGGGAATACGTAGTGCAGTATATACTGTTGAAAATACTTAGTATATATTACTGAATGTTCATCATTTATGATGCACAATCTTAATGCATATTAATTACAGATAAACCAAGCAGTATCACTAGAATGATAAATGAAGAAAGTGTCAGAACACGGAATGTACCATCCTCGCAAGATGTAAGCAGCATTTCAAAAGTGGGCACATTTTCACTGCATACTTTTTAGAAACTTCCCACGTATAATCAGTCAGAGATAGATTGCGAGATTTGAAGGAGATTCTGTGCGTCTGTAATATCTTAACAATTACTTGTTTTGATAAAATTTTGCCGGCCAGAATTGTATCAAGTCTTCAATTCCAGTAATCATTCGAAACTGTCATATTTTCAGACATATAATCATTGTGCAATTGAGTTACAAACTGCAATATGCCGTTTAGAATCAACCAGTGATACACAGATGGCATCTTCTAATGACGAAAAAACTCATGATGAAAATATGAAGCAATTAACAATGAAGTATGCATTTCTTATATCCAAAATCTTGAATTTTCCGAAATTATGATTGAATTTAAGAATATTACGGAAATATTTCGGAATTTTGAATTTACTGCTATCATTTTTCTTAATTAAAAATTTCCTCAGTTCTCTATCAATTCATACCCCCATGTTATCATACAGTATTACAGACTGTAATTTCAAAATTTGATAGATTTAATAATTGAATATATCTAAGCTAGCCTCAATATAATTCAGCAATCATAAAACTGTGCTGAAAATACCAAAAGTTTATGATATTACGACAAGTGAGGAAGTTGTTTCACCCCAGAAAATCGTACAAGACACTGACTGCGACCATCCATGGTATGATTTTTTGAATGTTAGATGCATTCTTCAATACAATAATGAATGCTAGATCTGTGCGACTAAATCAATTAAGCTATAATAAATCTTCAACAAGATAAAAAACCTTCCACTTCGGTTTAAAAATCTATTCTTCTTCAATATTTGAAATGATTTTCTGTTAATTGACTCCGTCCACTTACATTTATTTCTGATCATGGTTGACTCCTTAACATAAGTTACTCTTGAAATCTACGGCTAATACTATTAAAATGAGACTTTTTCAGTACTACGGAAGATTCTTGTAGTAAGGGGTGTTTCGAATTCATCATTCCAGAAATTGAAACAAGTTTGTCGCAGTCACTGATGACCAAGAGTTTGTAACAGCTTCCTCAAAAAATACTTTGACTAATAAATTATGACTTCATTGGGTATCAAATTAACGAAATAAATTAATACGTTGGTATTGACTGAAACCACTCATCAATAGCCAACAATTAAAAACACCCAAGTATTAATTAAACGTCAAACATCGCATGACCATCATAAGAGCAATAATCCTGTCAATCTAACAATCTTAGTTTCAGATATTCATGTAGCTACTAACTCATTGTCATCTTGAGTTGATAATTAAAATTTTAGTGCCACGAAATATATTTAATACATAATTAATTTCAGGTTTTGAACTTTTTGATTAACTATAAGATTTGATAGAAGGCTAAAACTGATGAATAATCTGTAATCATACAAACATTTACATCCAAATCCTGTGAGAAATGATGGCAGTTTCGTACCAAAATATCACTGAATGTTGAAGGATGCAAAAGCTTTAAAATTCTTATTGCAGTCAATTCTGCATTTAATCAAGGATATAAGATCAATACTACCTTATGATCATTACCACGCAGAGAAAATTCCTTCAATTCAAATCACATTGCGATTATGTGCTGCAGTGATAGAGAATCACTACAAGATTGCATCCAACCAATCCATATCAATTCTTTCTCATTTTTCGCTTTTCATCCTTTGTTATCATATTCTTGTTACAACACATCCATCAAATTTTGAATTTTGAATTTCAAAGTCCCTCCCCATGCTTTTTTTTCATGATCATCCAAATTTTAAAAAGAATCTCACTCAATACCTCAGTACTTGTTGCAACTCGCTATGAATATCATGGGATGGAGCGCGAAATGGTCTGCTTATTTTGCATCACAGATATGAAAATAAACGAAGTGAGAAAGGGACTTTGCTTTAGAACACTCGTAAGCTTTATGAATCTAAAACGATAAAGCATGCAAATATATCAGTTTAGCAAGGAGTTGATCTATTCTAAACATGACAATGTTAGAAGTACTACCCAACAAAAATGAGCATTAAATACGTGATATTATGAATACTTAGAATTAAATATAAATCAATGAATAATGAGTGAAAAATATACCAGCACTCAGTACAATGTTGGATAAATGTGAAAATTGGTAAATTGACAAGATTACCAATAAAAAATTACAGAACAGAATATAAAAGAAAACATGAATTTGAGAATCAATCTTGCCGTCTTATTTTAATTCGTATCACATTAGCAGTTCCGTTTTCAAGAATGGAACCGTTCACATACTCAAACGGCCGTTTCCGTTCTATCCGCGTTGACTGAACGTTCTGGAATACATTTTTTTTTGTCTTTAGCAAGTACCAATTATCTTAGCTAATCATATTTATCAAGCAAAGATATTAAAAACTAGTGTAAATTTCAGTTGTTGATAAATTGATGACTTCTGACAAAGTGGAAATGCAATAATCAGATCTAAATCTTCTAAAGAATATTTTATGCTGTTGTTAATAATACTAGAAAATCAATATATAGAAGTCGTTCGTCAAATTACTATTTTGCAATACAATTTTCACTGCTCCATATAATTCAAAAAATATTACCGAAGAAACGTTTTCGATCGTATTTCTCCAATTTGTATGCAAATATCTCAATAAAAGAGGCCTCATTTCAATAGTAATTTGTTTTTCACCATCTTCCTTCGGAGTAATGTACTCTGTTCTGGCGAACCCATGCTACAAAATATCTTACTAACATAGATCTAAAAAGGTCTGAATATTAAGACTGAATTACAAATGTTTCTCGTATCAAGCTAATGGACAATTGTCCTCCACTAAATCAAATACCTCTTCTTACAACATAGAAAGAGTGGAATTCTATTCTAATTGAAAAAATGAACGACAAATTCAGCAAATGAAATAACACATCACCTCAATTAAGTGTAAAAATGATCATAAATGTTTTTGCGATATTATCTACATAAGATGGCAAAGATATTGCCAAACTATTTCATTCATCTAGCTATTAACAAATCAAATCAAAAAAAAGTCATTACGTGTTTTGAAAACAAAGAGAAATTCTCTTGATTCAGCGACGGCAAATCTTTCAAAAAGTCTGCACTCAACATTTCCTGAACAAAAGTAAGTTTGAAGACATCTGAATACTTTGAAAATCCAGAACCTTCAATATTAAAAAAAAATATCTACAAACCTAATGACCTAGTCTCAAGATAAGATTACTACAACAAAACATTGCAAAACTATCACATGCAGCATCAAACTTTTACTAATACTCTTTCCTCTATTGGAGATTGACTACTTGTAATAATTTGCTTCACGCTTAGTTTTAGCATTTTTCACATTTCCAAAACGGAGCACTTTTTACTTCAAGTACTCTGTAAACTCAATCTGAAATCTTACAGAAATACTGAGGGAAATAAAATTCATACCACTGATACTGCAGACCCAGAAAGCATTTATTTAAAGTAAAGAAAAGCATTAAAATGACACCGCCAAAATCAATTATGTTTTCACTGCTAACCGTGTTTCGATGCAGTCTCTCCAATTCAACTTAAAAATTTTAATGATCAAAATAAAAAAGACTCGAATGATTCGCATCAAAAACTTTGCTGCACGAAATGCAAAAAAACTATTCAGGACAAGTTAAATCAGATATAAATTGCACAAACAACATTGGAAACAAATTAAATGTTATCATCAACAGTCCTCAGCTTGATCTTGCCTTCTTCTCCATATTTGAATGGCGGCAAACCCCAGTAAGGACAGGTAGAACAGCGAAATGCATCACCACGGCCACACTCAAAAGAAGTCCAAATATTATGACGTATTTAAGCTGTTTTTTTATTTCCAATTTTTTTCCAAATTTAAAATTTTGCTCTTCTTGCAACAATCAAATTACTTAATGAAAATAAACTTTCATTTGCAACAAATATTATAACAACATAATATTAATAATGAAACTAACATTGCCACAGGATGATTTTATCATTTGTGTTGAAACTTTATCAGTTTCCACCATTTCAGCTAAACCACATGTGCAGTTTTTACATGGTTTTCTCTTATTTAGTTCATTTGATGGGTCACAGTTCGCTAAAATGAATTTTAAGGAACTTTACAAACCAACATAAAAAGATTAAAGCTGCAGCAGATTTTAAAACGTAACCTTTTAAGGTATTTACAGGTTTAGAATAATCCTCTTCTTGCAACAATAGATCTTCATTAATCAAATCGTCTTCTGCTACATTTATATTCCAGAAATTGGATGTTTTGCAAGAAACTGGTAGTTTCAAAGTATGTGCAGCGCCTACTTTAAAATTGGGCTGAAAAATATTTCAAAAATGAATCAGAAAAGAAAAAAAAATAGAAATATGTGAGAGACAAAAGCCTGAAAAAAATAAAATTGATGATTACTCAACATTGGCACACACACATTTTGGCGTCAAAAATTGCGCTTCATAAAACATTATTAACAAATTTGATCCAAAAAAATGTTAGTAGGGAGTCATCACATAAATAAAAAATGCTTTTAATTAAAGTAAATTAAAAATAAAACCTTTTTGCAATCAAATATACTCCATGCGTCATTGTCAATTTCTGTGATAGCTACAAATCCAGCCAATTTAATTTGCTTCAAACCTTTTACTTTATCAATATCTGAAATATTCGAAATCATAAAAACTTTATGAAAAAACTACGAACCATGAAAATAGTGATTATAGGAAAATATTTCAAAATTAAAGTTACTTTGAATAAATACTCTTAATACACCATTAGGTTTTGCTGCTAAAAAAGCTGACCGCAGAGCACGATCAAGCCCAACGAGAAACGTAGCAATAATGACAATGCCATCATAAATTTCCTCCTTAACATTAGATTCTAAAAACAATATATATTTCCTGACAAAAGTTGAAATGAATTATAATTGGACAATTTTTTATTATTCCTCATCTTATCATTCAAATTTAATGGTGCTGAATATAGATATACCATCTCTACCTTTAATGATATGGAATAAAATAAACAAGGATAAGTGTACAATAAAAAAATGTCAAACTCGAAAGTCGAATTATTACGCAATAAAAACTAATGATTATTCGAAGGAATCTGAATTTATGATATGCTATACAACTACCTTTGACAATCTCAGACAATATACATGATATTTGAAATTATACTACTTTGGGACACAAAGCAACTTAATTTCGCTGATGAAACATGGAAATCAATTATAACTAAAAAATTTGAGCAACATGAAAGTCATATATAATACCGAAAAGCATAATGGGAGAAACAAATCTAGTACGCTTACCTTCCAAATCCCGTGTAATTACTTCTTTGAATCGTTTGCTGAGTTCTGCAAACAAACTACCAGACAGATCTGGAAAATAAAAATGATCTCAAAAATGTAATCAGACCCAAAAAATAAGGATAAATATATGAGAATCAAGGGCTATAAAAATATCGACCTACAACCAATTATTAAGATATTTTACAGATGTGATAGACTTTAAGTTTATGCCTTTTAAAACTTCAAAAAATTAAGCATTTCTACACTACTGTGAATTTCTAGAAGCTAATTTTCTATAACAGAGAATGAAATATAATTCATCTATGTTAGATAAGGATCAATTTTGTATTTCTTACTTAGATTATCTCATCAACAATTTCAGGAAGATAAACAAATAAAGAAAGGTAAAAAGTCAACAACCTCGACATATTCATGAAAGCGCAAATAGATCACACCATGTAGAAAAAAACCTAATTTTTGGTTTGTATCTGTACTAAAAGTACTAATTGTGATTAAATAAAAAATTGTTTCCTAAATAAATGAAATAGTTTTTTTCTTGAAGATCTCATAATAGATCAACTGGAAAATAGTAACAAAAATGCAAAACCTGTCATACTGGCTTCTCGAAGAAATAGGATCTTCGTATTTGGATCCCACGTATTGATAAAACTTAAATCCATCTATAAAAAATAATGCCTAGTTTGATTAATCATATAAACAAAAATTTATAAAGTATGCGCGCTGCTTGGTGAATACCATGTCACTTGGCAACACTATCAAGTATAGCACGTTTAAAACATAAAAATGAAGAGATCATTGAATACCAATTTATCAACCTTGCTGCAATCGAAAAATGAAAAAAATATCTAAGCAATAATTATTTCACTTAACCAAAACAACTCGATTGCAACCATGAAACTAAAAAAAATTTTTTTAGTTTAATTATAATAAGCAAAATGTGCACTACTGGATCAATTATCAAAGGTTTTAATAAAAATAAAAATGCTCAAAATGTGCAATCTTAAAGCAATTCGCAAGTGCATTAGAAATTTTGAAGGAAACAACATTCAAATAGCAGGCATGCGTAGTTGAAACAAATAACTTCCCAACTTCTGAAAAAAAACTCTTAAAACATTACAGAGCTCTGACATATTCCCTAAAAATGATTTTCACGACTTGAACAACAATCTTCTACTTTAAGAATCAAGAGTTATTCGCATGTTCTTTCCAATTTTTTCACATTAGCTACTTCAATTGAGATTTAGTTCATTTTGACCTTCTTTATCTTCACTGTATTTCAAATATTGCAATGGAGCAACTTATATAATTCACAAAAAGCATAGAAAATATAATTTTGAATCAAAACAGTTTGGGCACTACAAACTTCACGATTTAGAAGTCCTATACATTAATAGCTTTCCCTGGTTTTATATCTTGAGCTGTATCATCAACGTATTCTCCTTTAATAATTTCTGCTTTATCAATAGTTTTTCGGTTTTCGTTATATAAACGATGATCATTAATACCACTGAATTCGGCTTTTTCGTCCAAGAAATTATTTCGAGTCAGATCTGATTCTGAAAATGATGCCAACTACAACCACAATTTTTATTTCTAAAAGGAAGGCAATTGATTGATATTATTGACAAAAATTAACAAGACAACATCGAGATGGAAAGTCCTACCAACAGAATTTGTTTTACAAATTTATTCTTTAGTTACAGAACAAATTTTGCAACTGAGATCTTGCAATTCTGAACGACATATCTCTACTTGTATATATAGCAGAAAATATTACTTTGATCTTCAAACAAGTTTTACAAGAGCAAAGCGCGTTGAAAAGTAGCTTGATTCTCTATTACTCACAATTTGAAGGTAACTATTGTTTTTATTTTTAAAAAATCCTGACACAGCTTTAAAAATATACTCATATATGAAAAGACAAAATAGCATACTTGGTCGTACAGTTTGATCTTTATGTTTAAGAGATGGTGATATTAAGGGCTCTGCTCTAACAGTCTGTTTTTCTCCAGATGGCTGAAAACAATTTTTTTATAAAGATATAAAAATAAATAAAATTTATACAATGCCGGACCAATTATGGTGACCAGAAGAAATCTTAGAATACAACTTTACAGGTTTAAATTGTTTCTTTAATCTTACAATTTTACATTGTTAAGAAATCATGAAAGATTGTACATTTACATTGAATGATTTTATTGATTAAAAATCTCAAAATTACATTAAATGCGGAATCATTTCCAAATGGACTGTTTATATTTACTTCCCAACTTGTGATGATATCATTTTTGTATTGTGAGTTTAACGGTATCAGTGTTGATGAAAATAATTTGTCCTTTTCAACAAAGCTTTCTTGCGAAAATTTTTCTTGTAAGAGCTAAATCAAACCTTAAAAATAAATGAATTGCTGTGTAAAAAAAAGCAAAAAAATAAAAACAGCTGAAGCACTTATTAAGCCTGGCCACCTGTTTTTAATCTAATTTAATAGCCTGGAAAAATTTTTCCGGATCACTACATGCTGCAAATACTAGTCAAAGGCAATTCTTACAAATTCCAAGTTCAAATAAGATCATAAAAATCTAAAAAAAATACTTTAAAAATTTATTCTTAAAAAATAAACCTGATAACTTTCTCCCATTGTTTTTCTTCTTTTTCCATCATGACTTTGTTCAGAATGATTTACTGTTAGCGACTGAGACATCTGAATGCTGAGAACTATCAACCAAATAAACTCATAATCTGAGTTTCCTCAGATTAATGAAATAATGATGAACAAATTATATGAATTAGTGAACATGGAGTCAGCAAACGTACCACTAAGAATTTGACTGGAGACAGCGAATCGAGACATGTGCTGAAAAAAGTGAGATGAATTTAGCTGACACCGAAATAGATTTTACTGCCTTCAAAAAATCTCATAAGCGTATTATATATTTATTGCCATACCTGAACCAAATTCAAAAAGCAAGAACTTAGACTAATGAAGAATGAGATCAATCTTGTCAGACTAATGGCACAGCTTTGCATTCCATTCTAAGAAATAACAACAGAAGAAAAAAATTCACCATGTCTTACTTGAAACTCATACTGTTACTGTCTATATTTTTTCAAAATGTGTTTGTAAGATAAGCTACTACAAAAATATTAGAGCATCTCTATTAAAATTATTTGATTCTTCTCCAAAGTAGTGGATAGACAAGAAAAAATGGAGAAAATTTTTTTCGATACTTTCTTCTCGATACAGATGGAATTACAAAGATGACGAAAATATCACAAAACAAACTTCAGTTCCTGCTTGCACTGCCTCTGCATCACCATACAAGACAATAGAGTTTCATTTATGTCTTTTACTTTCTTGATACACTCTAAAAAGTTAAAATCATAAAAGTTCTTTATTTTATTAAGATAAATGATATTAAGCTTATAAAAAAAGTGATTGCAATACCTTTTCTTTTAAATTTTTTATTCAATGTTTTCTATCATTTTTTATTCATGCATGGTAAATGCGATTAAATTCAAGCAATAGAAAAACTGTATTATTGTAAGTAAAACCTGAACAGTTACTTTCTTGAATGTAAATTACCAAAAACTACGTTCCAGGTGGAAAAAGCTATAAATTTAACCTTCATTACTTACAAGTGCATCCTGCAGTTTTTTTTGCCAATAGTTTTCGATACTTTCATACTTTTGAAGTACAGCTTTCAATTCTAGAAATCAAATGTCTTAATAAAATGGATGCCTGGTACCAGAAAATTTACTACGTTAAACAATAAACACAAAGTGCAACTTAAAAAAATTAACATTAACCCAAACACTACTAACTGTTCGAACATTAAAACATTATGAAGTGATCACAGCTTACAACTTTAAACAAACCGATATTCTGCACTAATAGTCTAGCATGTTGCTCTTTCTCATACTCAACTTCATTTTGCATTAAATAAAGCTTCAAATTCTGATTCTTATAAATCCAGAAAATGACAAATACAAGAAGAAGACCAGTCAAGAAACCGAGGAATGGCAGATTTCGGACCATGGATCCAGCAGTACTTAGTGAAAATGATCTAAAAACGTGCATTTTCAAAACCATGACAACTTTTATTATGTAACTGCGTAACTGTTTAAGAATTACGCTTACATATTGATCACAAATATTGTTTATTGAACTAATGCTTGATGCTAATTTCATTCTTGCCATGACTTCCAGCAATATTCTTATGATTTCTTATCCTTATAATCTTTTAGTGCTACAGTCATATTTAAAAAACAATTAACTTATATGAATTTATTGTGCATAGGCACTACAAAACTGCAAAATTCATTGAACCATTCATACTGCAATTTTTAGCCACAAAGGTCAATATCATATTTTACCTTATCGGATTACGCTTGCTCAAGTTTTGTCTGGAACACATTCCTTCCTTGCAATGGTAACTCTGTAAAGAGTAATATAAATGAATTTTTTATTAAAACAAATTTAATGACACTTTTGCATGATTTGATAATTACCAAAATTAAAACAAGAAGCTTCAATTCAGTTATCTAAGATAAATAAGAAAATGAAACCATGAAATATGGCTGTAGTGAAACAGTAACTAGTACTCACATTACAAATAATACCTTTTAATGAAGTGGCTGAGAGACTTTTTTGAAAATAGCAATTTTGTGCTCTTAATATTGCTGAAATTGCAAGTACAAACTCTGAAACAAACTTTCTGAGGACACAAGACATTGTAACCAACATTTACAAAAGATAATTATAGTGGTAGCAATCGATAATACTGATGATGACTAAGCATTACTTATCATAAGGATACTAATGACTAATCAAAAAAGTATTATCAAAAGCCAAAGTCCATGGTGAGTATATTTATATCAGAAGATGATTTAATTTATGATTTAATAAGCCAGAAATAAATTGGGTAAATTGATGATAGGTAAAAAAGGAAAGTCCGGATAATGATTTAGATCTAAATGATCAGTTTTCATTCCATGACCGCAGAACTGATTGAAATGAAAAACTAATGATTAAACAATTAATCGCAAAATCAGAACACAATCTGCGACTGATGAATCTGGAACTAAATCTGAAAAAAAGGAAAGAAAAACAAGTAATACTCATCATACACAATTATACAAGTAAGGCAAGATTCTACACTTTAGCAAAATTTAACAGGCTGTGAAAATTTGACTTCCCGAACAAAGATTAACCTTTGTATTAAATTGCGGTAGTTGAACGCACTGTTACTTTGCAATGAAGCATTCTATCGTAATCATCTCGGAGTATTATAATCACACTTATTAGTTCAGATACTTGTGTAAGGTTATTCGAAGTCATATTAAAGGTATTAAAGGTATTGATGAACTTGTTAGGATGATTATTTATATTATCCTTCCTATAATCATGATTAAAAATATATTAAAAGATTTCATTATAGTTTTTGGAATTCTTGAAACAGAACTGTCATGAAGTAGTATCAAAAATGTCACGTCATTCAATAATATAAATCATATGCAAGATTTTAAGTGCTCTATTAAAATTAATTCGGTAAATGTGTAGTCTTCTGATTGTTCACGTGTTTGTGCTACTGTCCTTTTGAGATTTACCGGTATGATTAGGTAGTCATTTCTTCATCCATGTCTATTTTGATAGTGCTTCCTATAATTTATAGTTGTGTATGTAGTGAATTGAACCTGACTGTCGTGAAAAATGTAATTTATAGTTATGCATTACTGTGTCATTACTATTTTATAAAATTGACCACTCTGCTCTATATGTTAGTTTTTTTAATCCATAGTGGCTTTACTGTACTTTTAAATATGATAGTTTCAAATATAAAAAAATATATTTCTAATTATATTATGGCTATGGATTTGAATTAGTTTGTTTTGGTTTCATTAAATCTTTTAGTTATCTTTAGCATTAATTATTTTTAGGGTTTTCTTACGTAATTGTGGTATAATTTCAGTTATGATAACTTTTGCAACTTGAAGATGTTATATTTGACAGAAAGCATAAGATTTTGTAGGATGGATCAAACTGTTCGAGAAACATCAGCTCGAGCAGTCGCAGCAGATTTTCTCTCACGCTTAAAAAAAAAAGGAGACGACAATCGATTGAAAGTAGCCAGACAACTTTATAAGTAATTTCTTCTCTTATAAAAATATATCGAAATATATGTTTATTGAAAACGTTCTCGTTCTTCTAGATAATTTGAAGATAAATAACTGCATTCAGTGTTATATATGTTTTTGTTAAGGACTTTGCAGTCAGATAGAGTTCATTTCAGTTGTTACAAATTCTCCTCTGTAATTATATGAAGCAATGGGTAAAAGTATTAAAAATCTGTATCACTCGTTTGTTGGAACATTTGAGGTACTGAGAAAATTTCGGTTAAAAAGTTTTCAGTTATGTAAATGGAGAGTTAAGAGATAACAGTGATCAGTTTATAGAAGAATTTTTCGCTACCTTCGACGCTAAAGTTGATCAAGTTGATTTTACTCATCAATTTTTTATTTATAAGTATCTCTTTTCTTATTAACAAAATGTTCGCTTCGTAAAACTAGCAAAAAACAGTTTCAAAATTTTTTTGTGAATTTAAATTTTAGCTTCTGTATTTTATTTGAGACCGAATAATGTACTATTAGATTTATTTTCAATTAAAAGTCACTTTTTTGGAAATATGATCAATATTATATTTTCTGACTCTTAATTTTAAAGATGATTTCGACGATTATATGAAGACAGAAGAATCTAGATTATATTGGTGTTCTATCATCATAATTTATTTCCTGCATTTTTTTCAGAGTGCTATTCACACATTAATAACAAGTATGGATGGTGATGAAAGGAAAGCAGGGATATTTTTAATAGGTATTCAATACTATTATATGATTACTTTAATTGTAGTTATTCATCAACATTCATTTGTTTCCATCTGTAATTCGACACAATTTTAACAATTTCAGCTTGTTTGGTTGAAAATGCTGGGGATGAAGCAAAACGTGTTCCTCGTTTTGCGAAGTATCTTTTGAAAGCACTCATACAGGGTGATGAAGCAGGTATGAAACTAGCCGCTAGAGCGATAGTATATTTGATTCAGACGTCGAAAACTTTTGCAGCTGAATTAGTAGAAAAGTCCATTAATCAGGTGATTTTCAGTACTTTACCTCAAAATGTTACTTGAAAAATTTTGCTTGTGCAATGGAAGTATCAAAGATTGCAGAAAACAGAAGTGTGTTTAATACCGTGGTATAGTATACATCTAGTTATTTAATTTCATTTTGATCACAGTAACATAAGTACTCATGTTGTAGCCAAAAATTTATTAAAGTCAAGAGTTTAACTGTGTTCTATATTGGGAAAATTTGACAGGTATGTGAATGGCTTGAAGAATCTGAAAGGTTCGAATCACGTCGACTTGCTGCCGTTCTTCTAGCAAAGCAATTGGCTTTGTATACGTCTACATCATTTTTCTTACGTGCATCTAATTTCTTTTCAAATATTTTCAAAGTCATCAGGGATCCCAAAGTTTGTCTTTCATGAAGTTTCTAGGATGAAGATATTATTTATTTAAAGTAAAATGTATTCAAAGTAGCAGTAAATTATTTTACATTAACGATCTTTTGAATAATTTATTTGCTGCAGATCTTAAATTATAAAAAATTGGGCCTCTGCTTTATTGTATCTTTAATTTTGACTTTTTAAGGTTTCGATACGTATAGCAGCAACTAAAGCGTTGCATGCCGCTCTCGCCGTTACATCACAACGTGAAGCACGTCAAAAATCAGAATGGTATTGGGTAAGTGATTTAGAATAAATTTCCGTATCAGCGTACAACAAATATTTAAAAAAAAGGATTACAAGATTTATTAAAATTCATGCACTCATCAGTATCTTGAAGATTATCATTTGCTGTCGTAATAAAAATCTTACGTTTACATAAAATCATCTTGCTAAAAACTTGTATTAAAATTCAATGATTTCAGAAGCTTTTATCAAAACTGCTGGGTGACTTGCTTTCCACATTAGTTTTATCTTTTCTTTAATATACTTGGGTTTTTTTCTTTATATATATAATATAAATGTCGAACGAAAAAAGAAACTAGCATTCAATGCTCCTGATATTGTCTAACAACAAAACATTTAAAGTTCATTGTTGTTTACCAACTGGTTTATTTGATATAATTCCTAAGGTTCTTAAATGCTGTTCATGTATAAATATTACTTTGTAGCACTGTTACGAAGAAGCAATAAGTTGTTTGAAGTTTGATGCTTTAAGTCGAGATGAAAGACAGCATTCAATGCTTCTGATATTAAATGAACTGCTTCGTATTGGCAATGCTGCAGCGGAACGCCAACGTATTTTGGCACTTGGTCGCCAACCCCAGCAAAATGTTCGAACAGTAATTGGGTCAAATGCAGTTGACTGGCTCACAGAGCGTACACATTCAGTGACTGTTGATAGTCGAACTGCTAATCAACTTATTGCTGAAAAATTTGACGATGTTAGCGTTGCATTATTTCTAAGCTGCTAATAGGGACTCCCGTGAAGTTTTGATTTATAGATGTAAAAGTTGTGCTTATTCACTAAAGCAATTTGGCTTTCATTTTATTTAATTTCATATGCTTTTTTGCAGTGTTGACTGAACTCCTGCATTTATTATTGATTATTATCTTAGAATTTTTGTTTCAGTGCACTAAACTTTCAAATGACTATTTCACTGATTTTTATTTTTCAAGCAGTGACTAAAATTTATTCCCAAAAATTTTTCAGATTACCACTTTATGGCTTATGAGCAATCCCGTAAAGAAAATTCAGCAAATGATTATTTAACTCACTTTTTTGACTTTCCTCTGTTATTTCAGATTTATCGTGTGTGTAATCTTGCATATACTTCACGTTATGTTTACTGTCAGGCAACATTGCTTGAAATTTTACCTCGTCTTTCTTCATTTCAAAAGACGCAGTTAGCAAAAGCTACGGTATTTGATATCGACATAAATGCAATGTTCAACCATGCTTTGATGATGACAGCTAAACATACATTTGCTCTATTTACTCTTGGTTTATTAGTCCTTGATCGTCCTAAAGAACTCTTGTCAAGAGTGCCTCGTCTTTTCGCTGTGATACAGATGCAGTTGCAAACCGCAGCAAACAAGTTAGTCAAATCTTTCCTTTTTTTAGCTCAGTTTCCTTTTACAAGTCAGAGAAAATTTAAAAAAATTTTATAAGCCAGAGAAAGTGGAAGTGCATATGATAACACTTATGATAAGCGAAGCTTATCACTTGTTCCATTTGATAAAATAAAGCTGCAGCTTTTTTCGGAGGTTGCAGGTAAATTCTGCTATTTTCTTATTCTCTGTTTTTTGAGGCATAAATTGGTTGACGAACATATTTTTTTGTGCTTGACGTTAGTTATTCATGCGCTGAAAGAAAATATAGAGACAGAAGTTAAGGCATTATTACCGATTTTGTTCTCGACGGGCCTTTCAAAAGGTAATATTTCATTTTCCCTTAAAATTAGTATATGAGATATCTTGTCTACAAAATTTTCAGTCTTCTGAGGATACTCATGATTTGATCACGCACTCTTGTTATCTCCATAATAAAAATCAGAGCAGGATTAGATAGTAGAGCTCATAATTAATTTTGAAAAAACCTAGATGTTTCAAACTTTTTAAAATATCTTAGATTTCTATGCTTTTGCTTCTTTAGTTCTTTTGAACGATTTATAACTATAAACGAATCGGTCACTTTACAGGATTAACGGATGTTGCGTACGAAATAATACAGTCATTACCTAGATTAAAGACTGAAATACTTGATGGTTTGTTGAAAGAACTTTGTCAGTTGTTGATGAACCGTAAGCTACCTAGTAAACTTGATCCACCAACGGAGCCTCTAATGCCAACTGGACCAGTGAATGTCACTAATGTAGTATTGACAAATCTTGCTTTGGCCACTCTTGGTCGATTTGAATTCCAACGACATGCTCTTCAAATGTTTATAAATTATATTGCTCACGTAAGGGATTATTATTGTCATTGTTTTAAATCTATTTTATTTGTTAGCATCTAGAATATCTGTGATGTAATCTTTGTAAAATCTTAATCTTTTAGGGTTACTTATCCTGCGATTGCATAGAGGTGCGTTTAGCTGCAGTAGATTGTTGTGCCAGGATGTTGACTCCGTTTGTGAGAGTTTTTGAATCTTTCGGTTGTGCTGACAAAAATCAGCGATTCAATGTTTTGAATTTAATTCAGTCTGTCCTTCGGCAGTTGGTCATGGTTGCTGTTGTTGACCCATGTAAGTTCTTGTAAAGTTAATGGTTTCATCTTTTAAAAACTGATTGACTTTTTGAAAGAAAATTTCCTTTAAATGATTTAAAATATAATCAAGGTTTGGAATTCTTGACCTCGTTTTAATGTTAATTGTTTGAGCTGCAGTCTATAGATTGTTGAGCATGAAGTATTGCTGAATAAATTTGACATCATTGCTACTGAAAGCTAAGGAATCTACTAAAAATCTTTTTCTTTCATGATAATTTTTGTCAGATTTCCAACAAAGTTATTTTTGATTATACAAGATTTCTCTGTTGAAAAAGTCTCTATTAACTGAATTTTTATCATACTTTTTGTTTTGTTTTAGTTGAATTCAATTTTTTTGGCAGCTTTAATCTACCTATGTTTTGTCAACGTTATGAAGTTTTCTATGTTTCAGCAGTGGAAGTACGCTTAAGAGTTTTACAGTGCTTCAAAGATGGTGATCCACTTCTATTGTCACATTTAGCACAGACTGATATGCTTGATTTCATTTTCATGACTTTGCGTGATGAAAAGCTGGAGATGCAGGAACACGCTGTAGCCTTGCTTGGAAAATTGGGCAGCTTGAATCCAGCTTATGTCTTGCCAACATTACGAAGTGTTTTATTGGAAACACTATCTCAGTTAACTCACAGCGGTGTTCAAAGGTGCACTTGACTCTAAAACCTTTCAAACTTTTTAATAGTCATATTTTGATAAGTATTTGTTTCTATAATTGAATTTTATTTAATTTTTTCAGATCGCCGATATTAGTCAAGTTTTTCATAAAGTGAGAATTGTGTCATAATTTTTGGAAAGAGAATACAATGTATAAAATGTTAATTTAAGGCTTGAGGAACACAGCGCTCGTTTAATTGCTCAGGTGGCTAAGCAGTCTCCAAAGTTCATGAAACCATATACGAATCCAGTATTGACAGCTTTAGTTCCAAAACTAAGCTCTGAAGTCAGTCATGTAGATGTTACTGTACAGGTTCGTTAATTTATCATAAATTAGTGTTGTCAGTTGCTTTTTATAACTTTAAATTATCTTGATATGGATATGAAAAGTAGGTTAAAAGTTTCCAGATTTTGAATGCTATCAGTGAGTTGGCGGTCACTGGTGGTGCCGACTTGGTACTTTCTATTGAGACGCTTTTTCCGTCTTTAGTTCAATTTCTGCAGGATTCGAGTAGTTTGAGTCGCAGAGAGGTACGTTTTCGTATATCTTATTCACATCTTTAATTGGTTGTCTCATTTGAAAGTCATTTATAATACTTTTAGGCTGCTTTGCGTACTATGGGGCAGCTTTGTCAAAATGCAGCATATGTTGTAGAGCCGTATAAAAATTACCCTGAGTTGTTGGACGTTCTTCTGAAGTTGCTAAGAACAGAAATGAGTGTATCAATGCGTCGAATGACTATGAGAGTAATCTTTTACTTGCAGTTTTCAGAATATCCGGACTTTCATGAGATGTCTTTATTTTCTTTTTCATTAATTTTCAGGTCTTGGGCATTATTGGAGCTTTGGATCCATTCATGCATAAAGTTTTCACTGGTAAAGTTTCCTCTCAGAAATCAAATTCATTGGCCTTATCATTACCAGCAACGTCTCCATTGTCAGATATGAAAAATGGTATTATTTCTGGCCTTCTCATTTTACTATTACGTAACAGTTTTGATAGTTATTTAACTGAACATAATTAAACTTTTTGTTTAGTAGACTACTATTATGATCTTATGTATTGGATTATACACATTATACAATTTATTATTGTACAGTAACTTTTGTTGAGGGTTCTGGAAAGTTTTCATTTTTCAGACATTATTCAGTGGTTTCATTATGAAAGATGCACTTTATCGGAACTGTATCCTGCAGTTTCGATAGCGCATTTGATGCAAATGCTGAATGATGATGCACTCAGTCATTTGCACTGTGATATTACTCAGGCACTATTAACTGTATTTGGCAGCATTGGTCCAAGTTGTAATCTTTACGTAGATAAGGTAATGGGACATATTTCAGCGTTATTCACCGAATTACTATAGAATCATTTAGATTGCAATTTATGTTACTTTATACTACTCAAATGTCAAATAATTTTTTGAATCGTTTACATGTGTGTTCCTTAAATGTTGAATATTATTTCAGGTGATACCTCGATTGATTGAAGTAATACAAGTAACTAATCGGCCTGATTTGAAACAGTTTTATTTTCAACAGTTGGCTAATTTTATTGCAATAATTGGTGGAAGCATGAAGCCTTTTATGCCGAAATTGTTTGCTTTAGTCAGAGTAAGTGCCATATTCTTAGACTTGATAATCATTTTTTTCATATTTCTACAAATTAAAAAGTTGTTTTTTACTAACCAGTTCAAAGATCTTCATTGAAGGAATCATGGTCAGATGATATAGGCATGCGACTTACTATTGTTAACGTCATGCAACAAATTGGTACTGCATTAGGCGCTTCTTTTGCGCCTTACATTCCTGACTTTTGTCCATATCTTTTGAAAATTGTTCAGTCAGATCGCACTATGGATAGAGCCATCACTTGCGCTGTAAGTTCAGTAATATTCATACTTCGTTACTATCTCAATTAGACTACATTTCATGGAATATTAGTTCGAATATGCATTTTTTGGTCTTTCTTTACTTTCAGTACATTTTCTTAGATCTTTGATGAAGTTACTGCTAGGTAATAGTTTATTTGGAAGAGTTGTTGTTAACGTTAAAACAACTTATTTAATCTATTTAGGACAGTAAATTTTCAAATTTAAAACTCGAAACAAAATTTTTTCAGGTGTTCACATGTGTGCAGTCAATATCAATGTGTCTGGCTCCGCATATTTATCTTGTTTTGCCACCCATTTTGTCTGTGCTTGGTGATAGAACCATCAATGTTGAGGTGCGAAAAATTGCATTAGACACTGTTTATCGGATGGCTGAAACTAATTGTATTCGTGAACATGCTCCGAGAATAATGCAAGTTTGGTTGCGAGTTATTTCCGTTCCTGTAATGCAACAAAAATTGTTGCTTTTGTTAGTGATCATAGTTCGACAAGTGAGCTTTTCCAGTTTTGAATGTTAAAAAATTTTCAAATATATTTACTTTTTTTTGTGCTGAAGTTAATTTTCCATACTTGTTATGCATGAGGTAACTTATAAAAGAAGAAAAATATGTAAGCATTCTTGTTAAATTCGAAGTGTTGTTCAAAGTGTTGTAAATTAAATAATTTCTGCAGATGTCGAAACAATTTCTAGTTTTCCGCAAAAGTGTTGATAACGCCCTTAACCGGCATAATTTGCACTGCGAAGACTACATGAAGTAATACTTTCTAATCCTTAAACTAAATTCTGTCAAAACTTTTTTCGAATCTTTAAATCACATGTTTTGAATTTATAGCTACATCATTACCAATCTTCATATCTATGTTTAAATGTTTGTAATAATAGCAAAATTTTTATTTGCAGTTAAGATTTCGGAATTATAAAGTAAATAAAACTTTTGGTGAAGATAGCTTATTTAACGTAATAATTACGACAGTATTGTAGGCTTATATTACAACTCGATGAAGGAAGCGCCATATTCCCTTTGCAGTATCCAGCTTCTAATCAAATAAAACAGTTTCTTACGTGCACTCGTCATGAAAAAGGACAACGGATTAATTTTGATGTTTTGAAAAAGACATGGAATACCGCTGAGCTTGCATCAAAAGAGGTTTATTTTATTATCTGGTTTTAGATATCAGAAAATGTCTATGTTCATATACTTTATAAGGGAATTAATTATAGTTTGCGCATTATTGATTCTGAGGCTAGGTGGTGTTCCGGCTCTCACACTGTATTTGTTCAACGCTCAGTCTTGTTGTACTAGTCTCCTTTGCTTTGTTTTCCTAAAAGTGATGGCGATAATCGAGTCAGATGCTTTCGAACTTTTTCTCGAGCACTGTCTTTTGGCTATGTGCTCGACATGATCAGATATAATGATCTTCTTACCGTAGCATTTATGAAAGTTCGTTACAATGCATCCCAAGCCATACGAAATTATTTTCATCCTGCATTTCATCTTTCATCTCTGACCTGAAATTATTAGCGACTATGTCATACTTCTGCCTTCTGTGGTCTCGACTGCTGTCAACGTGTTCGTACCAATGTTCATCCTCTATTACTTCTTGTCGTTTATCATGGATCCGGTCGATCCGCATTTATCTTTCTAGTTGTTCTAACATACGTATCGTCTCTGTTCTCACTCGTGACGACCTCCTGAGCAGTATGGCTTTGCATCGTTGGAGTGATTTCAGAAGTTCTTGCAAAAGTCCCTAATGAATACATCGCAGGACCTCACTGCGTCTTGTAGTACAGTCTTAATATAACACATTTCGCATCGCATCACTAGATGGTCTATAGTCTTCATAAGTTCCTACAATGTTGGCATATATCTTTCTCAGTTCCAAACATATTGCTGTCTTGGAGGTAACAATGTCTTGCTTCATATTGTGCGGAAATATTTCCGTATAACAGCCACATTGATGAAACAGCTATCGACAAGAACTTATTCGTCTGCATCCTGCATTTGCATGATGGGTTTTTTTTGCCTTTAACTATTCAAAAACGCTTAGTCGAATGCCATTACGCCATAATTTTATTAAACTATTTTTCTGGTACTCCAACGTGAATTTGTAGAAAATCCAAGCATTGAAAACGGTAGGTTTTATTAAATAGGGTACAACAATTGCCAAGTATGTGTCATGAGTCTTCTGCTGTTTCAAAATTGCTGTCCTCCTGGTAGATAGAGGTGCGGTATCTACAAAAATATTATGAAGCTGGGGAAGCATGAGCTAACTTCTCTGTTCAATATTATGAAGTTCACGTCCTAGTCTCGGTACAAAAGTTTATTAAACTTATGACGTTCTCATTCACTGCCTTGATAAACTTCTGATAAAGTTCTTGCCATTCAGTGTAGGCTGATCGTTCAGTTATCAATGAAATTTTTGCTTTATCGTAACTTTTAGTATTCCTATCTTCCACTATTTTAGGAATTTACCTGGAGTTCCTTTCAATAGCATCGCTTTATCGGCACACACCTCAGCTGGTTTCATCTCTAATTCTACTAAGAACGTTTGGACTTGTTCGACCATAGATTTCATTACATTTTCATTAGTTGCGAAGATCTTAATATCATCTAAAAACAGTAAGTAGTTCGTAATGTGTATTCCTTAATCGATGGGTACCGCCACCTTTTTGTATACCTCGTATCAAACCGATAACACAATGAATCCATGCACAAGACGAGTAGCAGCGGAGAGATGTTACCACCTTGGGAGATTTCTCGCTGTATTTCCTTCTCCATTTTACTTTTTTAAATTGTTTTCAATACAACTGCCCATTTGAAGTGATGCTTCTCAGAAATCTACCGATCCACACTCGCATGTTAAGCCTTTCAGTGCACTAACCAGATACTGTGTGGTAGACTTAAGGAGATAGTAAAAAACTATATTATGTGAACTTAGTCAGCATGCCTGATCACGTCCAGATATTTATCCATTTCATCAATGGATTGAACTTGAATAAAGCAATGAAAACGTGCACAACAAAACTGATCGCAAAATAGGTACAATAAGAGTGCCGGAACATGATCTGTCGCGAATATCAAAGCGAAGATTAAGATATTTGTGATATTATTTGTTATAACTCTGCTAAATATGACGACATATTCTTTTTTACTTGAAATTTACCGAAATTTTTTTTTGCAACCGTTTATTCCTAATTGTTTGCGATTCCATTCTCTAGGATTGGGATCAGTGGCTTATTTTGTTGCGCATTCAGTTTATCCGGCAAAGTCCTTCTTCAGCTCTTCGTGCTTGTGCTCCTTTAGCTGATGTTCATATGCCGCTTGCAAAGTAATCGTTATTTTCCTGTTCATAAGATCTTTTTGTTAGAAGTATTTTGCATTTTGTTTAGTATAATTGCAACTTTTATTCCTTTTTTTCTTTCACATTATATCTTTTTTGAACTATTCGTGAAAGATTCAGTGGTCGTTTTTAAATCATGAAATCGTTGTGTAATCAAAGAAAAATTATATCTTATCTGCCCGGAAGGCTTGTAATTTTTTGATATTGGAATCTTGGCATTAATTCCAGAGATCTCTTCAATATCGCTTTTATGTCCGTCTGGACAGATTTTGACGAAAGGCAGCAGATGGATTTGGAAACTAATCTTAAATATGCTCTTGATTATAGTAATCATACGGATATCATACAAACGATACTAAACCTTGCAGAATTCATGGATCACTCGGAAAAAGTAATCAATCAAATGAAGAAATTATTTATATCATTATCCTTCTCCGATTTGTATAAAATTAAGATTTCAGGGGCCCTTGCCTGTGGGTAACGAGCGGCTTTGTAAATGCGCAGAACAAACTCGCGCTTATGCCAAAGCTTTAAGATATATTGAATTAGATATTCGTGAGAAATTCAGCAAAAATCCGGATGCGGAGCATTGCCGTTCTCTTATCACGTAAATCCAATTTCTATGTTTTTTATATAAATGATTTCGCAAAGATTTTTTATGTTTGGCATTTTTGTTGCAGATTTGCTAATAAATTAAATGTTCAAGAAGAAGCGGCTGGAATTGTGGAGTTTGCTCGAAAACACAATATGGAAATTGGAGTAAGTCTATGAAGAATGAACAGTTGCTGTAATTGTGATTTTTATGAGCATTAACGACTTCGTTTTTACTACTTACTTTGTGATTTCAAATTATCAAAGCAGTCCATTATTAAACATTTTTATCCAAATCACAAATAATATCGTTTCATATGAGTGATCAGTTTAGAGACAAGGACGCTGGTATGAAAAGCTAAATGAGTGGGAGAAGGCTTTGGAGATATATAACAATGAAACTTGTATCACTGATGAGGTTCGGTTTTATTGTGCATTATGTGGTATATAAATTTGTATCTTAATTTTGAAATTTTTAAAACTATGAATTGTAGCTGTATGAGCATCAGATGCGATGCTTAGAGGCATTAGGACAGTGGGATGAATTGAATGATCTTGGAAAAAAAGCGTTTGCGGAAGTCGGCGCCTCAACAAATGCGATCAGGAAACAAAACATGGCAATTACTGCAGCAAGAGGTTGTTGGGCGATCGGTAAGAAGCTTTGTTAGTTAAATTTTGATGTACTCCCACTGCTTATGCATGTTTTGTAAAAATTGATGTTTTATGTTTTTAAGGTGATTGGGAAGCAATGAAGAATTATGTCTCACAAATAAATGAAAACAATCAGGATGGTTCGTTTCTTCGAGCTGTAATGGCCATTCGAAATGAACAATATCGGGATGCAATGGCTTACATTGAAAAAGTTTCAATTTTTTACTCTGCTTCGATAATGTTCCGTTTCATTTTCTACCATGAAATTTTGAAAAAGCTGATTCTTTTCAGTTACTAGATAAAATCCTTTTTAAGAGATTTGCTGTCATTTAGCTTGAAAATTGACATTTTCAGAATTTCTTTCGAATACATTATCTTCAATTCTTTCAAATATCCTTTTTTTCTAGTTGTGTTAAACATAAAATATACTTTCAAAAGGTGCGAGACATGTGTGACACTGAATTAACAGTAATGGTATCTGAAAGCTATGAAAGAGCATATGGAGCTATGACTCTTGTGCAACAGCTTACTGAATTAGAAGAAGCTATCGAATATAAAATGTGTCCTGATCGTAGGACACGAATTGCAGTTGTTTGGAGTCGCCGTTTGCAAGGATGTCGACCAAATATTGAACAGTGGCAAAGGCTTCTTTTGGTGAAGTAAGTGATTTTTACTATCAATAATTGTTAGATATAAGAAAAGGCATAAATGACTCGTGTTATATTTTAGATCCTTAGTGCTTTCACGAAGTGATATGCGTCCAATGTGGATTAAGTTTGCTTCTCTTTGTCGTCAGTATGGAAAGTTATCAATGTCGCGTCGGATTTTAGCAGATTTACTTGGTTTAAAGAGAAGTGATCAGCTACATGAAATACTAAATTTACCAATGGATAAGCCATCTTTGGTTTTGGCTGTTTGCAAGCAGTATTGGGCAGAGAATCTAACGCATTTGGCTTGTACCACCCTCGAAACATTAGTCAATCAATTTCAAACTGAAAAGGTTCCGACGTGAATATCATACTCTTAATTGACCTATTTTTACTATAATTGTTTTCTTAGTTAACAAATGCAGTGTCTTTCGTGTTTTTACTATAAGTAGAAAAAATCTTGTCAGTTCTGGGAGCGTTTTCCGCCAGGATTTAGTGAAAATTAAACAAGCTTACTTTCTTTTCTATGCTTGCCGTCCACGTGATGGCTTTTTTCTTTGTTATATCTTCATACTATTGTACCACCTGCCTTGAGTGGAGATTTTGTGTGCCATATTACTTGCTTCTCGAAGTATAAGGAGATCAACATTCTGAGGTTATTTCCTACGTCCATTTTTTATTTTACTCCTTGGGCTTCACATCAGCACCTGATATTTCTTTACATCTAGATATACCTTAGATTCCTGTGGCGTATTTTGATCGAAGTACTTGTCTTATATCTTGACACGCTTCATTGACTCATCCGAGAACCATTTGTGAGAGCTCAGACGTCTTGCTTCTTCAGTTCTTAGAGTGTAATTGCACACATGAACTTCTCGCTATACAGGGACACAATGGCTATCTTTTTAACAGTATTGTCAACGGTCAAAAACTGTTTCCAATACCTTGTCTTAGCACTGTTCTATGAAATCGCGATTTTACCAGATTCTGGTGCAGTGGCAGAGAGTTCTCTCACACCTTTCACGGAGCTTTTTCTAACCGTATCTAGTTTCCAGTTGTTTTCATTTGGTGCAGTTTTTTCCTTTTATCCTCTATTTTATGCTTTTCGAGCACAGTCGCGCAGCAGGTCGGCAGGTCAATTGTATATATATAAACTGTTAAGCTCAGTTGCATTGCAGCATTATATAAAGATAATTTATTGATATGAGATAATCAGCAATAATTTAGCAAATCAAGTAGCATACTAATGAATGTCATATCAGTTATATTTTAGAGAGAGATGATAAAAAATATGGGAATGAGTCGTTTGGTTGCAAAATGCTGTTTGAAACTCGGTGACTGGTACGATGTTCTACCTCAATCCCCAAAAGATGTACAACCTTTTGTTGCGCAGCAACATCCTCTCTCTCTTGATACTTCTCAGCAACCGCTACTTAATCATGGCTTTATCATAAATATGCCTTCCGATGTTCTAATGAATAATCACGCCGAAACTCCGCCAGCGCTTTCGCCCAATCTGTTCGATCTACAAATCTTACAGCCCTCAGCAACGCCTCCTTCTCTGACGCAGACTATGAAGCTCTACTCAGATGCTACTACGTTTGATCCAACTTGGTACAAAGCATGGTATAAACTTGCATCAGCATATTTCAATGCAGCTATGTATCAGACACAGGATTCGGTAAAATATATTTTTATATATATGTAAGGCAACTGCTAGCACATTACAATAATTCATTGCAAGTACTACATTAGTTTTTATACCTACGTGTTTTAAGAACGAAGAATGCGTTCGTAAAGATAGTATTTTCTGTTATGATATATGCCATCAAGTATTAGTGGGCTGAATATTTTACTTCATTTATAATTACTAAATATTAAGACGTTAAGAAATGAAAATATCGAGTAAGCAGAAAAAGTCGAGAAAGAGTTCGCAAATCATCGTAGTTCTATAAATTGCAATAATCTAATTTTTTTTCCATGTATTTGCAGTTTTCACCGGGACCTCCGCCTCCTCCTTTTATTGGTTTTATGCCCAGTACACCCATATACGATCTTCTTCGTACCACGGAACATGAAGAAACTTCGTCTGATATTCTTCCTTCACAGCTGCATCCACCTCCATCTCTTCCCACTTCAACAATTTCAAATTCTACCTCCCCTGTATTCAGCAAGTCAACGATATTTTTTGCTAAACAAGCGGTTTCTAGCTTCATTAAAGCTATTACTTTGGCTGAAGGTTGTTTACTAAAAAATAATACTTTGAAGTGTGGCCTTACCTAAAGTTCAAATAACCAATCCTATTTGCAAACCTTGACATACGTGCATGCAATTCGAATTGAAGATACTGGGAATAAATATTATATGGATAAATTTGTGCTGTTGCTGCTATTAGGAAGAATTAATTAGTTTATTCATTTTCTCAAAAAATGTTGACGTAATTCATTTCGTCAATATTAATTTATTATCTTAACTCTAGATCCTTTTTTGTGATAGCTGATAGTGTCTTATTAATAGTTCCTACTGCTGTGGAATAGTTTTAATTTTTAGGATCTCGATTGGAAGACACACTACGATTTTTAACTTTGTGGTTCAAACATGGTGATCAAGTAGAAGTTTTTGAAACTATACAAGAATCATTAAAATTATTGCCAGTTGAGATGTGGCTTGAGGTTTCATGAATTTCTTACAGTTTTCATGTTTCTGAAATTGTGATCTATAAAGTTTGAGTTGAAGTTAGGGTAGTCATTAAAAGATTCAGTAAATTTATCAGATCTGAGTTGTTAAAATCAAGCTTCATATTATTTGAATCGTTTGTCATGTGGTCTATATTTGTCAAGTTTTAGGTGATTCCACAGTTGATGGCACGATTAGATTCCCAACAAAATGTTGCTCAGTTAGTCAAGGAAGTTGTGATTGACTTGTCAAAAGTTCACCCTCAGGTTTGAAATTGGAAAAATATAAATTGTCAATTTTTTGTTAGTTATGATTATTTCCAACTAATTCTAGCAATTCCTGACAACAATGATGACAGGTTAATAAATGGGGTTTGTAGAATGTATTTTAAATAAATAATGTTTTATTCTTTTAGTCTTTGGTTTATGCTCTTACTGTTGCTGCAAAATCAACAAATTCGCGACGTTCAACCGTTGCTTCCGAAATATTGAATATTATGAGTGAAACAGAGTCAACGCTTGTTGAACAAGCTAAACTTGTTAGTGATGAGCTTATCCGTTGCGCTATTCTTTGGCATGAGCAATGGCATGAAGCACTTGATGATGCATCAAGGCTCTATTTTCAGGTTAAAGATAAGTTCATACGATATAGATACGTTTTAGAAAAGAACTTTCAGCGAAATCTACGGAAAGCATCATTTGTGTTTTTATCTCACATTGATGCATATGCAAAAGCTTTTTATCCAATTTCTAAAATAGTTTAAACAACATTATTTTATGGAATTTGATATATAATTTATATCCTTTTTTAAAGCTCATTATAAAGTAACACTCTTTTTTTCGCTCTAACAGGCCCATCAAATTTCTTCTTCATTCTGTTCGATTTTAGGACAAAAATGTAAAAGCCATGATTGACTTGTTGAATCCCTTACATGAAATGATTGAACGTGGTGCAACTACGCTTAAGGAACAATCTTTTAAACAGGTAATGTCCCTGGTGTTAATTCATCAAACTGTAATCAAGATTTCTATTTGATGAACAGTGAGGTTAGAATTACATCTAATTCTATCCTCTCATTTTTTGGAGGAGTAATTTCAACTCCTTGCAGTTCGTGAACAGGTATTTCAATTATGTTTTCACTATCTGAAATAAATTCCAATATTGTGCGTCATTTTTTTGCCAAATTTATCGCATGTAAAAGGACGTGTCTTATTTATCAATTTAGACATATGAAAATGAACTCAAAGAAGCATGGAATGCTTGTCGCTGTTATATGCGCTCTCAGAATGCTAAAGAACTTAATCAAGCCTGGGACTTGTACTACATTGTATTCAGGAAGATTTCAGCTCAACTTCGTCAGCTAACATCGTTGGATTTGAATTATGTTTCGCCCAGGTCTATTTAGGTTTTTCATGATAACAATTGACAGCGATGAAGAAAGTTTTGTCTTCGTACTGTCAACTTCACAAAAATAAGTTTTTAAAGAGAAATTTTTCTCTAATTTCTGACTGATTCTTCTGCTTTTTATCTGATTAATTAATCGTAACATTTCTATGATGGATATCTCACCAAGCTTTATCAAACATGGTTTTTGCAGAGAAGGACTTTCCCGATTTCAATATTTGAATTATTTTCAAAATTGTAGTCATATTAGATGAAAAATAAAATTTTATGAATAGGGATTTATTTATGGTGATGAAATCTATTGCTGATATTGAGTTGATTGATCTCCTATGCGCATTCGTTTAATACTGTTTCGTTTCTCAGGCTAGTTAAAGCAAGAAATTTGGAACTGGCAGTCCCTGGAACATATGATCCAAATGCACCACTGGTTACGATATCCTCGATAAATAATATATTGCAGGTTATCAACTCGAAACAGAGACCTAGGAAAATAATTATGAAAGGTAGAGTCAATTTGTGCTTTTTCTCAATTAACTGAGAAATATGGAATCTTTAATTTGTTCAGGAAGCGATGGAAAAGATTACATATTTCTTCTGAAAGGTCATGAAGATCCTCGGCAAGATGAACGAGTGATGCAGCTTTTTGGTCTAGTTAATACTTTACTTTTGCACCAAGGTGACACGTCTCGTCGAAATCTAACTATCCAGGTCTTATTTTAGATTCGAAGCAGTTCTGGAAGATGTTAAAATTTAAATTATTTTTTTACATACTGTATCAAAACTCATCAAATGATCTTAATGCTAATTCGAAATCGGAAAGACAGAATTGATCTATGCATTATCATAATTACTTGGTGAAAGTAATTACTCCATTTTCCACTTTTTTATTGAATTTATGATACTTCGTTTTACATATTTGGTACATTAGTTTTCTGATCTGATTAATTTTATTTCATTTTACTTTATTTTAGCGTTACTCTATTATTGCTTTGAGTCATAATAGTGGACTTATTGGTTGGGTTCCAAATTGTGATACTTTACATTCATTGATTCGTGATTATCGTGAAAAAAAAGGGATTCAATTGTCAATGGAACATAAGATAATGCAAAGTTTCACGAACGATTTGGATCAACTGGCGTTATTACAGAAAGTTCAGGTATTTATCGTTTTAAGACAATGCTCTTTAGCACTTTCGTCATGTCCGTATTCATTTCGATAATAAAAGTTTTTGCAGGTTTTCAAGCATGCACTTGAATTGACAAGTGGAAATGATCTACAACAGATTTTATGGCTCAAGTCACCAAAGCAAGTTTTTGTACTGGTAAAATAATGGAGAAATCACTTTAATTATCATTTTAATGTTTGTCACTGACCGTAGCTCTGAGCTTGATTAAATTCTTGATATTGTTTTGAATCGCGTCACCATTTATGACAACTTTCATTTTTGCTTTGTGTGCTGTAGCATACAAAAATTTCGTTGACCATTTTTTTTTAATTTGCTTACAATTTAAGTTCCGAAATTTGGTTTGACCGACGCACCAACTACACTCGTTCAATGGCATGTATGTCTATGGTGGGCTACATCTTAGGACTTGGAGACCGGTAATATTATTTGTAAAATTTTTGATTGAAAATGAAAGTAAATGAGTTTTATGAATTATAGGCATCCATCAAATTTGATGTTAGATCGCGTTAGTGGCAAGATTGTTCACATCGATTTTGGAGATTGTTTCGAAGTTGCAATGACGCGAGAAAAGTTTCCAGAAAAAATACCATTTAGATTAACAAGAATGCTTATTCAGGTTATGAAAACGAATAAAACTCATTTAATTTAAAATATTGATATTAGCACGTGGCTTAGCATTCACACAAAAAAGGCACATTGATTTCAATTTTTTCTGTAAAATGCGTTCAAATAGAGAAAGCCTTCTTGCTGTACTTGAAGCATTTGTGTATGACCCACTTATCAATTGGCGGTTGACTGAAGACGTCTTTAATTATTTGTTTAGTGCCAAATATTTTCACTGAAGCTGAGAATTCTATTTTACCGCCTCTTGTCTTCTATGTATAATTAATTTTTCGCAACGAACCATGGTGCTGATTTTTAGGCGATGGAAGCTACAGGGATTGAGGGTAATTATCGGATAACTTGCGAACGTGTTTTACGTGTATTGCGCTCAAATAGAGAAAGCCTTCTTGCTGTACTTGAAGCATTTGTGTATGACCCACTTATCAATTGGCGATTGACTGAAGGCATCTTTAATATTTGTTTAGTGCCAAATATTTTTACTGAGGCTGAGAATTCTATTTTACCGCCTCTTGTCTTTTTCACTGTGATGTTTTACTTATAAATTAGTCGCATTTTAGTTGGTGGCAAACGTCCACCTCCTGAAACGCTTCAAAAAGATGGCCAAACTGATTCAAAAGCAGAATCATCATTAAAACGTATAAGACAAAAGCTAGCAGGTAATAAATATTCATTACTTTTCATTTGTTTTGTGTTTTTAAGCTTATAAATATGATCTTTTAAGCATTTTTAAGTTTACACTTAAATTTCGGAGTACAGATTTTTCTCTAGGGTTAAATCTCGTACGTTTGTATTTCGTTTTTTTATATTGTTAAAACTATAACTTTTTTTTTTACCTAGACCACATTATGTTAAAAAAGCCATAGAAAAGGGAGGTTTTTATTAGAAAACTATCTCATAAAAGTTATATTTTAACTTTCATAATTATTATACAAAATACTCTTCGTACTGTTCGAAAGTCCGTCAGTTTTTTGGTATTTCAGGCCGAGATTTTTGTCCAGATGTAGAGTTTAGTGTGTCAGAACAAGTTGGCCGACTTATTGATCAAGCAATTTTAGCTGAAAATTTATGTCAGTGCTACATTGGTTGGTGCCCGTTTTGGTAGTACGGTCCTACATACAAAGGATCACTTTTTTTCCAGTTTTCAAGATGATCGAATAATGCCTTTTCGAGGGTTTTTGTGGTTCTCCTTTTCAGCAAACGAAAATATATACAGATGTTAAAAATATTGATTGTTAGGGGTGTGATGTAAAAAGGTATAAAGTAATATCGGTTTACTGGTAGTTCTTTTTTGGGCGCTCAGATCCAATTGAAATAGTTGCCTTTCTGCGTAATATGGATTCAGTTGTTTTCGAATATGTAGCATTTAAGGGAAGATTCGATTTTATATTTCGGTGGTTATATTTTATCCTATCTATATATGAAAGATTTTTGAATTTAGTGTCTCAAAAAAGAACATTTGTATTCTGTTTGAAATCTTAAAGTATTCTGTCTTCCCTCCAGATTTGTTTGGTTGTTTTACATTTTTTGATGATCATTTTAAGGCATAACTCTTTCTTGTTATATCTTTGTAGCTAATGTAGTAAAACAAAAATATGAATTGGTTTCCAATACTATCTTTAGCTCATCCAGGACGAAATAACGTTTAGTAAATAGGATGTCGTTATTATTCGTCTTGATCTCATTGCTTGTTCTTTGTAATTATAAAACTTATATTCGATTAACATTGTTCTCTGTTGAGAACTCTTGCTTTTTTGTTGTAAATGAGCATAAGGTACTGTAATTAATTACCATAAATTGAAGTGCTCTTATATATAATATATGTTGTTTCAGTTAGAGGATTGAGCAGAATCGTTAATTATTATATTGATTAACGTCTGCAGTGTGATCAGTGAATATTCAGCGTGTAATAAAAATCTTTACTGATCACAAAGTTCAACTCAATATCAGCTGTAATCTTTAAGATGCAGTAGTGATAAAGACTAGACGAGGAAAAACTTGGCAAGTATGTGTTGCTCGTTTTTGCGATAAGTTGTGAGAAAGTTGAGGGTATGATAGAAACCATTTATCTAATTTTAAAACATGGAATTTAATAAAATATGTAGTGGAACAGTCAAAATGCTTAACAGAGAACTATTTAAAAATAGAACAAGGAAGAGGACAAGCTTACATTCCTGATAACGCTCAGTTAAAGTTTGAATATGCTCTCCAAACAGGTTTCAAAGGCCAGTTAAAAGCTTCGTCAAGGTCATGCTTATGAAAGTGGTGAACTTTTCGTGAAAACCGTTGCGAATGTTAACACTTCAAGTACAATAATCGAAGAATAGGAGGTTCTCACTCCAACTTGTTAAATCCGAAATGTAGTGTTCGGACGGTAGAATCTGATGCACATCATGTTTTCGTTGTTTCCATAAGAATGGACTTGAATTATTTTTGTAAGAAAAATCTTAACTTTAATTTAGTAAGAGAAATTTTTGAACCCCTGAAACTCTGTCTATATTTATCTGCCAGTGAACATGAGAATCAAGAATGAGATAATATAATGGTCCTTCTAAAAAAAGCAGTTGCTTTTTTTTCCTTAAAAAGAATATTTTAGCTTTTGCAAACGCAACAAAAACAAAATGTGTATCAAAATATATCAGATTTTTTTGCCGCAAAGAGCTATTTAAGCATAACATAACAAAGAAAAAGTAATGATCAATGATCAGAGAACGAATAAGTAAGAAATTATTTAGAAAAACGTGAATAAGTCCGTTAGAGATCGGAAATGATGAATAAAAAATACTTTATTAATATCAAACTTTTTAATGATTTTTGATAGTGCAAATTGATATGTAAATATTTTCTAAATTACAATAATGATAAACGTGTACTGAAAGTTGATATATGTGAATAAGATTTACGGACGCAGTACAAACTCCCAATTATCATTACTATAAATCATATGAAAAGTTAGACAGTAGAATGAATTTTTATAGTTTCTTTTTTCGCAGAATGACTGAAAAATAGCAGCAATTCTCAGCAAGAATTGTCAAATGGAGCACAAACTTTTCCACTCTCAAGGAAATAAATAATAAGTAAGTTGACAGCTTAGCCACACTTCACCTGCAGATGTGCTAGTTATTTGTTTTTCTGCATGTATCTCAAGTTTGCTCAGGAAATTTCAATTTGCAAGACAAGTAAATGCTGCAATTATTCGCAGTATGCAAAAGGGATGTGTTACTTTTGTGTTTGTTTCTTTGACTGCCCAGTTTGTTAAGTATTAAAAAAATGATTATTTTAGTTCTCATGAAGGATAGATAAAAACTTAAAGTGTTTTTTATTTTTAAAGAACTTTTTCCATGAAAGCATGAGATGGAGAAGTAAAAATTACAACAAAAAATTGTCATTTTCAGCAGCAGGATTTCACGAGTGAATTACTTAATAAATTCTGAAAGAGGAAATAACCAACCAAATTATAATTACATTTTCAAGTCAAATTATTGATCAGTTAATGAATGACTTCTATCTGCTGTGTTGTAATTTTTGTGAAGAATATGAATTACAAAGACTTGTCAGAAGTTGACATAGCAGTACGAGAAGTAAGAATATAGTTTGTTTTTTTTTTGTTTTTTTTGCCATCTAAGAAAATATAACTACTACTTTGATTACTTTATAAAGCTCGAGTAGCACGTTCGTTGAGTGCGTTGGCTAATCCGGCTATCCTGTTTCTGAGCTCGTACTCATTTAACGTGTCTTCGTCTATCGGAATTAATTCATTTTCTGCACTATTTGTTGGTACTGTGATCACTTTCTTTGCTGGTAGAAAAACATACTAAAAAGCTAACTTTAGAATAACTTCACAAAATTCAATCTTAAACTTCGTAAAAGTTTTGTTTTAGAGTTTCACTTAGTTTTAGTCATCGAAAATTGATAAAAATTAGGTTTAGTTTAAAAATACAAATAAAACACACTGTTTCTATTTCTGAATTAGATGTTTGTGAATCAATCTTATAAGTAAATATCAGCAATAATTGTCGTAAGTGATTCAAATACAAATACTTCTGCACTTTCGCGCATTTTTTGAGAATGATAAGTGCTTGTTTGATAACAAATATTTACTGCTATGAGATTTTTGATGAATGTAATAATTAATAATAAAAATGACTTATGATTATGAAGCTGCAATTCGCACTGTCATTGCTTTAAAATTTGTTCAATTATTAGTAATAATGATACAAATGCTAATAAAATGGCAAACATTACTATTATTTATTGATAGCATTAATTTTTGTTTGATACCGAAAACAAAAAACAAGTAGTGCCAGACTGAATGTGGAATTCTTTTGTTCAGATAATTCATGTTTATTATTGCCAATAAAAATTAGCTTCAAGAAAAGTAACCCATTTACTTTAATAATGCTATCATAACTGCATTTGTTAATAAAACTAACCTCAGGTACTTCTTCTATCTGTTCATTCGTGTTCATTTCATAGATATCATTTGAAGGAAGCTCAATCACAGGAAGCACAAGTTTCGGTTGGTCACTATCACCCAGAATAGCTAATTTATGCGAATTATCATTGATATTGTTGACATATGAAGATGATATCGGTTTTTTACCTGAACCTTGGGGAAGCTTTACAATTCGATACTCATCAACTGGTACATCGGGAACATATCGATCTAACTGATCTTGCACGATTCTTGCCAGAATTTCCAATTCTTCGTCGTTTAATTCTTTTGAAATAGTTTGAACTTAGTTACCATAATTTTTTTAAATTGAAATTTGAATACTAGTATAGTTTTGACATTTATTCAAATTCGAACAAAACTTTTGAAAACGAGCGAGTATATTACAGTAATCTTTTAAATATATTTTTTCGCATAAACTCAGCTAAAGTTAGTAACTGACGCTTTTAAAAAAAAGAAAACCATTTATTCTTACTCATCACAATTATTAAGATTTTTTTTGAAAAAAAAAATAATGACCTCGGTTAACTCAAGTGATAAGTGAAGTTTCAAAGAGTATAACAGGCAAAATGGAAATGTTTAGATGCCATATGCTATGGTATTGATGAATTACGGTAGTATTAATTTTAAGATATTTTTATTTTAATCAGTTGCATATTTTATTCTGTGCTAGAATACTATGCATATTGAATTAAAGTCTGAAAAAATTTGTCATTCAATTTACTCTTCATCTTAACACAAAGACAATTCAGCTGAAAAAATTTTTCTGATATTTTATTGCTATTTTATTAATAGGGTTTGATGATATTTGAGATATTACTTTTCAGCTAACAAATATCACACTACTTTGATTTAATTACTCAAAATATGCTTAACAGCAAGCAACATTTGTGGTGGAAACTAATCTGAAAGTAAAGCTGATTACTTGCATATAATTTTATAGTACTCTGATAATAGTTCAGTGGTATGCTGGTGATCACTTAATCATTTTTAAAATTTAACTGAGCGAAAAGTTATCAACTCTTATTGAATTTACATTTTATTTATTGCTTTTGAACTTTCAACCTTTAAAGTGTGCTTTTTCTTTTTGGAATTCTTTTTTGACTTTAAGTTAATTTTGACCTTATTTTATTCTTACGTATTCTTCAGTTCCATAGAAACTTAAATGCAAACCGTCAAGTGGATCCGTGAAATTATCATCTGTATCGCTATGATCACTATCGATATTATTAATGGTGCCATATCCTGTATTAACAATTTCACGCTTTTTACGGAATTCAGAATTCAATAGCCCAACTGGCAATCTCATACGTTTTTCTCGACCCATTTTGTCACCTGCAGCACGAAAAGTAAGTAATGGAATAAAATGAGAGAATTTTTTATTTCAACTAACAAGATTATACAATAACTTTAACATTTTCAAAATTATCAAATCATCAAATAATCATAATTTGTTGATGTAGTAGTAACTATTTGCATTATTTATCCGCCGAAGAGCTTTAACAACGTGAACAGCCCTCGGCTTCACGAATTTTTCTAATATTGTTGGGAATGGAAAATTGCAAAGAATTTCATTTGCAATGTTAATCATTAATGAATGAGCGATGAACAACGAGCAGTTGAAGGAATAAACGTCTGACTTATTTTTTTTTTATTTATGAAAAAAGGAATAGAGTTGTTGTTGTCAACATCTAATTTCCTTCTTAGCTAATAGAAGTAACAATGACAATGCTTAAAGATGGAAATGGCAGTAGCAGTAACATCGCACAACATAGACTCATTCAGCACAAATGTTTTTTCTATTTATTTTTTGGAAAATTTTAATAGCTCTAAGTGAGCGTAGTGAAACCATATAAAACATAATCATGATAATAAACATTATCACTAGCACTTAAAGTAATTAGTCTATATAAAAATACATTAATCTATATAAAAAGCATGAGTGCTCAGTTAGCTTTATTACTGTAACGAATTAAAAAATACTACCAAAAAACGGTAATGTGATTTTGAATATTTTTCTCGGTTTACTGAAAAAATTGATGAATTTCAGTTATTATTTTGATGGATTTTTAACGCTACAATTAATAAGAGCTAAGAATTAATAACAAACAAGAATGAAAGCAATGACAAAAAAATTTATTGCTTGTAACCAGCGATTGCGATTTATAATACGACGTCAAATCGGAATTTATTTGTTGAAAATTTGAATTTTTTTTGTTATAACTTGAACTAAACCTAAAAATTTAACAAAATGTACAACACCGACATTACTTTTGCGAATATTAATTGAAAAGTAAATGTACCAAACATAGAAACAAATCGTGTTTGTGCTTGTGTAGTCACCACTCTCTGATTACGATCAAACAAAAACGATCTCCAATAGATCAAAACATAACGAGAAAAAATCACTTCGTTTATTTGATATGAATGGCAGTTGTAATTATTATAAAAAGGCAAAATTGAATGCTTTTTTCTAAACCCATAATTATAAAACTTACTGATAAGTGCTGAAAGATGCCGTCCATTTGCTGACATCTCATAATTATTGTCCTAAAAAGCAATACAAATATTAATTATTTAAAATATCATTAATGTAAAGTCACACAAAAAATAAGATTAACCTCTGCGTCATACTGATTGCTTGTTTAAAATAAAAATCCATCATATTCATTACTTTTAGTAAAATAATATTTAGTGCAATATACGTGCTAAACCTTCATGCATTTGTAATTTCAAAGTGTAACAAATTAACTCTGAAAGATACTGAATGCGTAATCTCAATTGAGATAAGCAGAGATAAAATCAGATTAATTATTTTTTGTTAAATCAGAGACATTTAAGGATTTAATATTAGAATTATTTTGAACGACAGCCTGTTAGAAAAATATGAAAGAATACAAATGTTGTCATTGCATGTGATATTCTAATTTATTTTAAAAACTGAGTTAATGATTAAAATTGATATTATCATTTTGATAAGCGACTTTTTTTTCTGATGATTTAAATTCACTCTTAGTGAACGTAAGCTACTAAGCTTGCAATATTGTATCCTTGGCTTACAACTATTCAAAACTGAAAACTAAAAAAATATATAAACAAATTTTAGTTTATAAACAAATTTTTGACTAGCAGAAATTTTTTCAGTAATTTTTTCACTTCTCCCAGCTCGATACGTAGAGATTTTTAAACGATCACTTATTGTTTATTTCACGGTCTATTTCGAAAAAGTAAAATTGCATAAATTAGTTTTTTTTCTTGTTAGTAATCATTATGAAAATGTGCATATTATTATCGTCATTTTCTGTAAAAATATGAAGTATTAATGATAATAATTACTGAATTCATACTTAATACATTTCCAATTAATGTGAATCAATCAATGTGCAGATAAAGTGAGTGTAATCAGTCATTTTGCATAAGAATGAGACGAAGAAAATTTTTATGCTTTGTTTTAGTGAAGAATTATTCATTCGAAGCATTGAAATAATCGATTCGCTTTTTTAAAGTTTTTGAATGATTTGGAAGTGAAAAAGAGTCTAAAAGATCGTTTCAACGAGATAATCAATCACTGATCATTTTATTTTTATTAAATTACACCTATACTGAAAAAAATTTGTAATATCCCACATCGCTTAATTGTTGCAGCACATTTAATAATCATATAAAAATGTTTTATGAGTTTTCATTAATTGCTATTCAAACATAGAATAAAGCATTAATTAGAAGTTGAAGTGCTTTCCTTCTTCTTTTGCATAAAAATGGTAAACATTTTAGCGATTTGAAGAAGCAGAATATATTTTAATACATAGGTAAATACGTAAAGTAGTCTCAACCAGAAGTGATTTTATAAAATTATATAATTTCAAAAATTAAATAATTTCAAAATTAATATGATTGCAATGACTACACTTTCATTCAGCCCAAATCATAAATTGTAATCTGAAAATATCTGTTTTATATTTGTTATAAAGAGTAATAATGCAGCTGAAAATTTCTTAAACGTTCTATAGTTTCTTATTAGCATTGGCACGTGGCAGTGTTTTATAAGTTTTATCTAAAATATTATGATGTAATAGCATTATTAACATCACTGATATCATTTAATTTTTTTACAGTATAAGCAATCAATACTTTAATTTCCTCTCGTTGTAAGCATTAATATTTTGATAGGACGGCAATTTTGAGCAAATTTTTGTTGCAATCAAGGTCTGAACATCCTTACATTATTTGTTATTTTTATTAGTGTTACAGTAAGAGTGAAAGTAGCAATGACAGTGACGCAGTAAAGAACGAAAATTGCACATTAAATTCAATATGCTAATATTATCATTGATATTAGTATTTATTATTGTTCAAATGCTTATGATTATCATTACTGTAATTTTAACAGAAATATCAAAGTGATTTTATAAACTAAAATGTTAGTATATTAATTACTATAATTATACATACAGATAATTCAAAAATTATGTTTTCCGGAATAGAAACAAAATTTTAATTAATTTATCATTTATTAGTTAGGTACAAATATTTGAGTATGTAACAATAAAAGAAACAATTGCACTTACCAGCGGAAAGGATAAAACGATGACAATACAAAGTGATAAGAGTGATAGCAGAATTAGTGATGAGGACGAAACTGACAGCATTACTTTCGAGTTCACAAACTTACTGACTAACTCTTCGATAAGCAGAGGAAGGGAACAGGCCGCAAGGGCAATGTTAGCGATGCGAGTGAAGCAGCAGCCTAAGGATGGCTGTTAGCTACGTTTGGGTGGACCTTAAATACATTTATTTACTTATCTGTTTATTCATTTATTTTTTTAGTAAGTAAGTAAGTGAATTAGTTTGTTTGTTAATAAGCTCACTTGTTTCTTTAGTTAATTAATTAAATGACTAATCAAGTAATTAACTAGTTAGTTTATCAGTTTTTTAGCTCTACATACTTTTATAGCATCTATAAATATTTAAAATATAAATAAAATGCTACTATCATTCTTCTGACTATACTCTTTTATCATATCTTCTTATAATATAGGCCTCAGAACTTAGCAATATCTTTAGCTCTATAGCCAGCCTTATAAAATTGCTATTCTAGCAGGTCTACAAGCTTATTAAGTTCGGCCTTAGTTTATTAGTGCTAAGAGCTAGTGAGGTGGCATTTTCCTTGATTACTTCTCCAACTATCCATCCGTTTCTAACTTTTTTCAGGATTAAATGAAAAAATCGCTTTGGCTGCACTTTCAATATAAAAACTATGCGAGCAAGTATGTAAGTAATTGAGCCAAGGGAAAAATAAAAGATGCAGGAAAAAACGAAAAATAAACCATGGAAATGGCTTAGAAGCTCATTTCCACTAAGCATATTTTATCAAGTATTACGCTATTAATATTCCTAACCATGTCTAAAGGGAAACGAGCAGTAAAGAAATAAAACTTAATGCTGCATAATTAATGACAGAACCACAAAATTACTCAATCCTGTTGATTAATAATTGAAATCTGAATCTGATTTATGCTTCCTTTCACTATTAAATCAGTTTCTCACACCTTTGAAGGAATATAATTACTAAATGAATAAATAAATACAATCTGATAAGTATCAAAAATTATTTCTGCACAATTTAGACAATTATGTAAAGAATTACTTCCAAAATATTTCGGACTAGCATAAATGATTTTCGTAGATAATAAATCCTCTTGAGATGACTCGCCGAATCAGTTGAATAATGAAGACAAATTATGTTGTTCATGTTAAAAGACTAGACTGAATAACTCATCTTTCTATAAATTTGAGAAACTATCATGCAGTTAAAAATTTTTCGCATCTTCAAAATTTATAAATTATTTAACTAATTGAATGATCTCTCGAACAAATACGTAAGAAAAACTATCTCGATTATAACAAAGTCATCATATGACAAAGTCATCTTATGACAAGTATTTCACAAGACAATAATGCAATGTGCAGCCATGCTTCTTATCCTTTAATAACAGATAATTTCGATACATGACCTCACTACAGAGCATGATTATAGATGTAATTCATTGCATATTACAAATCCTCTACAATGAAAAACACACATATACCAAATAACTTGAACGAAGTTGATAAATGGAAACTAATCAAATTAATTATAATTTAGTAAAAACTCCTCTAATTAAATCTACTAAAACAACGCAAATTTTTAGCAAAAGAAAAATAATTATTTCTGTCAATTCATGTTGTACATGCCTTTTTAGTAAAGGCTAATATAGTATATCGAGAAATCCGGTGATCTGAAACCCTGCATGCTTTACACTGTCTAAAAATTTTCAAACCAAATGAACATCAATAAATCTACCAAGGAACCCCTGCTACACTGCTTGTCAGAGTTTCGTTACTCGGAATTGAAAACTTCAATTACTTCTGATGCTGTATCCTTCAAAAGTAAGAAGTAAAAATGTAATGGCAGGAGACATACTGGCCCATCTCACGAAAACCACTTCTCATATTACAATTACCCAATTCTGTGCAAAAATATGCTCGATCACATTACGTCTTGCTCCAAATATGATCCTTAATGCACTGGCTGAACTACTTAATTCTTTGCTTTCTTCAACTTGCTTTTCCTCTATGGCTACATCAAATGACCCATTTCACATTTACCTTCCTCATTAAAGCGCATGTACCAGCTTCTTTCAGGAACATCAAATTCTTTACGTGATTTCAATAATTACTCGTAAAACATCATGCTTAAACTTCTAGTCATGCAATATACAAACTAAGAATAAAAATTTACGCAACATTTGGAGGAGCACACATGTAATCATTAATAAGTGACGAATAATTCGAAACTGGATTTTTTTGCACCTCATTTTCGATCATTACCTTTTGCATCATAGAAACGTGAAAACCGAAAACGTGAAAAAAAGAATTTTACATTAACAGATACAACCTCTAGTTGAGAAAAGCCATCACAATTACTCAGAACCACAAAATTATAGGTCAAGGGTCAAAACTCACACAGTGATGGCTATCGAGTGCTCTCGCTATCACAAATATACGTGATGAAAAAGCAGGTAGTTTTCTTACCACGTATTTTTCCTAGAATACTATAACACCAAAAATAAACCATTTACTAGCAACAGAAAAAAACTACATCATACTAAACTTTTAAATATGCACTCAAACTACTAAAAATATTCAGGAACTTTCGTAACGTCACTTGTAAAACAAATTTGTATAAAAGACCACTTTTCCATGATGTATTAAAACTGATTAGATGAACACGAGTTCATACAATTTATTAAAACTGATTATACGAACAGAAGTTAAAAAACATTCCTTGTTACAAGCATGTTGTCTAAAGATAAAAGATTAACAGCGGATAAAAAAATGATGCAGCAAAAAGTTTTTGAAAGTCGCTCCCAACTTTTGACTTTCACGCAGAACTTGGAGATAAAGTAGCTCGACGCACCAACCGCAACGAACACGTCTCAATATCATACCATATTAACGCCGCCCGCAATGAACATTAACGAATCTTGGAAATCGATACTTGCAAAAAAGCAATACCATTATGAAGATGTCGTTATGCACAACTAGGCATATAACCACGATTTGCTTAGCATCTAGCTAACTCGTATCGACGTTTTAAGGACTACCGAGGAGTTTACTGATTTTGAGAGCTGACGAAGACGTCTACTTTTTTTGTAGACAAAACCGGTCAGTTGTCAGGAAACTGTATTCCTAAAATGAAAATCCTGCCTGAAATTGTATCAAGAGAATCAGGGAAAGCCCCACATGAATACTGAAAACATTCATTTGAAAATGAATAAAAAGTGAACGCGATGGCGCTCTATATTTGGAAACGAAATAGCTTTCATACCAGAAAGGATTAAGAATAAATAATGAATTATAATTTTCATGAAAATGGATTTTCATGAATATGAAAGCTATTTCGTTTATTTATTTAATGGTCTCCATGAAAGGCTTCACATTTTCTTAAATGCAATTAATAACTCTGTAATCTTGTAACTTCTGTCTTTTAACGAACAATGAGCATGCATTTGAAAACTGTGCTTATATTTCAAGGAGAAAAAGTTCACCTCATCAGAACAAAAACCGCTCCGGACAAATTCGACGTACTACACCCATGCTGTCCACCCTTCATACATCAAGGCGAGGTTGCTTATATCTGTGGCTTGCTGAATCAACATATCAACCTGGAACAAAAGAAAATAATCCTTTCACATTCATGACTGGCTCACTGAAATCATAAATACCAGAACTGAAAACTCCAAAGCCATAGCACAATACCTGTTCAGACGGCGTAAGGGGTTTTTGTTTGTTTGCATCATTTATTCCAATTTCATACTTGCCAATGTCTGTTACATCTAATCCTTCCAACTTCAACTTTACTTTTTTAAACACATGCTTTCCTTGCAAACTTTGCTCTTGCTGGCCTTAATTCCAAATGAAATTACTCTCCTCGAAAAATTATAAATGAATACCAGAAAAATTATTAATTAAAAAATATGACTTACCTTTACATTGATCCATTTTTGTAGACCTGTCACAGAGTAATGGTGATTCTGTCTCTTCGTTCATTTTCGATAACAAGAGTAAGTTGCCGTAAATGCTATAATGTCATTTATGAAAAAAATAATAGTTGAATAATAGGACGAATTTAACGGAAACATTTTCAATTTCAAACAATGGAAACCTTGATATTTTGTCAAGGATTGATCGGAAAAGAGAGATACACAGAGCATGATTACATTGATCATCCAGCATCTTGAGCGCATTTACAAGTGGATTGCTAAATGATTCTTTATACTGCTCCCAATAATTTTTGAAAGCCATATTTGTCTGCAACAATTTTTTAAGTATTAGAAAAGGTTCGTGTACACAATCTACATCAGTCTTTTATTTTTCGACCAATTCATCACTGAAAGACATTTTTAAGAAAAGAGCAAAGAAGCTTAAAGAGAAAGTAGTGAAATCTTATCAGACTACACTGCATTAAAATAATCTTTCTAAACTGCATGAATTTGAAGAATGATATTCAGCCATTACTAACAACATTGCATAACACAAAATGTTATGGTGAAATTGGTTTTTTATCACCCAGATCATATAAAATAAGTTTTGAAGAACAATTATAAACTCAAATGAATATTTGACTAAACATTTTAAAACTCATTTGACGAAAAAAAACTTGCATGCGCAAAGAACCGAAGAAAGGGACGTATATCTTGCATAATAGAATGATGCACAGTTAATGAATTCTTCAAACTTTGTTCAGCTGATACTTTTTCCAGTTCTAATCTTTTAACATTCCTTTCGTGATGAATCAATCGGTATCCCGCACTTTCTTGAGTTTTTTTGGTGTGATTTTCCAGAACATCAATCATGGACATAATGGAAAATTTCATATGATTTCTATGAAAAATAACTTTAATTAATCAATACAAATGTAATTAATATAGCACGAATTTGACCACAATATTCAAAAAAATTATATGACAAGAGCTATATGCAATTAATAAAAATGAGAATATAAATCTTTAATATCTTTAAAGAATGGTTAATAACCAACTTATTATTCAACCACTTAGCACAAGATTCCGTCATTCGATGCACAAAAAGTGAACGGGCCAGTGAATATGAAATATCGGACGGAAGGTTTGCTGTTCCTAAAGTTGGTCGATATTCAGCAACAAATTTTTAAAATCTTACAAGTACCAAAATGAGCATATTTTTATATTTATAAAGATGCACAAAAATATATTGCCCGCTAGATATTTTTATCTATATTTATATCATAAAAAGCTTAAAAAATAATATTTGAAAAAATAAAATTATTTGGCGGACCATATACAGCCACGATAACAGGAACAGCAATCACTGCTCTGGATCCAAGGTCATCTTCAACTGTGGTCCAATCAATTAGAGGATCAGAAACAAATGCATCTAGAACTGTCAACAATATTTCCTTCCCAGCACGAAGCTTTTCTAACACGTTAGCACAAGAAAGTCGGAAGGTACCCTTAAAACAATTGAAATATAAAATGAAAATAAATTATTTAAAAAAATAAACAGATATTTTGATGCTCTTTAATAATAATATAAAAAATTCTTAACATTTTACATAGAAAGCTCGCTATCGCTTATTTTCTAAACATATGAAGCACAAATTAAGATCTTACTTCAATTTCTGTGGGACCAAGGGCTCGCTCCATATTCCCAGTTAATCTGAACGGCACCATTTCGGGTACACGTAAATGCCGACCCTTAAAACGTTTACGGTTTCATGCACAATCAATAAGTAAATATAGGAATTATTTTATTCAAGTTCAAAAGGAGGAAATGATTCGAAATTAGCGGACAACTCTTGAATATATAATGAGACAGTATACTAAAAAATTTAATATTTACATGCCTTCTCAAAGCAAATATTGTAGTCTATGTGTACCACATGACCAGATTCGAAATTAACCAGAACATTATCTAAATGACGATCTCCAATACCGAGAATGCTACCCAACATTGACATCACTGCCGTTGATCGAGCAAATCTTTCAGTAACTCGGAACCAAGTATCTGAACTACCAGAGCGGAGCCACAGTTCTCTTAAAATACACAACTCTGCATCATCAATTTTAATTGCTTAACAGTATTCACAAATCATAATAATAGATTGATCAAATATGAAAAACAGGATACAATTTTGGTAATGAAAACAATTTTTTTAAAATCAAAGCAGATCATATCTCTTATCTGCAACAATAAATTAAACTTTGATGAAATAAAACAGGAAACCGTGAAAGAAGATCTTGCGGAGTTTCTTTGATCAAATCTCGAATAACGTCTTGCAAAATGGAATGCGGCCATTTAATACGATTGGAGATAAAATCTTTTGGAATATCCTACAAAAAAGAATTATTGTAGGGGAAAAAAATCAAGTAAGTTAATTTTGAGCACAGATTCAAAATGCACATAAAAGTTTATTACGGAGACAATGCAAAATAAACCAAGCAGACGAAAATCAGCAGAATCCGAAATATGAGCGAAATATGAATGAAACAGTATCTTTATCATAAACTAATCTACTCAAAAAAATTAAAAGATTATGCAGTCGTAATAAGCTGACTACGCAAAAATAAAATTTACATTTGCCTGGAAGGCTGCTCTAAGTTTCTTGAAAAACAATCCACTGGGTCTTCCAATTTCACAATTTTTTTGATTCGAATTGTTAGATGCATTACGATATTGCCACTTGCGAAATACTTGAAAAATAGGTGTTGCACCTTCAACCCATTCGATGAGACCTGAACGAGAACCAAGAGGTGTGACTGAATAAATTTCGGCGGTGTAAGCTGGCCAATCTGTCTCCTTTGCTGACAACATCAGGTTACAAATTCTGAGCAACTGCATGATGCATTCATCAAGGTGCAAATCCTCTTGTCCTTTAAATAGGAATGGATAGCTGAAATAACTTTTTTGTACTCAAATAATCTCCCCTTGAACAAGCAATGTAAAATATTTCTACTCATGAAAATCATTAACATAAACTCAGAACTCAGAGAAGTTTCAGAACAGAACTCAATGAAACTTTTCATGATTGCAGTGATTGTATCATAAAATAATTCGAACATGTAAAACAATTAAAATACGAAAATCTCACTTTTTCCCATCTGACCCACGAAATCCAAACTTTCTTGGTCGTGTTTTTGTCGGTAATATAACTGTTTGTTTACTGATTAGCTCCAACATCACTACGTCATCAAAATTTTTATGTTCCTGACCAGGAAGTGGCACCTACAATTAATATTGTATTCAAATAGAGAGATATTTATGATGATCATGAAATCGGAAATCACTTCAGTTTATGAGAACCTGAAATCATATTGCTACGATCCCTTCTTTTGACACTTAATTCAAATTTATTTGCACAAGAATTAAAGAAATATACAAGTCAAATTCACTTCGACCTAATGTTGGTTCTATTACTTTAAAACTATTGAGCTTTTTATCGGAAAAAGTTGGTGCAAAATTAAATCGGTAATAGTAAAATACGTATTCAAAAAAAAAATTACATATGTTTTATTAAAATTAGTTAAGCGAGGAGATATATCAGCCATTTGTAGACATGTCAAAGAACGATTCATTGACTTTTTACTTAAGTGCGTCAGTAACTGAAAAGTAATTAAAATAAAGTCATTAAAAAATTTTTGCAGCACAAACTTTAAATAATGGTTGTTATCACCAAAAAAAAAAACTGTCATAACAGATATATATCAAAAAATTGCTGATTACCTGTTTGAAGGGAGCCCAAGCTTCGCGCGGTACAGATCTGTTTGACTGTGATGTTTCCATAGCATCGGAGATAATCTTTACATACATGTCTTGAAACTGTTTTTCATTTGTAGTCAGAGGTATACTTTTGCATGTCTTATCATACAAGTCTTCAACAATGCGATATATCTAAAATAAAATCATCACATTTCTGAACAAATGAGAAGTAAAAAACTTTTAGTCTGAAAGAAGATGACAATATCTGGATTTATGATAAAGAGCAAAAAATGATATGAAATTACCAAGGATGTAAATAAAATTGCTTTTTCGCGAATGATATCCTGTTTTTGACAATCAGTTAGATATTCATTAGCCGAAGTTTTTCTTATCTCTGCTTCTATTTGTGAGATTCGACGATTTATTTCGATATCCAAATTTGTCAAAACAAATATCCAACGTTCTTCATGTAACATATCAATTCTTTGCAGCTCCTATTATTTGGACAGTATTTAAAAGTAGCCAGAACAGCGATAGATTGAACACTCAATTATGACATATTTAACATACTTTAACAAAGTCAGTAACATTCTTCACAAGATCAGGAAACATTTTTTGCATCTGCGCCACAATACGCTGACAACATTCGAACATAAGACACCGTTCCTAAAGAACAGTTTAACTAATAAGTGATTTGCATATTTTAATTTGAGTTTCCAATATATGATATGGATGGGAGAAATGAAAAAAATCAAATTATGAAACTAAAAAAGTCGAAATGATCAAAGAATCAAAAAAATGAAAATCAACAAAAAAAAATTAAATTTTATATCACCACATACTAACTTTTACTTTGTATTTGCTTAATGAGTGTTATCAGCTTTAGCTATCCAAGAAATCTTGGCTCACCAGTGATTTTGGTTTTATGTTACATGAGCTGTAACATAAAACCAAAATCACTGGTGAGTGACGCACCTCATCAGCCAGTTTTTCCTTATCCTCATCAATGATATTAATGAAATCATTTCTCTCTCCCTCATTACGAGTATATTGCTTGTGCATAACAATCGGTTGCGTCGCTCCAACAATTGCCTGGTAACAAAGTGCGTGAGGAGCCGAGGCCGCAATTCTTTCTAGTACCGTACAAAGTGTATCACGAACAGCATGAACCGGATGACTGAGCCGAGCAAACAGCTGAGGAAGAATATCTGAAAAATCTATGCAGTAAACATAATCCAATTAGCTAAGAAAGTTATATGGTGCATCTGAAAAGCAAACCAAAGTAACGCAGACTAACCTATCTCACTCATAGAGGATATCGTTTCCTCGATTAAAAGCTGAACTCCAGATTAGTTGGCTTAAAAAAGTGAATTTTTTTATACGAAAAAAAGAAAAACCTTTCCACTGTAATTCATTTGTGTGAAGCATTTCATTGTGAATTAAATTACTTAGCGCATCATAATGTTTTACCAATATCTGTACAATTCGAAGAGTTGCAATCACCACTCCAATTTTTCCCTACAATCATATCAATATAAATAAAACTTCTCATATGATTTTTCAAAATGAATCATCTATTTTATCAGAAATACGTACTTTTTTCCTTTCTTTTCCGTTTACTGCAATATAATTGAAATAAGAACGTATAGCACAAGTGCAATATGCAATGTGACGCCCATATACTCCTTTACAGATTTCTTGAACTATACCCTTCGGACCGAATAACCTAAGAGAAATTCACTCTAAACTGAACTTCTAAAAAAATTCAACATTAATACTTGCCACAAATTTTTTAGACGCCTTTGATTCATACATAATGTTTAAAGATTTACAAGCAATCTAGCAAAAAATTGCAGCACAAATTTAAACTTTTTATACGCGTCTGATAATGATAAACAAAAATTACTACTTGTAAGTCATAAAGTGAATTATATAGAATAACGTCAGTTAATAAAATAAATGCTTCATGCTCACATTTCACAAGTTTGTTCATCGACTGCTGTTCCAACAATGGCCTTGCAATCCGATGAAATTGAAAGCAAATTATCACATTTTTGCATGATATCTAACAAACTCTCTATCACTGAATACTTGAGTGATGGACAAGCATTCTGAAAATGAATTCATTCAGTTACAAAAATTCATATGAATTTAGCAAATAATCCCTAGAAAACTTGTAAATACCTGGATCTGCCATCTGATCGCATCACATTCTTCATTAACGAAGGACGGCTTGAGCTCATTATCAGTATTACTGGCTCCTTCAAATGCCCAGTTTCCTAATTCCAGATGACCTTTGGCTAGCTGTGGTGATAATTTACATGAAGCTCTCAAGAACGCACCACTAAATGAGTCAATAATTCCTGAAGGTATATTTTCGTGATTTTTTACTACAGAGACTATATTTTTGCCTAAATGATATATACTTCAAAAGTTTCAATATAGATAGTATAATTATACTAAATAAACTGAAACCACAAGGTGGAATAAACAAACCATCATAGTAATAACTGAAGTCAGCACAACTATTGATTTAGGGACTCTTAAATTGAAAAATATAAACTAAGAACTAGTAAGATTTGTTTTAAAAAAACAGTAAGAGTGAAGACTTAAAAATAAAAATGGAAGTATTACTGGAAGGAGCCGATAACGGTAACTGAGACTGTTCAATTCCAAAAATATGAGATGCTATACGCATAGAATTATTCATAATTACAGACAATACGCTAGGTTGCATCTGTAACCAGCGTGCAAGCTGAATGATTGCTTTCGAGGGCATTTCATTATTTATTAATTTTTGCTGCTTGTTCGCTATGTGACTTAGTCCCTTTAATGCTGGGGATAACTCCTGAAATAAACCATCCGAACAATGACATAACTACAAATTGTGTTCAACCATTAACTGTCAACAAATAAAGAATGAAGTTATTGCTTACTATTATTATCCGCAAACAAATAACATGGCGTTTGCAAGAAAAAAAAAATCTGAAGTTCCATACCATTGTGATTCAATCAAATGAGCTTAAGATATGTCATCAAAAAACTGAATATCAAAAAAGCCGAAACAATTACATCACTATTAAGACTGTTAATTTGGCTAAGAACAGAAATGAGTGCATCAGGAGCGACAGTCGGTGTGCCATTGAACATCAGATTATTTTTGTATAATAATCGATCGACTTCATCAGCTACAGCATTTAATAACAAAGAAAACGCTTTTCCTTTTATGAGAGTGCGACAGGACTCATTTTCTACAGTTTCCGATTTTGCCCACATCTAAATGATCTATTAATACATTAAAAAAATTGGCCCTTCTAATAAAATTAATTTGAATAAAAATAAGAAACATATTTTTCATACTCTTGACACAATGTTATAAGAGGAAAAATCTGCTATAGTTAGTTATATTAGAAAAACTAATTTTTATAGTTGAAATGCACAGATTTTCATTAAGAAATGTGAAGAAAAACCATTTTCGATAATCCATACGTAGACGTAAGATTTTCAAAACTGAATAATCTTTCTTGCACAGGTATCTGTATATTATCAGAAAAAAACATGCTTGTTTCTTTATCAGTAGGTCCATTGATCCAATTTCCTTGAATGCCCTATAATAACAATTATCTTGCCCAAAATAATCAAACATCTTTCATAAAAAAGAATTCTGCAAAACTGCAGTTCTGATCAAGATCGATATTGGATGGATAGTCTTATTTATAAAATTGAAATTAACTTACTCGAAAATTTATTATCTGATAGTTATCAAGAGTTGGAAGACGCTTATTGTAATGCAATTTGATGCATTTTTCTGAAAGTCTGTAATTTTTTGTTTTTCGAGCTAATTTTGCCATTCCAAGATAATATTCCGTCTCATCTACGATTAATCCTAATGAGAACGGTCCATTACTTTCTTTATTTTGCATGCTTTGCAACCAAGTACTCAACTGTTGACTGATTCCTAGATGCTGTACCACTGAGCGACCCTTTAACTCAAATAAAAAGGAAGGGTCTATCATATTTGCAACAATCTGAAATTTGTATATCCTTAAAATCGATTCTACTTTTCACAGATTTCTTAATCAAGCAATCATCAAAGGATTGAGAGCTATGAATTTATGTTACTGGTTGAAAGTTACAGATGCAATAAAAATTGCCGCAAACGATATATAAAACTTTTTCCCTAGGTGTAAGATCACCACTATCATAATTACGTTTTTATTTAAACTATGCTTAAAACTCAACTTACTTTCATCAAGAGCAATTTAATTCTAAAATAATTTCAGAACTTACTTGCTGCTTATGACTCGGTTTTCCGCTATCCTTCACAGCAGTGGTTAACATATGCAATGCACTTGCACGCGTATGAACTATCAGATTAGTATCCGCTACCATCAGCATCTTTGCAGCCTCACCTAACTGTCGAGTCAAATCTGTGACTTCAAATCTATAAATGCAGGATTATGGGATGAGCAATATATTTCTAAATGATATTTTATAAAATCAGTGACGCACTTGGTATCTCTATTGACGCGATCATGTACGATATCCATTAATTTGAGCTCTAACTCAAAAAGACTGTTTTGTATATCCCATGGTACTGAGATTGCTGATTCGCTATTTGACTGATTCTCAAAAGTCATCAACGATTTCATTCTGAAAAACATTTTAAACTTGGGAGAAGTAAACTAAAAAACTAAAAAACTCACTGCCCTTTAGAATTCGCTAAGATAAATGCACAAAACTGTTAATATTCTAAACTTTCATCTAAAAACAAAACAATTTATAGAAAACGCAAAGAAAACTGTTTTAATCCATATGTCAGAATTGCAAATGACTAAAGCTGATCCAACAGCGAAAAATAACATAGATATGCTATCAGATCAAGAGTTTACCTTTTCCATGCAAACTCTTCAAATCCTTCTGGCATATCATCCAGTTTGCGATCTAGAACTCCAGACAGATCCTGCCACAAAGCTTCAACTTCATTTTTATTTCGAAGTATTTCCAATCCCATCGTGATCTTGGATATTTAAACAGATAATTTTGTGTTTTCAGAGTCAGGTATAGTAATCAAAATAAGAATTTATAATTGAGAAATCGACTTACAAGCTGCCGCACAGTTCTTTTCTCACTCTCTGATAAAGTTTTATCACGTAGACACTTTTTTAAACCATCCAAAGCTGACTCAATCCTTGAATTGAATTTATGAATAATTATTAAGCAGAAATGCTCATTTCATATTTTTAGAACATGTGTCGAAATTATGAGGTAAAAATTATTTAAATTCAGAACCAATCAGTAGAGACCATGTCTAGAACTTACTGTCCGGATGCTATTTTAGCCGCGCACTTTATCCACGAGCATTGCTTGCCATAAGTTTTTTTTATCCAGGCATACAGGCCCATTATTGCTTGCGGTCGACTCAACTCAATAAAGGCTTTAACCATCCAAGTAACACATGTATTTCCAACAGAATCTATTTCACCTGAAACTGTGAATCAAGTAAGTACTGACTTTAAATGAGCAATTTCAACGCAACTGACAAAATAAATTCCTTTTGACAAAAAATATATGTCTGATACAATGTGAAACAAATATTGTGATTAATAAGCTACAAAAAAAAATAGAACTGAATACTTTTTAAAAAAAAAGTTCAACAAACTTTTTCCATGAATAGTTTCTTTTTTTTCCGAAATCTGCTTTTCAATATCTTTCAATGCACAGCCACCTAAACGTATAACATGAGCAAAATAGCTATTCGTATATGCAACAGCCATCATCGGTAAATATGAGCGTGAAAGCCAATGTAAGCAGCTATCCTTATTTGTAACAATAAACTGCTGTGAAATCTGGAACAAATTTGATTAAAACTTGTAACCAGTGACCGAAAATCAATATGAAAATCAATACAGAGCTTAAACTGATCAAAAGACCTGTGAAATAGAACATAATTGGAATACACTTCCATAACAGGCATAAATAATTAGTTTGTCCAACATCTCGATCGTATCCAACAAAGCACGTACGCGCCACCATTGCTCGAAATTCGTTAAATGACGTGTTTCTCGAACAACTTCACCATCTATATCATCCTCATCATCAGCGCCTTTTTTCTCGTTCCCGAACGCAACGATTTTAGATGAAACTTCTTTTTTAGTACTTCTGGCTGTAATCACATTTCTCCGAGAGAGAGCACCACTTGCTAATCGACGTATCTCATCTGAAAAATTAGTTAACTTTGGAAATAAGAAAAGAAACAAAGACTGCAAGAACGGAAACTTCAAGTGCCAACATGCGTATGTATAATCTCTATGCCCCATTGAAACTGTAGTGAAACAGCATCAAACTGCTTGCTTCAAATTTTTTTTTGAATATATGCCAATAAAATTTGATCTAAATTTAAAAAAGTAAACATAATATTTTACAGTTTGTTTGCAAATATTAATAAAATATAAGTTGTTAATGAAGTTCCAGTTATACACAGTTTTTTAATGATTCTTGTAATACATTTAATGAAAAAATAATTTCTGTGCTTCAAAAAAAAGCCAAAAAATACGCTCCAGAAAATTAAAAGCAACAAACCATTTTGAAGAAAGCAAAATGGGAAAAGATTATACACGAAATTATCCCCTGCTTTACAAATCCTCAAATATAGAAATCGAAATAGAAGTGGATAAACTTGACATTCAACAAACATCAAATAAAGTCGAGTTATTTCATATTCAAACTTACTTTCAAAAGCTAAAAAAGTATCCATGGGTTTTCCAAGTGGAGTTCTCAAGCGATTTTCAATGCAGAACTGCGCAAGTTGATTAATGATCCATCGCCATTTAGATATACAATCTGTATTTGCATTGGGATCACCCATTGCACTAGTGTACACTATAGACGCTGTATCAGTTAACCAGTAACCATCATCGACACTAGAATATACATGCATCTCATAAATGATAACAGAATAATGAATAAAGTAATTTATAGATCAATGCAATTTTCAAACATTTCTAGAAGACAAACTTGTTTGAGCAAAATGTCGGAATACTTGAATTGAGCAAGAAATCAGCAATAACTAAAAAATGTCCGGACGTGAACGAACTTTCAGGAATGCTCTGCTGTCCAAACTCCATCAGATCCTGCGCACATTCTGTCAATCCATTGCTGAAATTATCTTTTTCATAAAACTTTGAAAAGATATTTTGTTTTTTCTTTCTTCAATAAAAGCATAAAACTAAAGAGTTCTTGCTCCCTTAATTATATATCAAAATTTATGAATACCAAATAGATAATAGGCACATGATTAAATAATAGTAGATACGCTAGATAAGGCTTAATTTTTAAATTCATCCAAAACTAGTCAAATTCAAAAGCGACGAAAAAATATACAGCACCTAAATGGTGAGAAACAAGCGCACACTTATCCCTAACTATATTTGATAATTAATTTCACAGATATTTTCTATGATTAAACACTAAATGACTACAGCGCTGACTTTCTAGAAAATTCAAAGATGTAATCAGTTTTACAACGCAACAGGCCATGAACAATCACAATTTTCGAATTTTTTGTTAAATTTTAATACGCCCGTAGCAATTAAACTACCATGATCACTCTATCATAATGAATGATTGCTTATGCAAAAACCGAATTCAAAAGTGAAAATAATGCAAAGGCAGCCTAAAATTTCTATTACTTGATAAACAATGCAGGTGGAGTAGTTTGCCAAATACCAATTATTTTATCACTGCTACCCAAATGACACTGCTCGAAAATACGTCTAACAAACTTTGCTCTTGTTTCAGGAATTTCATTTCTGATCAAATTAAAAACACCTAGTCTACGAAGCAAGGTAAAATGTCGAACTCGATGACCTGCCGCAGCTGAAATTTTCATTTTAACAGAAGACAAAAATAGTTATTAAAGTTCACTTGTTTGAAAAGAAGTATTGTTTCATCATAAATATATAATTTTTATTTGGTCACAAATTTTCAGCAGTATTTCTTTTCAAAATTCATGAGTTATATTTTACTGTATACAAATTTCTACTTTATCAATAATCAAAGTAATATACAAATTTCAAAAAATACCCACTTTTATTCTCTAAAACAATTTTTTTTGGTAAGGAATGCCTCACAAAAGAATCTAACAACGCCATCCTCATTTCAATTGCTTCCTTCTTACAAATTATATGTTGGACGACATCTGATGATAGCGAGAATATGCTATGAATCCAGTCAATGAGGAGAACCCTATAGAACACAAGTTTTAGTATCTTCAAAAACTAGAAAACTTCAAGAATTTGAAAAACTAGAGCTGAACAAAAGCAATAAACGTTGTAGTCTATCTAAGCTTGGTAAATTATCTTTTTAATTACCAAGAGCATATGATTGATTATAACATTAATCTAACGTTAAAATTCTGAAAACACCTTGTTTCAGCCCATAAAAAGTCATCAAGGTTCAGCAATTTTGTTACTACGTCAAGTATTGCGGATGTATGTTTTGCTGTCGCCGGCTCCGAAACAAGTGCCAAACTTTTCTGATTGATGAGCAAAGAGCTATTTGCAACAAAATTTTCATGCCTGAAAATTTCACCATATATTATTTTCTCAGTTGATTTGGAACAGCAGAATCGTTTGTAGGTTGACCCAGGTTTTATATGTCATCAAATTTTATATGTCATGCGTCTATTTTTCAGGATTTAAATAAGACAAACGTATGAAGGTGATATATGATATATGACGAGAAAAAATTAAATATGAAAGTGCATATTTATTTATATGAAGGATTAATGATTTTAAAACCACTATGTTTGTGACACTTACTAATATGAACTCTGAAATTTTTAAAAATTCACTTTTCACTATGTGCTTTTACAATATACAGTAAGGCGTAGTGACAGCCAGGATGATTTACAATAAACCACTTCTCAGTGATTGGTGTTTCCGTTATCAGGAAAGTGAACAGACTAGGCGAAAGACCCATCATCTGAAAACAAACATTAAGTAATTTAATTAGAAATATTTACTTATACAAGTCTTTACAGTTACAAATTGAAAGTGGCACTACTTCAATGATGACAATTTCAATGTTTAAATGAAATGTTAATTGGAAAAAGAATAAGGTTCCCCACATATGAAGTAGTATCTATTTTGATAATAGTTAAAGAGAACGGGTTCAACTGTTAATAAATGGGAAAAATAAATTTTTTTTCAAAGTAGTAAGAAGTAACTTTTAAGATGATCTTAAAAGTAGGTTTATTACTTAACTTTGAAAAAAAAACTATGCTTACTGCAATAAGTGAGTTCTTGATGATTCCAAGACTGTAGAGAGCATTGAAATATACGATCAATTTGTTCTCGATTACTGTAGTCTTCGTAAAACATTCTTCTGTATCAATTTTCTTCAAGATATTTAGCAAATCTGAAAAATATTAGTTATGCAAATTCGACAACGCCAGGACACATCTGTCCATAAAAGTGAATACTGAATATTAACTGCTGGATGCGTGAGCAACAGACACTTGAGCAAACTCTAAACTCTAAAATTCCACAAATTCTACGATTTATTTGAGAAATAGTATAATCAGCTTTTGTAAAGGCTAATTTGAATTTCTTTTTCTTTTTTAGTTAATAAAATTAGTGAACATTTCTGCATAAAGTATGCGAAAATATTTCAGGTAATTGTTGTAATCATGATATTTTACAGCAGAAATTGATTCTAAGCATATTTTACACTGCAGGATTAGTGAATATTTCTGCATACATTATGTAAAAATACTCTAAATCTAACAAAACAAAAAAGTACAGAATCAAGTTCAGGCATTAGAATGCAATGATTGCAAAAACTGCAATCAACATTCAGACCTTAGCAAAAAACTGCAGTGCAGATAACATTTAATTTTTAACCTGCAAATTATAAAATGAAAAGCTAACTCAGCACATGCTCGCGAATTCGACTGTAAACTACTTGCAATGTTGACAATTTTTTGGGAGTCAACAGTTTGCCTAATACATTACTATAAGCTTGAATGACTTCTTGCGATCTCGCAACTATAAGATTTAAGAAATCACCATCACCAACAATATAATCCATAATTTCCACAATTACTTCAGGAGTCACATTTTCCATGATCTATAACTTGTTTGAAACATAAAAAGTGCAATAACTGAAATGACACATCACTTGAAAAAACCAATATGCATCGATTAGAGACAGTTCTTACAGTTGTTTATGTCAGTTAATTATAATAGGAAATTATATCAAAGAACAAAAAAAATATTGTCGAATAAACTTTTTTACATTAAAACTCAGTGTGGCAAACAACACATTTTACGAAAACAATGACCTTAATTTTACCTTTGCAGTATGATTAAGAATTTTCAACATAGACTTCTCATTCACAGATGAATGAGTCAGCATTGTTCTCAACGTTTTAAATGATTCGATCGACAAGTCAGATCTTGGAATTATTTTCAAAGCCACTCGGAGAATTTCAGCTACATATTCAAAAGCAGTACCAATCTTGACAACATTAACATTGTCAAGATAAGAAACTTGTTGACTGATGAGTTTAAAAATCTGGAAAGTGTGGAATGTAAAAATGTGAAAAAGATTTCAGAAGCATTTTTAAAAAACAAGATTTATGAATAAAGCTGGTCGAGTGCTTTCCCATGACCTTCCCAGAGCTTTCTTTAACAACCTCACTTGTTTTCCATTTAATTTCATTTATGACTCCAGGCTCGGCTTTTTTTTCAATTATCCTCCATTTTTTACGTTCTTGCTTTGTCATGCGATCGAATAGCTGGTGGCTCAACCAATCCATATATATATGGAAGGAACGAATACTACTGAACCTGTCGGTTTGCAGAGAGCATGAGCACCAGGGTGTGAAGACGGTGAACCATCTAGTAACGCAGTACAAAAAATGCTACATCACGACTATACCAGAAAAAACAATAAGGCCCTATGATGCATCCACTTGGGACTCTGCAAGTATGATCTGAAAGCATTCCCGCGCTTGGAAAGCCATTCTGTTCAGGAGGTCGTCACGAATGAGAATGTTGATATCAGAGTCGATACACGAATGAGAACTGCAATCAAAATAATAGCGGATCACCGGATATCATGATACATGATAAGAAGCGACGTTAAGTAATCCTGATTGAGGTTAGCATCACTAGTCAGGACAGGTTAACAGCAGTCGACACCGAGAAAAAGAGAAAATATGACCTTTTGCTATAAACTTGAGTCAGAGATGAAATGCAGGGCCAAAATAATTCCGTATGTGATGACTTGGGAGGGAATTGTAACGAACTTCCACAAACGCTGTGCGAAGGAGATTAATATATCTGACCACGTCGAGGCATACGTTCAATGGATAGATCTCAAGAAGACGTTCGAAAGCATCTCCTTCGACAGTCGATATGGATTCAACGAGGAGGAAGCGAAAACGAAGAGTACAACAAATCTGAGGCGAGGCAACAGTCGGGATTTCTTCCGCAGAATATATATACATATGTATATTGGTAAAATTTTTCATAAATTTTAATGAAGTCATTTAAGAACACGAAAATAACTCTAGCAAATGCTAAAAGTATTAAATAAAAACCTTTTCAACAAAATCAGTGACAAGAGGATTTATCTCCAGAGCACTCAATACCTTGAACATCGTTGTTAGAGCCTGCAAAATAGAAGCGATCTTGGCCATGGTGTTTTCCGGATTCGATGTGCTTATCTTAATGTCCTAAAAAGAGAAGATTGATCAGTTTGATTGGAGTTCTGCTTGTTAAGTAAGGAAACAGTTATAACTGTTGACAATTTTTTTTTCAAATTTACTTAAAACTTGACTTCAGAGAAATACCTCAATATATGCACTTGCATCGTCAATAAATTGCTTCATAAGCGTCACGGCTGCAGGTATTGCACTGTTCCAGTAAGGACGCAATTCAATAAGCACTTCGTGGCATTTATCAGGTACTGAATTAGGCTGTTCAGGTTCAGTATACCAGCCAACTGTGAAATCAACTATATCCTAAAAGCATGAGACCAATTACACGATACTACAACATATACCTTTTCTTTTATTCTGACAAAACAAAATTAAATGTTTTTTTCCCTTTTTTCAAAAAATCATAAAAATAAAGAAAAGTTCCTTTTGTTGAAAAACTGGATTACATAAAAAATTTTAGATGAAATAAATCTTTTTAACAGATCACTAAAACTGTAAGTCAGGGATGACGCTTTTAGAGCTATTCCTTACACTATGCTATTCTAATTTTGTTTTTTTTCATTGACAATCAATTTCAAATTAATAACAGAAAATATAGTAAAATTTAAAAACCAGTAAATATTCCAGCACAAAATGGACCATAAAATTTGTTGGAAAAAAGTGTTCATGCTCTACACAGTAAATTTACCAGTATAACCAACCAAAGTCAACTGTAAAAAAGAGAAAAAAAACTGAACTAGTACAAAAAAATGTCTAACATCAAAACTTAGTTTAAAAACTGCAGGAAAATATTTAGAAACAGCTAGACAAATATCCAAAATAGATATCAAAACGACGGGAGACTCGTTTATTTCAAGCCAATTTTTGATTGATGTCATAAGTGTCTGAAATTAATCTAACAAATATTCCAGTAAATGAAGCTTAAAAAATTATTTGGTATGCCTAAAAATTTTATCATGCTTATGCATGGAAATTTTATATTAACCGAAAAAGATGGCAAATCTAAAAACTTACTGAGAAGCAAATAACAAAAAAACTTATTTACATTTACGTACTTCTATATCTTGCACTTTAATATGAGACTGCCAGGAATAACTTCCTATCAATGTCAAGGATAAAAAAATTGATTTTAAAATCAAAGCTTTATCATCTTCAAATTTATCAGGAATTAGCTTTGCTTCAGCCAATGTTATCCTTAAAAATCTGAAATTTAAAATGTTTTTGAATGGACAGAGTATATATGTGACGGATTTACTATTTACAGATTTTAAATTAGGCAAAAAAAAGACGTTAGTCGCAAATGTAAAATTTAAAGGACAAGAAAAATGAATGCGAATCAAAAAGTTAAGACTTCTACAAAAAATCTGTACAAAGAAGTGACGCAAATCACATAACAAAAATAGAATTTGAAATATATAGTAAATTTAAGTCATGAATCAAACTTATGATTCTTATATCTTTTCTTTCGTTATGAGTATAAATAGTGATTTAAGGACAAGAGTAAACAAGTTGACTTACTCACTATACTGCGAAGACATGATAGACCCCAGTGCTCCTAAGCACTCCGAAACAGAGCTCTTCACTTCATGTTGAATATTCTTTATGCAACATAACAAATCTTCGATTAATTTTTTCCAGTCACATCCGATATTCTAAAGAATGGTACTAAGGTAGTGACAAAATTTTGTTCAATACCACAAAAGATATTTACTTAAACAATGAGAACATCAAATCAAAGTGGCCTACTTTCTTCTTTCTTAATTTCCATTTTTTTACAATCCAACATTACATAAAAATTTAACTAAACGACATTGTAGTAATGAAACGTACAGAAACATCACCAGCTAGCACGATTGTTTCCTTCAATTGTTTACAAATACCGATGCGCTGATCTTTGTTAAAATTCTTCTTTTCGTTTAGAATCTGAAATTGATAGATTTGATGTAGTTACCAACATATATTTCAAACTCTTGCTTGCACACCAACAAAAATCTGTTTGAACCTGCACAGAATTTTACACTCAAAACATGTCTAGTTCATTGGCAGCTGGCCGAAATGACTGAACTTTCAATGCTAAGCTGTAATATAAGAAATATAAAGTCTATGCCAGAATCATCAAACTTTTCATAATTAGCTTGGCACAGTTCTCAAATCCGGAAAAATATTAATAATTTCACCCATATTTTTGTCATTTCAAGAAAATCACATTGATAATTGCAAAAAAAATTAGTAATATAACTGTCAATACTCATTTCAATTATACTTTGCAAATTTTTTATGTATTTATCACCACCATTCCCTTTACGATTAATTAAGTTTCAATCACTCCTACTATCATTTCAGGGCATTTCGATATATTACACAATGTAACTTTTTTTTAAGAAACCGAATTAAATAGTTTTTTAAGGGTTTAACATTTCTTAAAAACTGAATAAATGTGCAAAAGCAGAAAGAAAGAAGAAGACAAGACCAACTTGGACAAGGTTTCTTAAGTCAGAATTTCTTTCGTTCTGATTATCCATATTGCCATTAATATTCAGAGACGAGAATCAAACTATTATCACTTCATTTCAACAATTGCCACGCTCTGTAATACAGTAATTTAAGCTCAATGAAAATGCAACTGTAGTAAAATATATAGACAAGAAATGGAGAATATTTGAATATTGATTACGAAAATCAAATTATGAAAGTGTCATTGTATGCATGCTAATCAAATTATGATGCAAATTCATGCTTCAAATGGAAATAATTGCATCTGTTATACATCACAGCATTAATCTTCAAGAAAGAAATACCTCAACTGCTGACAACTAATATTTTGATTTATTTTGAAAATATTATTCTCAATTTATTGCAGTACAAAAATTTAGTCTTAAGAATGATACAGAGTTATGTGGAATTAGTTTTGATAAGCTGATTTACTTATTATTACCAAAAGGTACGAACATAATACACGTAAATAAAACAGAATCATATAATACTATAAAAAGGTCAAAGGTTGTTAAACGCTATGCAACTTCCAGTTTGGCGGGCAATTAAAAAGAATACTAGACATGAAAAAAGCAGACAGTTTTGGAAGCAAATCACTAACAGATCATTATAACCCGCCAAATTTCGTTGGCAGTACAGAAAACATAGTCAAAAATTTTGATGATGGAAAAAGTTAGACACCTGAATATAACAAGACGTACGTGTAATTCGAAAGGTTCTAGATCTGCTGGGTTTATTCATTTTACAAGATCAATTTCGTGAAAAGTACGGTGTGAAAAATATTGTCTCAGCATCAGGGGTAAGCAGTAATGGCAAAATTACTGTTCTATGTGCTGATGACAGTACCAGTGTTAGTGATTGACATTGAAACTTAAATTCAGTTAATTAAATAAGCACATTTTTCATAAGTTGCCCATAAATAACTCTTCTTTAATGAGTTATTTCTGTGAAGAGAACAGTACTTATCCAATCTAAAAATCGGTATTTATTTTGCTATGTAAATCAAAATTCAAAATTGGTAACTAGTCAAACTGTCAGTTCTATACTCGGAGTTACCAATTCTTAAAATATCATTTGTCATCCGGAACTGTGATCAGAAGTTTATATGATTTCTTAAACTTCCAGATCTTAACACATTGATGAATGTGCCATGGAAGCTAGTTCATTATTCGTATGTTGTGTAGCTCTGCATGATGAGTTTTCTTTTCTGTATACAAACAAGAGTGCTGCTAATACGTGGGTTGCTACTACGTTTCAACTAAGAGGTTCTACATAATCTTTAGATAGGGTACAGTAATTGTTCAGTACGTGTTATGAGCTTTCTCCTGCTTCAGAATTGCTGTCCTTCTGGTACAAATGGGTGCGGTATCTACAGGAACATTACATAATTGGAGAAGCATAAGATCACTCCTTCGTTCAGCACTATGAAGTTCACGTTCCTACTCTCAGTGTAAATATAATAGTTTAGTTCATTAAACTTATGGCGTGCTCATTCACTGCTTTGATAAAGTTCTTGCATTTAGTGCAGTTTAGGCTCTAACCGCTCAGTTCTCACTAAAATCTCTGCTCGGACTTTACCATAGCTTTCACGGGTGGGTGCACTAGTTCTGTCTTCCACTATTCCAGGGTATTTAAACCCTTGAGTTCCTTCCAGTAGCGCTTTATCAACGCATACCTCGATGTTACTGACTGACTTTTCTTGATTCACCTCTAACCCTACTATTTCAAAAAACCTCTGGACTTTTTCTGCCATAGCTTTCATGATATTCTCGTCGGTAGCAAGGAGCTTGAGATCATCCACAAATAATCAATGCTTCGTCACACAGTTTTCAAATTGCTTCACAAATATCATTGCTGTTAATATTAATATAAATATTATTATTAATAGTATTACTAGTTTTTTCATGCATTCGTAAACCACTTTTAGTTGGTCAACATCATTATTACCCTTGTTAGTGATTTTGTTACCGGGTGACAATTGTCATCGCGTTAATAATTGATATTGTTTAGAAATATGAGAAGATTAAACAAAACAAACCTATTTTATACATGGATATATATATATATATCATAGTTCTCGAATACAAGAAAATCAGAAGAAAAGGTAGGGGTCACCAAGTTGTATGACTCCACTATTCTTGATGAAAACATGGGCGACCGCACTTAAGATTCTATTCATTCATTTCTCACTGAAAATGATTCACTTTCATTGTGTTTTCTGTGCAGTACGCTGAAATTAATTTCAAAAAGTGTTTCTAATCAGATGAAATTCATTGAGTATTAGCACTTATGGTAGTATCATAATCCTTGCTAAAATTGCTAGATTTAATGCAGTATTAGTTAATGAGGTCTGTTTGTAATGGAAAATTAGCAAAAAGTAAAGTGGACATTACTCAGTCTTTTCATGGAAAATGAATAGAGTTTGTAAAATTATAACTTAATGAAGCGATGCGAATTTTCGGTCCAATAAATGGTAATAGCAATCTTAAAAAGTATTTGCTTACGAATCAAATCATATTGTAGTTGACTTAAAAGGATGAAGTAAGTCGTTAGTAAATGTTAGCGACTTTTTTCTCTTTTTTTTTTTGATAAATTTTTTGAATGGTATATTTAGGATGAAATGATGCTGCCAGCTGAAATTGTTCATAGTTGGTGCTTGACTTTAATATTTCTCAAATTAATCGCAAGTAAAAATGTATCGAAAGATCAATGGAACGAATTTTTATCTGATATGTCAGAGAAAAGTGAACATGAAGAAAGACCTTGGGATTATTGGTTAGATAATTTTGTACAAAAAAGTGGCAAATTTTTGAATTGGAATTTTTGGAGATAATTTTCTGGTGCTTTATAATGAGATCAGTTGCAGTAATTTAATTGGCATTATTAGGCATCAACAAAAGGAACAGGAACACTCATATTCGTTTATGGATAATTTGGAAAGTATTCAGCGACGTGTACCTAAAAATAATGAATTACTTACTCCAAATCAATTTAGCATTAAAGATTCTGCTACAAATCAAGCAAGTGATACTTTTACCACAGGTAAGTGCGAAATCCCAAACTTCTTGGTATAGCTTTTAAAAATATTTGGAGATTTATATTTTTTTAAATATTAAACTTATGCGATGAAGAAGATTCTTGAGAGCATTTTTTAGTAATTATCAAATTTGACATTAAAATTCATTACCTAAAAATTCTTTTAGATCCACCGTTATACAATAGCCATGAATTACTGAGAACTTATCGACCAGCACTGCAACAATCGTTGATGATCAAGGAATCTTTGCAGGTCTGAATATTTTTGTCCTTACTTGTAACCTCTGCTTATTTCTATGACATTAACGACTAGTGCTTGGATATCAACAAAATACTCAAAATGCCTCGTCATCTATGAATAAAAAAAAAATTTCCCTAATTAAGTAAGGTAGATTGCAGCATGAAAATGGATTAGTTTTGATGCCAGATAATGTAAATGGTTCTACTCTTCAAATAACGCCAATGATGTCTTCGGAAATGATGCATAAATTAAATGATAATAAAATATTTACTAATAGTGATCAAAAAAAACAGACGTCATTTCAATTTGCTGCGGTATCGAATACTAGTAATATGCGTCAAAAGGATCTTTATGGTGTTTCAACTAGCCAGAAAAAGTTACGGCCATCTGAAACTGCTGATGAATCAATTTTCACCACCAATCTTGGATATCAACAAAATACTCAAAATGCCTCGTCATCTATGAATAAAAAAAAGTTATCATTTCCTGACCGTACTATCATGACAGACACTAATAAAGTACTTCAACAACAAGATCCTTTTGCTCTCTCAAGAAAACATGAATTGCTATTGCCATCTGATAATATTACTAAACCAAATACCACTATGGGTCACCAGGAAAAATTTTATTACAGTACTCCAAATAATCCTGAGAAAGAGCGACCACAATCCCAGTTTACTACTGCAGCAGCTACTGACACAGCGAAGCAAGAAAAATTCAATGTTGGTACATCGAGTGATTATCATGAAGAACCATCAACTTCTAAATTTCCTACTATATCAAGTACCAATCTGGTAGAGCAACAAAAATTTCACCAAAGTACCCTGAAAAATCCACAGAAACAACTGACACCATTCAAGCCTGATGAAACAACTGACACCATTCATGCATTCAAGCCTGGTATTAGTAGAAATGTATTACAACAGCAGAAACCTCCATATAATACTTTAAAAAGTCAACAAAAACCGTTATTTAAACCGACCAGTTCCCAACATATTTTTATGCAACATCGCGTAGGGGATTATTATGGTACTTCAGTGAGCGCAAAAATAGCTCCATTCCCAGCACGAACATCTACTTCATCTCATGCTCTTATAGCACCTCCGCAGAACTTGCAACCAGGATTTGCAGCTCCAAAAGTGATTACGATACCTCATCGGTTAGAAGAATTTCCATTGGCTCCTACCATTTCATCCAATGCATTTATATACTCTAAGCAGAATCCCAGAATACCGTCGTTTTCACCTATTCCTGTCACTAACAACATGATGATATCTAGATCAGGTGAACCCATCATCGTTGATGTACCATTTCCAGTAATGGCTTCTGAATTAAGTCCTACCGTAGTTACTGCACAACAACCATACTTTCAATCTAAGCATGACGCATTCAGCCCATTCTCATCAGCAGATTACTATGCAACGCCTGTGCACGTAACGGCTTCAAAACCACAAACTTCATCAACACATAAAACTACAACTGAAAATCAAATGACTCAATTAACGACAAGTACATTACCAACTACAACACCAAAGCCAGAACGAAATGATGCTGTTACGCAAGCAATCATTAACCACACTCGAATGTCCACTACGTAATTTTTTAACCTTCTGAAAAAGGACATTGCTCAAAAAATTGGTATTAAAAAATTGTTAAAAATTCAAAGTAGTTGGCAGATAAAAAAAATAGTCATAAAGTTTTCATTCTGACTAGTGAATTTAAAAACATTTCAAGAAAATTCCCCTCTTTCTGATCCTCACTATTGTACAGAAGAAGTTTAAGATGATATCTCTGCTACCTCTGTTGTACATATCTTGTAAATAAATGCGCAAGTCAGTTTTTCAGTACCTATTTTTCATTACTAAATGATAACTACTGTAATCCGCACATCAGTGCTACAATATTTTATAGTTTATTGCCTGCAGTCACTCGCATGCCATGCTGCCCATGTTGTGGAACCACACAAAAGTCTGAAGATTCTTGTGCATCATCATCTTGCAACTCAGAACAACAGCAACAACCATGTTGTGGTGCACAACCAGTACAACCAATACGTTGGTTTTTCTTTGTGTTGCAAGATTATGTGCATATATATTTATATAAATTTGGTCATTGAAGGTTTCGATATTTGTAGTTTAACTTCTATTTACTAAATGCTGAACGCTTCCGATTTGTGATAAGATAACTTAAATTTTATTTTATTTAAATCGATGAAATGAAATATTTTGGATTAATTGAAAGGCCCCTTTCAGCTACTCCACCGTGTTGTCCGTCACCTCCACCATGCTGTCCACCACCTCCTCGCCCACAGTGTTGTTCACCACCTCCAGCACTGCCATGTTGTGCACCAATTCAACCAATTTGTTGCCAACCTGTATTTCCTTGCTGTAACAATATCGTGCCTATTCAACAGCACGTTGTTAGTTTTTCAAAGTATACAGCAATGCTTCGCAAGCACAGTTTATCCAAATTTTTATTTCGATTTTAACGAATCATTCAAAATTTTGTTATACTAAGATTCAATTACAGGGTCAAGAAAGGACAGCTATTGAGAATGGCGGTTCATCATACAACACTGCGCCATTTGTGGGACATAGCATGGGTATGGTGCAGCCAAGATCAACTTTTGGTGCTATTGAATCTTATGACAGTCTAAATCCTACTTCGCCAAATTTACCATTCAGTCATGAACCATACAGTGTTGGCATACCTTACAAGACTTATAGTATTGTAACCAAGCGTAAGTTATTCCGTAGTGGATTTAAGAAGCGCAAAAATTCGCGGAACAGGTTGCGTATGCGACGAGATACGCTGGATATACGTGCTAGAGCATGTCTCACGTGTTTGACTGATAGAAGAAAAGTTCTTGCTAAAATAAATCGACAACCGAAAATACTTGTGGTTCGTTAAAAATCTTCGTCGTTTTTGCATTCGCAGTTCTTTTACTCATTGAAAAAGAAAAGAAAAGTTTTAATGAAACTATCATTTAATAAAAAATGATTGAATTTGGCATTCATTATTTTATTAATCAGTTATTATGGGATAAAATTCTTAAGAAATGTGCAGCTTCTATTATTATTTTCAAAAATTGAAAATTTGATTACAGTTCTAAGCTTTGTTTTTCCATTATGCGTAATCTATCATATGGGAAGTATGCGCAATCTAATATCAAATGGTTGCTGCTTATTTACATACATCACAATAAGTAATGCGATTTGCTTTCAGAAAAAAAAGTGTCATATTTGCAGTGATTTGAATCGCCATTCCACGTCTTATCACTTCTCAGTATGCTGCAGTGTTCCTTATCATTTTCAGTTTTGTGAAGTTGAAAATTTCTGTGATGTTCAGACATCCATAATCATTTTAATCATATTTCCTAGAACAAAAAAGTTTATTTCTGAAAAGCAATTACAAATTTAAATCATCATCAAAATTTTAAGCTTAATTTTTATACAAATTGTTAATTACAGTTAGTTATTAGTTTAATAATTTCATGCTAACTCAATGCTTGAACTAAAGTTTTTCGTAAATATGTCAAAACCTAAGTAAGATTACAGCAGTTGCAATCAATGATGCAACATCAAGAACCAGTAAAATGTGATGCTTGTAGAAGTGAAAGTCAGTACAAACGACGCGTCAAAAGGCTGGTAATAATAAGTAATGCAAAAATATCGTTTCTTTTTCTAATTTATAATTTAATGATTTTTTCTAAATATTCACGCAGGACGCTTCTGCACTGCTATATTAATACGTACATGAAATACGTTGCAGTTGCATGAACTTGAGAAGTAATATGTAATAAAGAATCAGAAAATCATAAGAATACACAGAATATTCCAAGTTTCTAGCACGAGACTTATTCTTAGGGCTGCATTCCATGCCACCTTCGAATGAAACGAGAACTTGAAATCGAAGACGAACATAAGCGCACGAAACGATTAGTATTTTATTTGATCATTTAAATCTATCTCGTCGTTAAATAATTTGAGAGTGGTAAAAAAATTGAGAAAAGTAGATCACATCAAAAAAATTTGAATATATTATTTCAATTTCATTGAAAAGTAAATACCACATGTTTTTAATTCAAACTAATTGACAGGGCTGTATTCCATGCTTCCGCAAAAAACGAGAAAGTGAAATGGAAAAGGAACACAGGCGAGCAAAACGATTGGTATGTTATTTGAATTATTAAATTCACATTGTAGATCATTGAGTGATTGTTTTGGAGATTATTAAAGATAGTGAATTTTGACTGAAAAAAATAACGAAAGAATTTAAAAATTGAAGAAAGCATCAGTTTAAAAACCTCACTCTGTAATTGAAGTGAATATTTAAAGCTTTGAAGCACATATTTCTTTCGTACATATTTAGCGTAAGATTAATTCACAGGGTTGCATTCCGTGTCACATCAGAAGAAAACGAGAAATTGAAATTGAGAACGAGCATAAACGAGCAAAGAGATTGGTATGAGACTAATTCTAATTTATCTTTCAAAAGGTGTGAATCAATGAATTATAATGCAATAATAATAATTTTTCAAATACGTAAACAATTTTTTAGGGATGTGTGATTTGTATTGGAAACCAAAGAATCAAACGCACACCAACATTACAAGCGAGTTTTTTACATCTAAATCGAATCATTTCGATAAACTTTTCATATTAACTTTGTAATATCAGAAATTATTAATCCAAAATATTAAGCTAACTTTTTTTGTTAATGTACTGGTTTGCATAGTATAATCTAAATTTTTCGATTGTTAGAGTTGTTTTATATTTTTATGTTTTTCTCATGTATAAAAAATATAAAAATATTTTAAAAAAAGCAAAAAAAATTGTTTTTTCGACCAAATTCAAATTTAATGAGAATTTTGGCGTAAGTTGCTTTATATTTTTATATTCTTCTCAATGTAAAAGAGTGGATAAATTTTATGATATCAGAATGCAGAACTAGATTTAAGTTCTTGCAAAGTAAGCCATGCTCTTTATAGAACGACAATGATGACTTCGATATCAATAATTATGATATCAGTGACTTCAAAGACTTGCCAGTAAGTTTTTGCTTGAATAATTGATGCTAAATATCAACGTATTTGACACAAAAAAGCAGCTAAGTAGAAATCTGTGATTATGCACTGAAGTCAGTAAGTAAATTTGGTAATTGAATATAAAATTTAATGGCAAAAAACTTTGCTTTGCATGAAATTATGAGAAAATTAGTTTTTGTTGCATTCAGACAGGAGTAGAAAATGAAGAAGCAAGTGATGTGGCAACTGATTCTTCTGTCTATGAGCAGAGCAAACACAGATCATCAAAAAAAGTATTTAATGATTTTTAGCTAAAATTTGATCTGTTTGAAGCGAAGCAATCAGAAAAATAAGAAATTTTTATTTTTCAACACAAATTTGGTTCCAATCAACAAGTAAGAAAATTAAAGCCATTGAAATGAGATTATAAATTGATTAAAAGAGTATTAAATTTGCTATAATAATAATAATAATAATAAATCATCATAAATTGAAACTGAGTAAATTTCAAATTCATGCTGGAATGGTATTATAAAATTCATGGAGATTTTGTTCAGTTTTATTTTAAATTTGATTGATGCATAAATTTGATCTATTTTCAACATTGCATTCTTTAGGGATATCGATCACAGTATGGATATAGTTTCGAATCACCATATATTTGTGACAAAACTTGTTGTGATTTTTCCAGATGTCCGCCAATCCCACTGGAAATGAAAGAAAATGTATAATCGTAAAACAACAATTTTGATTTGGCTATTTCCATCAAATGTTTTTGGAATGCAAAAAATAAAATCGAAATAAAAATATTTCGGATTTTTTATTTTATCAAAAATATATTTATGATTTGATTAACTAACTAAAAACTAAATGCAAATTCAATGCAGAAAGCGTTTTTAAATAATCACCAGTTGTTACTGTGTTAAGTGACACACATATATATGCAGTGAAATTGTAGCATACACATCTGCTGTGTCAACTGTCCTGTCCATATTCTGAGAATATCCAGAAATATTCTTTCATTAAGAAGAAGCAATAAGCATAACTTAGTATTATGATTAATTTCGTGCTTTGATCATCCATCAACAATATTGCAAAAGTTTTCTGTTTTATCTATATAACTATATGAAATGTTATGTTTACTTCAGAATTATACACATATTTTTGAAGCAATTGTGTACAAAATAATGAAAGTAATATTTAAAAATTCTCAGTTGATGTCATTTTTATATCTCTTGTTGTTGCCTTATCTCAAAATATGTTGTTGTATGTGTTAATCCTTTTTAACCTCAAATTTCAAATTGTTCATCAGAATTGAAGAGTTTTGTATTGCTGATTTAGTTATTATAGTAATAATGACGCAAAATTAAATATTAATGTTCTTCTTAATAATTTAAAATTAGCTATATTTTAGACCAGAGCAATAATTTCAAATTTTTCTTCCTACAGATGTTGTCAATACGTAAACTTTTAATAAATATATTTCCACATTGTTTAAGAACACTTGCAATTGAATAAAACTTAAATACAATAGATATGGTCTTACTGAGGCTTATCAGTAATTACAGTCTCTAAAAAATTTGAAAATATCCTACGCTGAGAAATGATCAGTAATAATTTTTCCACTCTGAAAATTTCATCCAAAAGGGCTAATAAATTAGTTTAAAGTGTATCAATTTTATTGAATAAATGTTTTAATCAGTTTACCCAATCAATATGATTTTCAAGTACTGATCAGAATGATTTATAATTATATTTTCCGTGTCTTCAGATTGCAGTTACACTTTAATGTTTGCTCGTATTTTCATTTTCACATTATAAATTAGGCCTTAAAGGTTAAGATTTAAAAATTGTATATGAAACTTTTCAATAATAAATGTCAACCCCAAAAACATTTGAAAAAGTTAAAAGATCATAAAGAAAGACAAAAGTCGTAAATACTAACTTTAGCTTTGAATGATAGTAAAGTTCAATTGTTCTTTTCAATATATTGACCAAATTATAAAAAATTTTAAACTCAAACTTTTGTTTTTCAATAAATAACTTTAATGCTGCAAATTTTGCATTGTAATAATTCAATATATGAGTTTTTTAGCTAGCAATTTTATTATTATTTCCTTGAAGAGTGCATAGAAGGAAAAATTTACTTGACGGAAATACAATGAATTTTATTGCAGTGACAATTGGTAACTCAATTGAAAAATACTTTTGAAGAAGAAATTTTGAGCGAATTTTTAGTTTTGATAAATTAAAACATTTCTGTTTTTGGTAGTTTAAAAGTCAGTTAGTTTTGTATTGTTGAATATTTTGTTGATGCAAATACTTGCAATATAAATCTGAAGCATTTTTTAATGATTGTTTTGAACAGACAGATTAGTAAGTATGCATTATTGTGAGAGAAGACAAACTGAGAAAAGACTTACTTTTGTTGTTCAGTTTTATTCATGTGTTCCAAATGCTTTGGTTACTTACTTTATTAAGCAGTTTAGTTTTACCAAAAGAGGCAGTAATCTTTGGGGAGTTTCGCTCTGATTTCACCGCACCAAAAAAGTGTCACTCAGATTCCAAACATCCTTAAATGCTTTTCAATTTTGATCATATCGCTTGCTTCTGCAATAGTACTTGTTAATATTTGCTATACTTTCTGTTGCTTTTGTTGTTTTGCTTCACTTCTATGTTTACTGTCATTACAATGCAATTCCAACCACAATTGCATGCTTGTTCATGCAACTTTGCTTGCATTTATGTCAGTCAGTCAAGTCATCGCTGAAAACAGCCAAATTTTATTCCATATTAATCTTTTCATTTTGAAGGACTTAATTTATGCTTATTCTACCACAAAACGGTATTTTCATCTTTTCTAATAAAATGATTCAAGTTATTTAGTGATATTTTATAGTAAAGTCTGCAAAATCTTTCAAATCATTTAGTGATAAAAGTTAAAACTTTCTGCATCCATTTATTAATTATTATTCAAATACAGTAAGTTTATAGTGTATTACCAAAACTAATTGAGTGATAATATTATAATTATTAATATAACTATTAATACCATTATAACTACAATTCATCAGAATCACATATAATTTATTTTCGCAATTTTTCCTTACTGTTACTTTGCTGTTTTTACTAATTTTTAAACTTGTTATAAGTTTTGATTGCTTAAAACACTTATTTATAATTAGCAAAATTTGCTTTTGAGAATTTTTCGGGACTAAAAAACATTATCAGGGTTCCTTAATTTGCTCTTTCGTTTTTGTATTTATAAAATTTCAAAGTTTTTGAGGGGATCAATCACTCTTTACCAAAGCTTACATTGAAATGAATTGTGAATTTGTCTAAAATAAGCAGTTATAGCTATGATAAAGGAACTGTGATATTCGATTCACTTTTCTTGAACTATTTTTGACAATTTGCAATTTTTGATTTGCATTTAGCTGACTTTTTGCTTGCCTTATTTAAAGCTTAAAAGAGCTAAAACGGATGGAATTCTGAAAAATCTAAGCGTTAATTTATGCTTACATTAGAAAATGTTTGAAATGCTTTGATATTTCTTCTGAAATCGTCGATAAGGCGAAGAATGAGATGCTTCTGCAGTGTCCTTCTAAGTTTGTTTTCTGCTTTTTTAGCTTTCGATGCGAGCTAAGATAACGATTGATTTAGCCAAAACGAGAAGATACTAGCAATAGTAATTTAATGCGTAGAAACAGTAAGCTTTTCGAAAAATATGTGATAATTTATTTGTTATGTGATAATTACTTTAAATTAGTCTGTATATCAAATACTTTAGGCAAATTACTTAATGCAATCTTTCTCACAAATTAATTAATAGAAGTATTTCAGAGTATTAAGTAAGACTGCTTTATGCAATGATAATCACACAATACGTTAATTGCGCTAAAAAATTATTCATTCGAATGCTTTCATAAAAAATTTCGTCAAGTTTTTGTTTTTCCAAAATCGTTACTACAATTAGTGCATTTTTAAAAATAATCGTCATGAAAGACTTTTTCTGAACCAAATAGCTTAATTTATGGAATTGATTCATTTTAATTGCTGAAAATTGTCATTAAATAAACGTCGCAAAAAGCATTGAGCATTTTTCTGTGTTTTTGATTAATTAATTTGCAGAATTTATGTTAATATCAAGAGGATTAGTTAACTCATAGAAGATCAAAACTGCAGTTAAGAATAAAAATTACGGTAAGCAGATGAACGAAAACAGCACTAATATTTTTTAATACAGTAAAATTCTACTTCTAAAATTGCAAAATTTAAACATAATGACGTTATATTAACTATAATTTTGTAACACAAGAATCAATTTATTTCAGATTTATTGCTCTGATTGTATTCGTTTAGCTTTTATAATAATTTCTAAGTAAACAATTGAGCTTTTCACGTTTATGATGCCTAATTTATATATTTTTATCAAAAAATATTGATTTTTGCTTATAATGCTACATTCATAATTAATGGATTAATTTTGAAAAAAGCTAAAAATTTAGCAAATTTTTGAAATATTCAAGACGTATACTTTAATGTTTTACGTATAAATAATGATTGTAAAAATTTTTTGCCAATTTAATGAGTTTATATTCTGCAAAGGAATTTAAGTGGCATTAAAAAAGCTTCGTAACACTTGTATACGTAAAGTTCTGCTAGTATGTTTTTGCTGATGAACAGATGATCTTTCTTTTTTACTGAAAACAAACAAAAATTTCGATTTCTGAGAGATCTTTAAAATGAATTCTTGCTTTTTTTGTGAGAAAGAAAAAATGTTCTTTTTATTGTTTAAAAGTTTGTCAGTTAAACAATTCTCTATAATAATTTTTGGCATAAATCAATACACATAATTTTAATTTAATTTTTAATAGCGATGAGGAATATTTATTTTCCTTTGTGCTGTCATTATCTTCGTGAGACTTTTATAAGTATTTAAGTAATGCAATTGAAATATTAATTCAAATAATAAAAGCAATAACAAACATTTCTTTGCAGCTTTTTCAATTAATTAATCAAATGCTTCCTTCAAGAATTTTAATTTCTCAGCTTGGAATCAAACCAAAAATTGTTTACCGAAAAAAACTTTGAGAAAAGTTCACAAATAGTTTAGCTAGCATTTTCGATGAGTTAAAACATAGTAAGCAAAAAAAGTTTTTTTTTCATACATAGAAGTATGATTGTGGTTAGGAAAGTGACGTGTTGATTCTCAGTCAAACTATGAAAGTATTCTACCGAAAGTTTAAAGTTACTAACAAAGTGAAAGTTACACAAGATTACACACTTTTGCACGGGAACATACTTGTGATTACATTTATATCAATAAGTAATATTTTCGCTTTTTTATTAATTAGTGCCTAATTAGCAAAAAACTGCATTTGTAGCTAATTACTTTAAGTCAGCTAAACAATTACATACTAATGTAGCTTTCTGCTAATATTTCTTATTTTTGTGCTGGTGGCGTTTAGCGTGGCATTTGTTTTGGCTTTAGACTAATCGTTGTTTATTTTATGGTGAAGCTTCTTTTATCTTTTAAAAAGTTTTTTTTTTTCAATTATTGTTCAAAAAATTAATATATTCAAGAGCTAATAATGCAATATTCAAGAGCTAATAATGGAATGTTTTTTAATAAGTAATAATTATTTTTAGAGCACATATTATTAATACTCATTGCATTGGATACAGCATAAATTATTTTTGACTATCACTTACTAATATTTATTTGAATTAACCTTTTTTAAAGTAAATAATTTATTCGCACACAATTAAGAAGGAACAATTTTAAATGGATTTTTTGGCTCATTCTAAGCTCATTCTTAGAATTCAACAACTTTTAAAAATTGTTTATTGTGTTGTGTGTTTGTCAGAATTATTACATCAAAAATTTCATATTTCATCTAAATTATTCGCTCTAATTTGTTTAAATATTTTGCTTAAGTATCTTTTACTAATATTAATAAATGCGCTTTTAAAAGAGTATAAAGCTGTGAAAAATCTTTATGAAACAGAAAGAGTAGACAAATAAAATTTTTACAAGTTGGTAATCAATAATAATATGAATAATATGCATTTTATATTGAAAAATTATCAGGCAAAATATTTCATGAAGTAAGCAAACATTCTATTTATTGATCCCATCGGAATTATCGAGATTATTGAAACTCCCAAAAATTAAAATTCTAAAAACAATTTTTGGTATTTTTTCTGATTTTCTGCCTCCTTGCAGGAGTACTTACTTACTTACATTATATTACAACGCGAATTGGATCACAAAAATTTTTAAGCTATGATATCTGAGTATGAAATTCAACACATTTTGCAAAAATAAACAAAAAATCGCATTTAGTGCAGCAAGTTGTGCGCAAAATGTTTGCATAATTTACTTTCATGACTTGCAGTAAATTTTATTTCTGATTAGTATAATTACCAATTGATACTAATCTCGATCAGTTTCACTTTTGATTAATTTGATTAAAGCAATAATTATTTATCAGTTTATTTTGCTATTAATTATTTATTTACTTCTGTATTCAATTGTAGTCATAATTAGTTTAATATCTTTGCTCAAATGACTGAATATCTATGCACTAAAAGTCTTTTCTAGCATTTTGCCAAAAAATTCATAATGAATTATTAATAACTGGGTGAAATTAAATTAATCATTTCTCCGAATAGTTACTACTTGTTAGCACTTCCTAATTATCACTGCCCATGCATTAATGATTCAATAAGTAAAAAAGGTTATGCAAATAAAAACTGCAAAAGAAATCGAAGATGACAGAATTTCGCTGAATTTTGCTCAATTTAGTCCTCTAAATGGCAAAAAAACTTTCTATCTTTCATTAGTTTCACTAGAAAAGTGTAAATTTAATTCATTCTTTTTAACGTCAACAATCAAATTCAGACAATTTTTCAGCTCTGTCTGCCAAACTCGCAATTGCTTTTTGTTTTCTGATATTTCGGACTAAAAAGCAAGCAATGAACTTAGCTCAGTTCACTGAATCTTCGAGTCATTGTCGACATCTATCACACGCATAATTCTATTAAATATTAAACATACTTGCATTATTACTTTTTAAAATTTGACTCTACTTTTCTACAAAAATTTATTTCCAAATCAGTGTGAGAGTAATGAAAAAGATCATATCTGTTTGCTTATGTATATTTGCCATTGTTGAAATAATCAAATTTAAAATATAATTTCTACAGAAATTTCAAAGTTTTTTAGGTATTTATTTCTAGAATGGAGCAATTTTGCTTCTAGAATTCATCACTTGGCCTGAATATCTGATTCAGTGCTGAATTTCAATTTACTATTCTTAAGTAAATTTTTTAATTTCAAGAAAAATTTTATACCTATTTATTTGAAGCAGAGATTAATTATCAATGATATCTTATGCTTGTGATCACTTTTATTTAAATTTAGTTGTATTTTAAATACTGCATCCAAAATTTTGAGAATTTGTCTTGTAATGGTACAGAATAATTTGTTTTCACATTAGAATGCAGGAAATGCTCAATTTATTTCACACTATTTTAATTTCACAGTTTAATACAATTAAATTTGATTTAAAATTTACAGCCGGTCCCTTTTCAGTTTGCAAATTTGTTCAAATTTTATTTTTACTTTCGACTGATCTGATTTTATTTGATGCACAATCATTATTCCCTGTAAATGTTTCACTAAGAATTTGGTACAATTCTGTTTTGGCAGATTCTGATTGCCACGTTTATTTCAAATGTATTGCTTACAATATTTTATATTAATTATGCAAATTAGCTTCGGATTTAGTAGAAACTGTCGAAAGCAGCAAAGTGTTAAAAAAATACCTCTGACAATTGGTGTTTTTCTGCCATTTCAATACAAAAAAGCGCTAGAATCAGCTGTTGATATTGCCTTACAACATATACAGAATGAATCGTGTATTCTCACTAATTATTACTTGAATTTGCAATTCAAAGATACAGAGGTAAACTATTATTCAGCCTAACGATTATCAATGTACAAAAAATTTACCTGTATTATTTTTAGAAACCATTGATACTTAAGCATTGCTTTTTTTAAAAAGTTGATGCTACTAATATTTTTGTATCTTCCTAGGTTTATCTGATCAAATATCATTATTGCTCAAAATGCACTGTAAAATTAATATAAATAATGAAAATTTTTTTGAAAAAATAGTTAAAATCAGTCATCATACATTACGAATAAAGTAAATTGTGGAAGAATGCTAGAAAATGAAAAGCTGAACATTTTGTTGTTAAATTTGCTCAAACAAATATTTTCGATTTGATATTTCATAAAAAATTTTTTGTGTCATTTAGCTGCTTTTTTATTTCTACTAAAAAAAGTAATTCTTTTGCAATTTTTAAACTACTCCAAATTCCAAGTAAATTTGTGCTAGAAGTAATCAGTACTGATTAATTTTGATTCGATATGATTTTCTGATAATATTTAGGCCTTTTTAAAAATAATAATATTCTTTGAACTAAATTCTGTCTAATTATGCCAATATTGTACTACTAGCTAGCTTATTTTTAGTCTTAATCTATGCTAACAAATAAATTGTAATGTTAGAATTGAAGAGTAAACTTGTGTTCAGAAATTACTTACTTGCAATTCTGAGTACTTTGAAGAATTTGTCTGCTTCACATACATCAAAAAGATTTATTTCGAATGATTGCAATTATTTAATGAAATGAATGGCTCAACAGAGGTGGCGAAAATAGCTTTGGCAAAAAGAATTATTTTTAAGATAAGCCTTCAATTCTAATGCAAGAATTTTTTTTTTTGAATGCAAAAATGTCAATCACAGATATGAATTAATTTCTGAGCAAATAGAAGACACACAATTTTATGAGCTTCAAATCTGAAATTTCAACTTATTACAGTTTTAAAAGTGAAGCGAAAAAATCATTCAAAATGAAGTAAATGAGATAGAAATTAGCTTATTTTTGAATAAAGGCGCATATACAATCATACTTATCACAAAATAGTTTTTTACAAAAATGTGAGAAAAAATTAATTTTTACAAAATTGCAATTACAAAAATTTTTTATAAATGATATAACTGTATGATTGAAATGCAAAAAATTTGCATCCAAACTTGTTTAAGATGGGTCATTGTAGTGCAAAACTTCGTTTGGAATGAAAGCACTATTTGAATTAATGAATGCACGACCTCGACCTTTTGCCCTTTTTGGAGATGCTTGCACAAATGTTAACGAACCTGTGGCTATGGCTTCCAAGTACTGGTTCATTTTACATTTGTCATATGCTGAAACACATGCTAAATTTGCTAGTGCTGATGCTAAAGCGGTTTGTTTTTCCTTTTATGTCATACAAAACTATTGAAAAATTAGTAAAAATAAAAAATATTAGGGCTTTCAGAAACTTGAAGTGATAGTTGTGATTGTTCTGTTTCATCTTGTCAAGTATTGCCTTGACATTCTTAAGTCTGATCTATTGTTGACTTCTAAAGATACTAAAGGTAACTAACTCTGGCTGTACTTTAAGTAAATGAAATCAGATTCAACATTTGTAATTGCATATCAAAATTTAAATTTGCAAAAAAATTTTAGGTTTTAAAAGTCAGTGTTGGAGTTTTGATTAACAGTACTAAATTACAGATGTATCCAACATTTTTCCGCATGGTACCTGGATATCAAAATTCAAATTCAGCACGCTGCCATCTTATATATAAATTTAACTGGACACGTGTTGGGACACTAAAACAAAGTGATGATCCACGTTTTGCTTTGGTAAGCTTGAATCAAAATTTGAGTAATTTAGTTATGCCAGAGATACTTGCAAAAAGTCAAAATATTCATTAAAAATGATGATTCAATTTAAAAAACTGAACATTATTACAACAATCAACAATATGAGATGCTTGTTAAAATTAAGAGAAGCAACTTACCATTAATGAACGAGTATTATTATCATTATTGCTTGATGAAGAGATTTGAAAAAAAAATTCAACTAATTTTAGCCCCATGAATCGCTCACAACTCGGCTAGAGCATGGATTTGGTATTCGAGTGATTTACACTGCTGGGATTACTCACGATGAAATTAAAAATATCGGCTACGAACTAAATGAGTTGAAAGTAATTTTTGAACAATTTTAACACTGAACCATTTATTTGAAACTTCATAATTTTCTTATATAAGATTAATAAAATAGTGAATTATATACATTTACAAGCAATGTAAACAATAATTTAATTTAAAAGTTAATAAAGCTACTAAACAAATTACGTTAGATTTTAATTAAGTTCAGAGCAGTGGGTTATTCGAAAATAAATAGCTTCTAAATGATTTTTTTCTTTCAAAATTAATTCAGTTTTTAATATTTAAATATTTTTTTTAAATTTCATGAAATTTTTAGAAACGTGATGCTAGAATACTTATTGGTGATTTTGAAGAGTCTTTAGCGGTACGAATATTATGTGAAGCTTATCAAAATGGCATTTATGGCGAAAAATATGCTTGGGTCTTACCTGGTTATCATAAAAGCATGTTTTTGATACTTTTGACCTTTAATTTCATTTCACGTAAACGAGTGAATATTCGATTTGAAAATGGATTTAGTATGTAGTAGCATTTTTATGTTTAAATTTTTAGGTGATTGGTGGAGAAATGTATCTGATCTTACTTGTACAGTAGATGAACTGGCAAAAGTAATTGAAGGTCATTTTGCAGTGGAATTTTCCCCATATTCACAAAAGCTTAATCGATTTACTGTTGCCAACAAAGTAAGTCATTTCAAAGTAGTCTATTTGTCTGGATAAGTGAAAGAGTGTAATCAAAATTTCTATGATTTTGACTTCACTTTAAAAAAAATATTTACAAACTTTTTTTTCGAAGTAATATATAATTTGTAATTCCATTCAAAAAATATCACTCATTTTGATACATAGTTCTGCAAATATAAATCAGCTAATGACAGCAGTTTGATTTTTGAACTACTTTAAAGTCGATGAATTTGAAAAATGACTTTTTATTAAAAACTTATACGAACTGATTTCAAGACTGTATCAGAAATCCGGGCAGAGCTTGATCAAGACCAGGTTACCACAGCAGAAGGTGTTTACAAGGGTTATGTGTATGACGGCTTATGGACACTTGCATTAGCCATCGAGGAGGTAGCTCAATTTCATTATTCACGTGATGGTCTTACGTGGTTACCTGATGTTAGCGAAACAGCGGATTGGCGAGAGATAAGCACTGAATTATTGCAAGCAATCAGCAGAACGTCATTTATTGGTGTTACTGTAAGAATATTTTCCAATAATCTCATAAATTTATTTTTTTTAAAAATTATAACTCAATTATTATTAAGCTAATGCTTATTCTTAAGATAAAATTAAAAAATTAAACACGGGGAAAAAAACAGCTTTTTAAACAATGTGATTTTGAGCAATTTTAATAGCGAAATGTGAAATAAATTATTGCATTTTTTACTTATAATTAGAAAATGAATCTTTAGGGACCAGTGAAGTTTGAAAATAATGAAAGACTTGGATTAGTTGAAATTTTGCAATGGAGAAATGGAACATACATAAATGCTGGCATATATGATGGGACAGAAACTATACTAACTCTGAATCCTGCTATTCAAGGTGACACTTTTATTGCTGAAGACGAAATGTTCATATTTCATTTTTAGAAAACAATCAGCACAACGACCGAAAACTGATCAAAAATTCTATGTTGCTAGTAATTAACTGCACATAATCTCACAATAAATTCAATAAAAAATAAAACAGTTCAGTATTAATCTGCCTACACAAACGAAAATGAAAAGTTGAAACAAGAAAATAAGATTTTACATGACGTTTCCAAAATATTACAAAATCACAAAATATGAAGAATTTTTAAAGTGTTTAAAACTATTTGGATTTTGATATTTGATTAGCATTTTTTTTTTTGAAATTTTGGATGAAGCATATAATACCATGTGTAGGTGACGATCTTTACCCTTGAACGATAAATTTTGATGTTTCAGACTGGATACCGCCACTAGATGCAACAGTTGTCGTACGTGAACGTCAATATATATCATTTATATTATTCGCATTACTTTTATTATTATCCACCTTCGGTGTTACACTGGCAGTTACTTTTCTTATCATTAATATTAGATATCAGAATCATCGGTAAGTATGATAAAGATTAATGGAATCGAAGCTAAGTTTCAGAGTAATTTTTAAAAGTTGCAGATTTTTAAGAGCTTTGCACTATTTGCATCAGATATGAAACTTATTTTAACTATGCTTGAATTAATTAAAATTTTTGAATCTTTGAAATTTGATCATAACAGTTTACGAGCGTAAATTATTAAAATTTCCTTAATAAAGCAATCATTATTTTTAAATACTACGAAATTCTATTAAGTAATTTGAAGAAAACGCAAATAAACTAATCATCTAATATAAACAAGCCTTTCTGCTTTTCCTTCCTTTGTATCCATGATTAGATGGAAAATTTTATTGCAAACTGTAAAAAATCATATATGTATAATGAATTTACTTTCTTCAGTTTTAATTGGGAAATATGCTTTTTAGATTCATCAAAATGTCTTCACCAAATATGAATAATCTAATAATAGCAGGTTCTATTTGTACTTACATAAGCGTCATTGTGAATGGTTTTGATACACGTTTTGTTTCACCAGATACTTTCGTTACATTATGCTACGTATGTTATATATTTGATAGTTATTATATTCATCTGATTTTCATTTGCTCGTAATATTTGTTGATCATATTGTGAAGATCAAAATTTTTAGTTTCAGTGATTTAAAAAAAACCGTTACAAAAGTTTATTTTTAAAATATTGTTTTTTCTATTTTGATGAGACGTACCAGATAAGAAACCATAAACACTGATTTTGTCACGTTTAATATCACGTTGAAAAATGTAAAATGAAGCATTCTAGGTCAAGACATGGGTACTCTGCCTCGGATTCACTTTAGCATTTGGATCAATGTTTTCGAAAACTTGGCGCGTACATTCTATTTTTAAAAATATTCGAATGAACAAAAAAGCGATTAAAGATTTAAAATTATTCATGTTAGTTGGCTTTATCCTTCTCGTTGATCTCATCACTTTATCAGTCTGGGCTCGAATTTCACCTTTTACATTTCACGTGATCGAACTGGCGACATTTGTAAGCTTTATCTAATAATTCATCGAAATTTTCTAATTTTGCAACTATAATATTGGATTTTACGATACGTTTATTTTATTTCAAGTTATTCATTGAATTTTTCATTACTTTCCATTGGAGCAGAAAGTAGAAATTGTTCTATGTAATTAAAATATCCAATATGATTCTAGTTTCAGTATTCAAATCAAAAAATGATTGTACCTGAAATAGAATGTTGTCGAAGTGATAAAGACGTAATTTTTGAAGTAATAATTTTGGGTATTAAGGGATTACTCATGGTAAGATTTTAAATTTTCTTCTTCATAACTCAGTTTTTGATAAGCTTCACCAATAATTTATGATATCTATAGCTTAATTCTGAAGAACACATTATTGGTCACTTTTGTTGATTATCATTAATTGATGATAAAAAATTTGGCAATGTCATATTTTAGATGCTTGGCTGTTTCTTAGCTTGGGAAACGAGACGTGTAAATGTTCCAGCACTGAATGATAGCAAATATATTGGAATGTCAGTTTACAGCGTAGTTGTGACATGTCTACTAGGTTTACCACTTGTTTACATTTTAAGGGTATAGTTTTTTTTTCTTTTTTGACATGGAAGGAAGGATTGAAGAACATGTACGTAAAAATTCTGCGTCATGTATGATTGTTGAAAGATCACGAAATACTGCTATAATTTTTCATTAATGCTTTCGTTCAATAAGTATTACTAATTTTCACGCAATTCCCAATGTGATTTTCAGGATCAAGTCAATGCTACACATATTTTAGGTGGACTTTTTATTATATTGTGCACAACTTTGACTCTCAATCTTGTTTTTGTTCCAAAGGTATGTTTCTAAGAATTTATTATTAATATTTGCCTAAAGCACACAATGGATACCATTCTCAGAAACTTAAACAGCACTATATGAGTCTGAATATAAAAATGATATCATCTATATACTTTTATGCAAATCATTTGATTGGAGAAAAAATTACAACGAATATGCAAGCTTAATTTCCATATTACAGTGAGTCTAATAATTCATAATCAGATTTATTTGAGGTGGTAGAACTTATTCGTAATCCTCAGGGAACAGAATTTCGTTATCGCCGTGGATTAATGAAATCTGTCATTGGACGACAGCCACTACGTCAAATTCCTGAATCAACTGAGTACATTTAAATATTCTTTGATAAATTCTTACGACAACTGATGAGAATTTCGTAGCAAAATATGACTTGTTCGAAATATCTTCATTTAAAGTAAAGTAAATTAAAGTAATAACGATTTTTGACAAAAACTTTCTTGCTATAAATAACCACCATAACCCCTTCAACAGCGTTTTTTCTTGATGTGCTCATTGGTCTGGCTTTTTTATTCATTAGATAGTACAGCTTACGACTCTAGCAGAAGTGAATTCACGTTGCATTATGACTGAAAGTTGTGCTACAATGGCAGGAGTAATAATAGTGAAAATTAAGCAGTTAATACATGAAAAATGAAAGCAAAGGATATTTATTTTTCTACTTATTTATTATTTCCTTTCTCTCTTGTTGCTGTGCATCACACATTTGAAAGAATTAATGGTGAACTTCTCTGAACGAACACCGAAAATTTCTGTGTCTTCACGTATCATCATCTATTTAAGCAAATTAGGTGACTCTTCTTCAGTAGTGGTCAATAAAAGGTCAAAGAATTATAGCAAAAATAACCTGTAGTACGGGTCAGATTTTCTTTCTAATCCGAGCCTTGGTCTATTTCATTCCATCCTCAGCTGCACTTTTCTACACGCTCTACCAAATATAGTCCAAATTTTATCTGAATTTATTAAATTTGCTTTGTGATCTACGAGATTTAAAATTTTGAAATTTATTTAATTATTAATTATTGAACTCAGCAATTCATTTCTCATCTATTGGTACTGAAGTAAGACGAAACTAAGTATTTATGCACCACTGAGCACAGCACTATTTGCATAGTAATGGGCTATTTTTAGAGATTTCTATCTATGTTGGGAATTTAATGAAATATTTCTTAGAGAGTTGAAAATAAGCGAACAAGAACGTCTTCAACGCCTTGAGGAAGAAAATATATTACTTCATCGATATTTGCATGAGGTTAATTATATTTTACGTAAGAAACTACAATTTATCATACTTGCGAGAGGATGTGCTTGTCAGACACTACTAAAAACTGTTATAATTTACAGTACCAATCATTATTTATTAACATTTACACACCAACATTTGTAGTTTTGCGCTTGGAAAATAATCACAAAATTTTATGAAAATTCAATCGTAATTTCGCCAAATTGTTCAAGTGAGAGCAGAATGATAAGGGTGCGCATTTCAAGACTAAGAACGACTACGAACGTTATTAATACTTTTAATCTTTAGTAGGTCTCAAAAGCAAATTATTAGACTACGCAATTTAGGAACCAATAAATAATGAATATGCAAGAGAAATGTTTACTGTAAAAGAATGCTTTTCTAGGATATAAAATGAACATTTTATTTGTATAAAGACTAATTAATAGTCATCTCAACTTTAAATCCAATTCAACAATAGCAGCTTGAATCCAGATGCTCATTTTTCACACAGAGGGAAGCTTACTATATGATTAATAAAATTTACACTTGAGAAATGGTAAATTTGTTATCATTCAGAAAACAAGCATACTTTGGGAGTTGCAAAAGCAACTGAGGCAACTTGGAGAGTTGGAAAACGACAACACCTCACCGAGCGATAAAGGCTAGTTTAATCTTCTTTTCAAGTAGTACTGAAGTTAGAATTTAAATAAAATAGGAATTATTCACTTGCTTGATTATTTCTACATAAATAATGTAAGAGCTTATTTTTCTACAGATATTTCCAGCTATGAAAGTTTTATAGTGCTGGAGCAATTAATTTTACATTGTTAAAACTATTTTTACAGAGAGCTGAAAACTTGACTCATCACCTGTACTACTTGAAATGTTGATTGAACTGATTGGAAGAGATAGATCATAATGAGCTAAAAGATGTCTTTGGAATTCGGAAGAATGTTGCACAAGAAACTACTATTGTACGATATTTTAAACGAGATTCAAAGTAAAAAGTAGAAAATTTTTTGCTTTTTCTTTCTAACATGAAAACCACTGAACTCAACTACGTCTTATACCTTTGAGAAAAATCTATCAAAGAAGTGATCAAAACATAATGTTGTCAACAATTGTGTGAATTTGATCATAAGAAATGCTGTAAATAGAATAAATAAGTCTAAATAAATAGAAACTTATATTTTTGAGTAGTTTTGAATTAAAATAAGGAAAAACAAAGGGATTCTGTAGGCAGTTATAAAATATCCTTCCTCCCAAACCTCACGATCGATCATATGTGTATAAAAAACAGAAACTTGTGAGAACCAAACTATTTCACGTACAGCACTTGATGTTGATTTCAGACTTATGATGCGGCACTGTATTTTTCTGTTCAATCTTTAATTAGCTAAGCTACAAAATGATCAGTACTGAGCGAAAATTCTGCAGTGTAAAAAATTATTAAATGTTAAAGCAAAAGATGACGAAGAATCCTTCTCTCTGCTTCATGATTACACCAAAGAATTTATGAGCCAGTTTCATATCTTCAAGAGCCCCGTTAACTTGACTCATTGGATTGAATCATCTGCATGCCGTAAAGCATTCAAAAATACAAATTATCAAAGTACTGCAACCAAGTAATTCTTAAATTTTTCACAGTAACAAAAAGTTTGATTTTAAACATGTCACGATTCAGTAGTATAAGTTAATAAGGAGGACGGCTATCTACTAAATAATCACTTAGTCAAAAGTATGCAGCAAGTGCAGACTAGCGAGAAGCAATTAATTCTCACGTATCAAAAGCTTGCTAGTATTTTTCATTTCAAAATGGTGCTGTGATGAACGCTCAACGAGTACAAACATAACAGTACTTTCAGTGCCACTAATCTTGAAATCCGTCAGACAATGTACTGCTTGATTAACCCACATGGAAAGTACTAATAATGGATATGCTTGTAATTTC